GGGGGGGAGCGGAGCGGGTGCGTGAGCGACGACGACAGACGGCGAGCGGGTACACGCCTCCTCAGGGGACACACCGCTCAGGTCTGCGTCGTGTATGGTTTTGCGTCTCCACGGGCCTGCGCGGGCGGTCACTCAGCGCACGCCTAGCAGGTCGTATGCGTGCCTGCGGGGGACCGCCGCGCGGACGCGAGATGCTTACCAGCTGAGAGGGTCCAAGAGCACTGCGCGCGCGGCGGGAGGTCAGACTGCGGCCGAATGCGGTGCGGCGGGCGACGCCTTCCTTGGTACGCCTTTTGGACCTCGAGAGAACGCGTGGCGGCGGAGTCGCGTGTCGATGCGTCGTGCTGCTTGTGATGGAACACGGCCACGGACAGCTGGCGGCGCTCGCGGACGTCATGCTGTGACGCGGTCTTTGGGAGGTTGAGGACTGTACTGTGCGTGAGTGTGCATGGGGCATGTTGGGCACTGGACGGGGGGGACGTACTAGAGAAAGTCGGGGCCATCAGGGAGCTGTGGATGTGGTTAGCGTCGTGCGCCGGGCTGGTCATACAAGTGTCGTGGGCGCGTGCGTCGTGGGCGAGGGTGGGATGGACGAGGAGAGCGATGGGGGAGTGGGCGGGAGCAAGCAGCGGGCGACACCGTGACACAGCAGCTCGCCGCCGCCGGGCGCATCGACTCAGCCAACAAACGTGTCCCCGACGGGGAATAAATGTTAATTAACTCGCCTGCTGGAATCCGACGCGCATCTTTCGAACGTCCCGGCCCCACAGCTGAGTCGGCTATGACCGAACACTGAATTTGAACGTACACATCCAGATGAGGAAGTCTGAGTCATAAACGTTACTGCTTTTATGCAAATTCAAACTCGAATAGCACACTAATTTACAAACTTGCAATACTACATGAGCGAAAAACGAACAAGCAGAATGAAAATTTCGTTTCTGATTCCGAGTACTGAGTACAGATAATCTTTACACCTGAGAACTTGGCCAACTTCCTTATATCAGTCGCAGAACGTGATTGCTAGGTCGACCTATAATTTGAAGAAAAGTCAAGCCGTCAGTCACAACCGCTGCGAACAAGGTCTTGGTTGAAGGAAGGGCTTACATTCGGAACGGAGCAGCTGACAATTGCCCCCGTGTCACCGGGTTGGTGGAATGCATCGAGGCATTGCTCGTATGTGCCTAAAGTGACACTGTTAACACTAGTACGTTCACCAACTTGGAGAAATGCAACTGACAGTCCGCGCCTGCACCATCACAACCATTGTAAAAGCTGTGATTGTCCTGAGTTACTTCTGAGTAATGATTCTGAAGCTGGAGCACTCACCCAAAGCCACTGGTCACCGAAAATTCATGCCTATCGGAAGACAATATCAGCACCTCTTGCAGTGGGCAGAAGAACGAGAAACTGACGGAGGAATGAGCGAGATATCAGCGGCACTGTTGCCTTCGTTAGTAAGAGTCGCCTCGATAAGAGTGCAATCTTCGCCGTTGTTCCCGCAGCGATCATCTACGTAAATAAATTATACATATGCAATACCGATACCTTTTCGCACAAACTGACCATACTGGAGATAGCTAGTTATGGTGATTTCAATGCAAAGGAACTGATAGATGGCTCTAAATCACTCACGCAATCAACCCAGGGGCGGGGCCATCGACAGTGTAGTCACCACCCGTGGAGAGCAGTACGCCATTGGGACCCCACAAATATGGCTGCGCATAAGATAAGGATCATTATTCATCTAAATCATTGTGCAGACAGCACATACGGTTCCATATCCGCAGCTGTAGGAAAATGCTAATTAGCAAATGTATGCACAGCGTAATAATTGGCAAAATTACTTGTTTGTGAAATGAACGGTGTGCGTTTCGGCACGGACTCCCCTGAGTACCATGGCAGCAGCAACAATGGCGGTAGTCAGCTTCAAGAACATGGTTACAAGCGAAAGAATAGAGGAGGATGCTCCCGTCTGAGTGAAACGCAGCAGTCAGTTGGGCGAAGATGCTGCGAAAATGTGAGTCTGCACGAAAGGCTTTTAAACTTTACGTGAAGTTCAATCACCACGAAATATGCAATACAGAGAACACGACTGTAATCACTTTACCTGTGAGAGCTCAGGTCATGGGGGCACATCGAGTCTCCGCTCACTTGGTTAAGTCTAGTCGTCCAATGGTGCCTGCATGTCAGTGGATTGACTGTAATCCGGAGCGTGGCCGACCTAGAGCTTCTGATCTATCATCCCCTGTATTACGCATTTATCTGCTGTCTATCAGCCTCTAGAGCATCCTGGACTATATGATGGAAGGGATCCAATTTTCTCGGCTTACGGTGTGTGACCTCTGGTCCTGGAGCGCTGCGGACCTCTGACTGGCGTCCAGGCGATCGGGTGATTTCTCGTTGTGATTCGAGACAGGTGCTGGTCTGCATTCCAAAGACCCTAGATGGGGGAGTCCACTTACTAGGGAACATGACTTAGGGTTTTAGACCTTCCATCGTAATTGTACTCGAAGAGGATGCCGCCACAAGCCCAACAGGAAGGCCGATGCCAGTATCATAAGTAAGCCCCTGGTGATAGACAAGCCGATCGAGCCCGAGATCTTGAGAGTACAGCATCCAGTATTCAGTTCTCAGGAGGTTAGATTTTTGTGACAAAGTCAGAAGACGCGATATCTTCTGATGATACTACCCTCCAATGTACCACCTTGCTGGTATGCGATTTGATGCAAGCCTCCGATCAGATGACTGGGTCATCCTGCTCACTTGAGAGAGCGCTAGGGCCCACGGCCCAGCGCAGTCACCTACTAGTGACTTCAATATGATGGCAGCGGAGCCCGTTCAAAGTCTAGAGGGTAGATATCTCCAGCACTATGGCAATTCATAATGCCCCAAATAGCTAGCCGCATTCTCGTGTCGCTGTGGATAATCCTGTGATTTCTTTCTAGAGTTTAGTGCCGATGCTGAAGCTGACTCTGAGTGGCGTGGCTCGATTGGCCAAGGTCGAGTACAACATCCAAATTAGGAAGCTATGCAAGAAAATATCCACCAACCAGCCAAGCATTTGTCGACCATGCTTTAAATGATTCGTACTCGATTTGAACGGAGAGGTAGTTAATCAAACGCAGACCATTGAGTACTAGACGACATGAGATGAACTGGTCCGGACCATTGGAGGACGAAAACAAGACCGGCGATGTGATGACGTGGTGTGTGCCACTGCCACGGCGGAGATGCCATGACTTGTTTAGGAAAGTCGTTAAGAACACCACTCTGTACTACATACTAGTAGTGCAATTCACAAAGCTTTTGAACTAGGCTAGTGTGGCTAGGTGTTAATTCAAACATATATATCTGCGATTTCCTGAAGCAATGGATGTACGCCCCATTTATACAAGGTGATAACGATCACGACTACGTTGAGTTTGTACAATTTGCAGAATACACAGGATATCAAGACTCTGCCCCTTCTGTGCAACACCCCTCCAGCCTGAACTGATTTAGTCACAGAATGTGACGGCCAGGTCAACCTGAGCATTCAACCCACTTAATCCAACTCTGTTACTTGTCAAGATGGAATCACTTACATTAGCGACTGGACAGACTACGGGCGGCAGTGGGAACTGGTATGCGGGGCTGGGACAGCCGTTATAAGTGCCTACGTCAGAGAATCGTGAGATACCACTAATGATCCAAATGGAGAGCACAACTGACAGTCTGCGCCTAGACCATCACAACCATTGTAATAGCTAGGATTCTCATGTATCAGTGTACTACTCAAGACAAGAGAGGGTACAGCCACTCACCCGAATCCAGTTGCCACAGAGAACTCGTGCCTAGAACAACATGAATTAAGATTGCTCTAATGATGGGGAAATACATACGGAGGGGCATCCGAGATATAGGCACTGCTTCCAGCATTGCTGAGGTTTGCCTCGACTGCAAGGCAATATTCACCATTGTCGCCACAGTTGCCTGTATAAAACGAGTCATACAATAGCATCATATTGTGATTGAGATGCTTGCGTACCAGTCTGCAAGTAGCTAAAGAAATTTAGAGAATGTGTATTAATCTCATTGCAAAAGTCAGATTATATCTTAACTCACGCAATCAAACCATCAGCGGGGCCATTGCTGGTGTAAGGATCACCAGTAGAGAGGAGAACGCCGTCAGGTCCCCACAAGTAAGGCTGTGTAATGATTGTAAGACAGATGCAGGATGCTTATGGAGCACAAAATACAGACGGTTCCATAGCCACATCTGCGATTGTTCATGGTAAATGAAGAGGCATGAAACAGAGTCAATGGCACTCACTCGTTGGTAAAAGTGACGGTATGGGACTCGCCGCAGACCTGTACGAATGCCATGGCGGCAGCGACGAGAGTGATAGTGATCTTGCTGAACATTATGAGTGGATCGTGAATTTGAGGGAGGAAACGAAAGTCGAAATGCTGAAGAGAGGTAAGTATGAAATCTGAGGATTGTAGGAATTGCAGCACGGCGTTTATACTATATAGTTGGAGATGCGGAAGGAGCCTTGACAGATACACCTACGGCAACAGTCGTTGCATACTTTCCTGTTAGCATTGGATGTGTCATCGGGGAAGGGTGGGTATTGTCGCATACCGCGTGTGTCGTTCTATTCCAGCCTGGAGAGTTCCACACGAACGGTGGATAGCTTTTGAGTGGCGAAGCATCATGGTCTACTTTCACTAATCCCGGCCGGGCACGCGGTTCTAAGTCTACTCACATGAGATAAATGAATACGCACCGGCAGATTTCGTATATTTTGCCATACAAAGCGTACAAGACATCTCAACCGACTTAAATTCCAGCCTAATGCATAAGACCTTTCGCCATGCAGAGACGTCGGAATGTGTGTGTGAATGACTTAATCCCGTCGAACAACCTCCATTGTATCGGAATGTCTAACCTTATTGACACGGATGTGACCCAGTCCATCGACGCTAGACATCTTAGGACATAGAGCCATGGTTTCCTGGTTCTGAATGTCTCCGGGACCGGGGCGAGGTCACTGCATTGCCGTTGATATGATAGCCCTAGTTTGGCGTCAACAAGATTCGTGGCGAGATCAAAGTCAAATAAGAGGCCACATGCCAGAATGCGCCAGGTCACACCGACCACTTGTCGGGGTTCGGCCGCGGTCCATTTCGAGGCGCCCCTGATGATCTACCCGGCATGTGCTGTGGCGTAGGGCAGCGTAAATGCTGAAGACTCATCAATATCCACCACTGGGTATGCAAGGCAGAGAATTTGTGGATATATGCCAGCCTTACCCAGACGGAGCGTAGTCGACTGTGTCTGCTGCATGACTGCGTGTGTGGCGTGGAGAGGTGACAGCTGGTACACTCTGGTTAGTTTATCAGACAATAGTCGAACCGCAGTTATTGGTCGAAAAATCCTCGTGTGCCGGGAAACGGACATTGACAGGTATCATTCGGCGCAACATTCGTACCCTGATGCTTTGTTGATAACGAAAAATCAGTCATGCGGGCGCCGGAGGTCGTGAACTGAGAAAACCTATCAGCACTTTGACAGAAGGTATCACGACTCATGACCAGCTGTCCCTGTGGTCTCCTTGATGAAAAATGCAGAAATGATTGAATGAATACTAACCAGTCAGATCACAGCCAAAACCAAGAGAAGTCGACTTGAGAACTTGTATTACAGTTGTCTCGTATCGTTGATTCGATGGATAGCATGACGTACAACCTCAGTAGCTGCGTGCAGGCGTAATAGAAAGTTCAGCTGCATTTGCAGAGTCGTTGAAAGAGTCGCGCGCCGTCGAACACGGGGCTATCGGTCAGATCTTCAGATACAGATAGCATTCGAAGCCAAGAGCACAGGTTAGAGTTCTGCTCATAGAACTAGGCTATCGGTACACCACCGGGCCGGGACGCCACTGCACGATCTGGCTCTTGGGCTGTGCAGCCGGCGTCGGCGTCTCTAGCCTCCCCTAGTGGCACGACGAGCACTCGGCCGCTTGCTGCATACGTATATGCACAGAACACTGCCGCCGCGCATTTCTGGGCTCACTCATAATCGCCTCATTTCATCCCAGAGAGCCCGCTTTCTCAGTACTCATTCGGCTGACGTTTTTGCGGACGCCAAATCCGCAGAGTTCCTAGCAGCAGCAGCCAGCGCCTCGTCCATTCCACGCTTGCATGGATTACCAGAGGTCTGTCTACACATATATCCGAGCCATCAGCCCAGGCTTGACCATTGAGCGCAGGTAATTGTCACAGGTGCGATGTCCGGTTGATGCGACCTTTTGTCCTATTCACGTCACTGCGACATCTGACAGGTCGTGCAAATGTAGGCAAGTCGACTCTCCTCAACGCTGTCATCGGCCGCAGAAACCTACTCCACACAAGCAAGCAGCCTGTAAGTATATATATATGGAATAGTCATCATTCTATGCTCAATCTGCTAGCACACTGCAGGGTCGTACGCAGACGCTGAATTTCTACTCCGTAGGCCCTGAACCTGGAAAATTGGTGCTAGTGGACGCTCCAGGATATGGGGCTCGTGGCCGACCCGAGTGGGGCGCATTGTTCAATCATTACGTGCAATATCGGAAGGAGTCAGTCGTACTCCATCGCATCGCATTCCTGCTCATCGTGTTTCCCCCAGGCTCAAGCGGGTTTTCATCCTCTTCAATGCGAAGCATGGGCTGAGTGACATCGACCGTGCGATGCTGCAGTCTCTTGACGAACAATGTCAGTCATCCGCCGGGACGAAGTTTACTCTTCAGGCGGTAATCACCAAAGCAGATAGTCTCTTACAATCACGCAACGCTGGAAACACTGTTCAAGACCTTCAAAAAGCCATTTTTGAGGCAGCCCCGACCTGTTTGCCGGCAATTGTGACAACTGCACTAAAACATCCTCACTTTGGTATTGAGGAAGTTAGGCGGAGCATTGCGGACGCTTGTGGACTCGTGTAGCACAAGAGTCGCCTTGAACAGAGGCGCTACATTTTGTACGGATACGGTGTGATCACGTATAGTACACGATGGCTCATTCCACGTCGAACAACAATATCTCCGCAACCGTCTCGCCTACGTTCTCAACCTTGATATCTTTGCCCGCCTCACCCATAATGTAAGCACCGTCGCCTTCACGAAGTTCGACGGGTGCTTCAGCACCTACCACCTTGATCCGTGCGCCTTGAGGTTTCTGAGGATTGTATCCGGATGTCTGGATAACATGGATGTACGACTTCTTGGGTCCACCAGACCCACCTGTCGGGAAGACGTGCTGAAGAGAAGTCGATGGTGACAGTAATGTGGCATATAGAGAGAGGTTCGAGTGAACGGGAGCGGGTCCTGAGGCGTCGCGTGCCTCTGAGACGCCCTCGGCATTTACAGGCGCTACAACTCGCACCCACTTGTTCTGTTTTTCTTCGTCGGAAAATCGCCTGTAGAGTCGTCAGGACACGCAACGTGCATATTACAGCTGCTCACATACCGAGTGTAATATGAGGGTGCCAGTCCACTTTTGTTTGGCAAACTCCATATTTGAATAAAGTGAACTTGCCGAGGACCGTGGCACTTCTCGCTATGACGTATTCCAGTACCGGCGGATGTCATTTGTAGATCCCCCCGGCTCAGCACCTCAGTGTTGCCCATTGAATCAGCGCTGATAGAACTATGAGATATTGGAAGAAAGGGAGTCGCTAAGAACTCACTGCTCGAGCTGTCCAGACACAACATATGAGAAGATCTCGAATTCACGATGACCATGGGTCCCGAAACCGGTCGTGGGCTCAACACGATCTTCGTTGATGACACGAAGACAGCCAAACTTCTCGTGCTTGTCGTCAAAGTAGCTGGATTCGATTAATTGGCCGGGGTTAACTGAGCTGCCTCACGTTGAAGACGATCAAGATAGGCTCACCTTGCGAACGAGAAGGTGTGAAACGATTTCAGCCAGCCATGGTTTGCATTACCTCGCTCCTGGCTTGGTCGCGGGACAACGTTTACAACCATGTTTCTGGGGAGAAAATCTGATACGCTCGTAGAGAGGGGTCTAGCAGTATGAAGATTTAAGAGACAGGTCACTCGAGGATGAGGTCTCTGTGCGTAACGCTTAGTGTCGCGTAGTGTAGAATGCAGTTCGGGCTGACGGGGAAGTATGAGACACAGTCTATGGTCAGCTTCATTTTATATGTCTCAGACTCTCAGCTGTGAATCGAGACAACGTATTTGGGCAAGAGCGCGCCGCCTTATTCACGGGTAGGGGAGGTGATAATCTGGCATAATCAGGATCACGATATGGACCTTAGGCATGGACTTTCCATATTTGGTAGTCACGCCGCCATGGATTATGAAGTCACGCTGACTGCACTTTTCATAGCGCTTGAGATCCCCGCTGTGCTCTTCCCGAGTTCTTCCAAATATTCTTTCAAAGTCTATATACGAAAATTCGCCTGACTTGGGATTCGACATCTGTCCGCTATGGCGACATTGCTACCACCGCCAAAGAGGCAGAAGGTGTATCATGGTATACCTGAACCCGAGCCCGAGCCGCTCAAGCCATCTCTGAATGTCGTGGTGCAATTCGTCTCCGAGGATGATGGCCAACCTCTTGCGCCCGCAGTAAACCTGCCTGCAAATATTTCGCGAGAAGGATTAGAGGTGTTAGTCAACAAGTTAAACACCAAGGTACGTCTTTGCTATTAAATTACTCGTACGCGCTTTAACTAGCTCACTAGGATGAGGACCCAGTGCCATTCTCGTTCCACATCGCATTATCACCTCAGGAAGGCACACAAGGTGCCCCAACTAGAATCGCAATTTCCAAATCGATAGAGGAGGACGTGCTCTCGCATCCTTCGCACGCGTTCACACCCGAAGATGTGTTCGTCGTTCGTTGCTCTCCTCAGGCCGTGTTCAAAGTCAGGCCCGCTACAAGATGTTCGTCGACTCTATCCGGTATGCAGATGCGGTGGTATCGTCCTGAGTTTGTCTAATTTTTCAATTACTCAGGACATACATCTCCGATTCTCTGCGCTTCCTTCTCGCCCACGGGTAACCTCCTTGCGACAGGTTCTGGTGACTGCAACGCTCGTCTATGGGACTTATTCACCGAAACTCCCTCGCATGTTCTCTCTGGACACAAAGGGTGGGTACTATGCGTCGAGTGGGAAGCTATGGAGAGAAAATTGGCTACTGGAGGCCATGATGGACATGTATGTTTGTGTGTTCAACTCAAATGGGAAATGAGGCTGATTTGAGCTGTTGATCCCCTTGGCTCTAGGTACGTCTCTGGGATCCGAAGACCGGTAAGCCTGTGGGTGATGCTCTCAAGGGCCATTCGAAGTGGGTGACCTCCTTATCATGGGAGCCGATACACATGTATGTCTACTTATTAGCACGCCACTTCCGTCAGTTGACCCATTCCAGAAACTCTTCAGCACCACGTCTTGCTTCGTCCTCCAAAGACGGCACTGTTCGAGTCTGGTCTACTCTGACTCGCCGATGCGAGTATACCCTCGGAGGACATACTGCCAGTGTGAATGTCGTGCGATGGGGCGGGGGAGGCTTGGACGGAAATGGCGTATTGTATACCGCGTCTAGTGATCGGACAATTCGTGTTTGGGATGCAAATGGGGTGAGCCTCATCGTTTCTCATAGCTTCTAATTGACTAAATAGCTGCTCAGGGAAGACCGCTACATACACTTAAAGATCATGCTCACTGGGTGACGACCCTTGCTCTTAATACGGACTTTGTGCTTCGCACGGGCCCGTACGATCACACTGGCAAGAAACCGGCCTCGGACAGTGAAGGTGTGTTCTTCTGATACAGCGTCCTTGCATTGTACCGTGGGATGTTGCGCTTATCTTGATGCGCTACATACTGAATTTATATTTTCGACCAGCGCAAAAAGTTGCACTTGCCCGCTACAGTCATATCGTCTCTTCAAATGGCGAAACACTCATTTCGGGCTCTGATGATCACACGCTATTCTTCTGGTCGTTGTTCCCATCTCGATCTACAACGGCTGCAGCGTCCGAAGCTGCAGCGGAGCGTGGAGGCAAGCTCAAGCCTCTAGCTCGACTGACCGGGCATCAACGCCAGGTCTCACATGTGGCCTTTAGTCCTGATGCCCGCTGGGCTGCTAGCGCTGCTTGGGACAACAGTGTGCGCTTATGGGATGGCCGCACGGGCAAATTCGTGGCAACCCTTCGCGGACATATTGGTGCTGTATATCGGTTGACGTGGAGTGCGGATTCGCGACTGTTGGTTAGTGCGAGTAAGGACAGTACTGTCAAGGTGAGCTATTGTTTATCATTGTTTCTAATCTGCTCATTGACTATCGGGAAGATTTGGGACCTGAAAACCTACAAACTGAAAACTGATCTCCCTGGTCATACCGATGAAGTATACTGTGTGGATTTTGTTGCGGATAAAATTGTTAGCGGTGGTCGAGATAGAACAGTTAAAATGTCTGTGTTTCAACGTTTTCCCTCTGTTTTCTGGTACTAATTCGACCGATAACTACAGCTGGAAGAATTAAAGCGGGAAAACTATATGTTATGTATTCAATAACCTCTCCTAAAAATTTCAGAACGGAGAACATGCATGATTCATGTTATTGTCCTGAATGAGATGATTTTTGTCGGTGAGTTTGTCTCGGCTTGACGGTCCGGTCGGCTGTCAGCGCACTCAGCGCCGGTCACGTCGCGTTATCGTGTAACCACGTGATCTTGACGCGACGCGCTTGTTTCGCGTGACCGTGAGTCTGTTTCAAATTCTGATTCTCTGCGTCGTGCGACGTGCGTCAGGGCCTGACAAGGCTATAACTCGCCGTCGTGGCGCAAGTCTCTTGTTCAGGTTGTCCTTGGATTTTGAGCCATCTCATGCTCTCCTCCTGACTGTGAGGAATCCCTATCGTTGAAATGCCTACTGGACAAGCTTCAGCGGATTCTCAACGCCCCGCTTCGGTACCCTTCGCCTTGTAAGGCTTTCCGATTGATCCCAGTCTGTGTTTCTAGCTGATCTCCGCCAAACGCTGACCCGACTTTAGTTTTGTCTCACTTATCCGTGAAATATCTTCAGAGACGCCCCGAAAAGCCGGATTTAGGGCAACTAAGAATCGTACTTCCTACGTCATACGCACGTTCCGGAATTGGGTTTCCGAGCTTCATCGCCAGTATGCTCCCTTACCTGTGGGAATGACGGGTGTGCTGTTCCGGCTCCTCTTCCCGGACCAAGACGTACGTAGAAAATACGGGCTGCAGGAGACTACCTTGTCGCGACAACTCGCTGAGGTATTTGCTGTGTCAACACGGTTAGATGGGCGGGGTCATAATTTAATCGCGTGGAAAGACGAGGCCACAGCAGGCTGTCTAGGAATGGAAGTACAGAAGGTTTTGAGTGAAATCACACCTGACGTAAGCGTCACTTTTCGATCTAGTTTGACACTCGTGAACAATGCCTTAGGCGCAGGATATGGAGGGCACGCTCAGCATGGTTGAAGTAGATAACCTGCTCACTGAGCTAGCATTAACATGTGCTTTCTCGGGCCCCTCCGTCCAAAATTTTATAGCGAGGGCAGCACCCAGTCGATCTAAGTTTTCAATTCTTCGTGCGCTGTATACGCGTCTTTCCCCGGTCGAAGCTTCCATCATCACTCAAATTATTCTCAAGGATTTGAAGCCCTTATTATACCCACTTCCTCCCGGAATAAAACATTATACCGCGCTTTTGCGCGACTACAATACCAATGCAGTTAATGCGCTATCCCTTTTCGACGCCATGATCACTTGGGATCCCAGTGGACGTATGTCCTCCGCATACCGGGTCCGGGCTTGTCCAGATGAGGCTGCGTCTGTGTATGAAGCAATGGTGGTTGAGGAAGGCCCTGGACCATCGATGCTTGGACCGCAAGTGGGGATTCCCGTACAGGTCCGAAATGCAGTCCGGTCTACGCTACTGTTATTCATTGACTTGCAAATGTTAGATACCCAAATGCGTGAAGGGGCAAAGTTGCGTGCATTCGTTACAGGCGCTACACAATTCAAAGAAAGTGTGGGCGGAAACCAAATATGACGGAGAACGAGCCCAGATCCATGTAAAAATGGTCTCTGGAGATCCACATATCACCATTTTCAGTAAGAGCGGACGCGATTCGACTCTTGATCGTGTCGCTATCCATCCGTACGTCTGCGTTGCTGAGCTTCGTCTGAATCCTATGAGTGACGATTGCGCCTAGAGTGATCTTGGGCGCATTGAAGCTAGGATCGTCCGCATCTCCGATGAAAAAGAATGTTATTTTGGAGGCAGAAATGGTCGCCTTTTCCGATCCTATAGGTGCAATCGACGGTGAGCGAACACTTGCCAGGGGATGGCGGTCACACATACTCACACATTCTATCAGAGTTTTGGCGGATCCGAAGTCTAATTGCAAGCACCGCCATAGGGCCTCGTCATACCAGGTCGACAAGAGCAGGAGTCGGCGATGAGCAAGACACGCGAGAAAAGTTAGTTATCTGTTGCGCGCCTCCCCACTACACAGTTTATAATTCTATCCAGCGAGTCGCAATGTTCACTGATTTCTAACGCCTCTGACGGCGGCACACGACACCTTGCCCTCGTGTTCTTTGACATCCTCATGCTCGATGATGAATCCCTCCTCCAATCGACATACTCTGCACGCCGTAAAGTTCTGGAATCTGTTATCCAGATTACACCAGGACATGCAATGCTCTCTGAGCGAACTGCAATTGATCTTGTATCACCTTCTCGCTGCGCGGGAGATGGCGACGCACAACTTCGTTCCATCTTTGCTCGGGTGATCGCTGATAGGCAGGAAGGACTGGTCCTCAAGGCGGATGAAGGGAAGTATAACGAGCGGAGATTTCCTTGGGTTAAAGTAATCAATACGGTACTGCAGTCCAACAGTCGCTGATGTTCTAAAACTGCGCAGCTTAAAAAAGATTATATACCGGGCTACGGGGATTGTGTCGACCTAGTATTGCTTGGCGCATCCTGGGAAAAGGATCGCGCGCGCGAATTAAGAGGTATGCATTGATAACAAGCCCTCGGCGTAACTGACGCCTTCATGTCCATAGTCTCCCCTAATGCCTTCACCACATTCTATATTGGCGCACTCTCGAATAGTGAGGAGATCAAAGTAGATGCGAGTCAATTTAGCTATAAGGCCTCAACTCAATCACTGACACATATCGATTTTATAGCCCAGGTGTCTGCCTCATTTTCAAATTTTCTTTACAGTCTGTTATGGACTTAGCAGAGAGGCACTGGAAAGCCTCAACTTTCTTATCAAGAGCTCAGATACAGTTAAGTGCGGGCCAGGAATTGTACGTATTCCTCAAATACCAACATAATCTCCACCTGACGGTCTTCCCACTAGCCGTTGACTGGACTATCCTACACTTACAACCTGTTTTCTGGATTAAAACTACCCGCTACTATGTTGACGATGCCATTGTTAGTTGAGGTGTTTGGTGGTGGTTTCACCAAGGCACCTCAATGTAAAGTTAGTTTCAAAATCGGCACCGGTATCCTGCGCGGCAGTTGATCTATATTTCGACAGTTTTATGAGCTTCGTTTTCCTCGTATCTCCAAGTTCTACCGCGCGACAGAACGTTCTTGGAGAGACGGTACGACGTTGCCAGAATTTCAGGAAATCGCGCGTGAAGCGATCGGGCGCGAAAGATCGAACAAAGATGTCGAGGATTGGTGCAATACCCTTTGGGGCCGGCCTAGCAGTCCCGGAGTTCGTTGTCCGACGAAACGCAAGCATACTGAAGAACTATGGGTTGAGCGGCTTGAGGTGGTGGATGAGAAGGAGAACGCGAGGCTTACCAAAAAGTCGCGACTTTCCAATCGCACGAATGCAAAAACTTGGGAAATTAAGAAGACGGACCAAAATTCTGCCAGCCTTGCGATGGCCTCTTTGGAACCACCGAGGCAACTGAGAGCTTTCGGCTCTGTGACAAACACAGCATCCTCGTCTTCGGCGTCGAGATCCAACCATGAAAGGATACCGTCGTTGCGAACTCGTTCCACGCGCCCTAGTGATGCAGCTATGCAGCCAGCGGGAACATCAGGTAGGGGGCTGCCTCCTCAAGTATCTACTGACAAGCCAACTACGTTTGTTGATGAACCCGTTTCTCTCAATCACTCGAATGTATTGATAGTGAATGATCACCGCGACATTGGAGGTCAGAATGATTCTGCCTATCTGCCCTGTACCCCGAACGTAGGGCTTCCAAGTCCCCCTTTCCAGTCTGTTCGCGCCGAGCCGGTCTCATCTCCACAGACTGCACCTGCATACTCATCGACTCCTCTCGCTAGTTTCCTGCAGGATGCAGCTGTATGGCTGGCAAGGCCCCAGAACTCCCCACGGCCACAATGGCGGGCAGCATCTCAGTCGGTGATCCCCGCTGGACAACAGGTGCACAGCTTGGAGTCGTTCCTTTGGGCCTGCGGATGGCCTACCTCCTCAGATGCAGAGTCTCCAGGCTGTGAATGGGCTTATAAAGGTGTCGTTTTCGTTGACGATAGTCTTCCCGGAGGTGAAGGGAAGAGTTGGATGGAGTTTCCTTTGAAAACGTTGTTGGAGCGAAGGTCGGCTATTTTGAAGATGGAAACTCCACGGTGCAAGCCCGTGTGGGTCTTGAGCATGACAATGCTAAGCCACGAAGAGCTGCAAAAGGCAGCTGGCGATATCGAAGGGCGGGCAATCTGCAGATTGGGATGAAGGAACGGGTCATACATTATATCTATTTACTGGAGCGGACGGAGTAATAGCTTATACTGCAGTCAAAGACAGTGAATTGAGTTCGGTCTGGGCTGCTCCATCTTGAGTTCACTGATTATCACAACCCGGTGCGATGCGAGTCTTTGTGCAATACGTTGTTGTGTTCTACAAGACCTTCCTAAAACATATATCGGCACTTTCCGGCATGGATCCCGGAGACAGCATCCGCAAAAGTTTGACGCTGCTCGACGACACCCGCGATGGCGGACACTGCTTTGATCAACACGCATTTGCCCAGCCTTTCGCTTGTCTCGCAGGGGAAAGTGCGCGACGTCTATGCTACGTCTTTGCCCGACCATCTCTTGTTTGTGGCGACGGACCGCATATCTGCATACGACGTGATTCTACGCAATGTTTGTCCGCTTTGCCATTCGGATCAGGTTGCTGTGAAGTGACATCCACATCCCATCATGCGCGTCCCCCGGCTGCATTGATTGCGCCGTGAAGGGTGTGCCAGATAAGGGCAAGGTGCTCACGAAGATCTCGCTCTTCTGGTTTGACAAGCTCAAGCGCACTATCCCAACGCATTTTGTCACCGCCAACGTAGACGAGATGCCCGAAGAGGTTAGGCAATACAAAGACCAGCTTGAAGGCAGGGCTATGCTCGTCAAGAAGGCGAAGGTGATCCCACTTGAAGCAATCGTCAGAGGGTATTTAACAGGTATGGACTCTAAGCTTTATGGCGCCGTCGTGCAACTCATTGTATGTCGTTTCCCAAGGCTCTGGGTGGGCGGAATACAAGAAATCAGGAACAGTTCATGGAATCCCACTCCCAACTGGTTTCATCGAGTCACAGAAACTACCGGAGCCACTGTTCACGCCGTCAACCAAAGCAGAACAAGGACAGCACGACGAAAACATATCTCCAGAGCGAGGTGAGCGGTTACGAATCGTGATGCCTACCCGCTGTGACAAATTTTCAGCGATGGCTCTCATCGGCGAGGCGCTTTACAACAAACTCTCAGCGGCAGCTGTACAGCTGTACAAGGAGGCTGCGGAATATGCGCTTGCGCGTGGACTGATCCTTGCAGATACTAAATTCGAGTTCGGATTAGTGCAGTCGCCCACTAACGAAGAAGAGTTGATTCTAATTGACGAACTCTTGACTCCTGACTCCTCGCGATACTGGCCTGCCGCCGAGTATAAACCTGGTGGTCCTCAACCAAGTTTCGATAAGCAATTCCTCAGAGATTGGCTTGTGAGCACGGGTTTCCGCAAGGGGCTAGAGAGTGGCCCGGAAGGACACGAGGGTGGGGGATGGGTTATGGATCCGATCGTTGTCGAAGGAACAAGAAAACGATACATGGAGGCGTTAACCATGCTCCTGGGGGAGGACGCGAGTATCTAAGCGATGAAAGGCGAAGTATTCACACGTTGTACACGCTGTAAATTGTGACGACGACTGATTTCATCTATAAAATTAGAATTGGCGTCGGCTCCATGTGGTTTGACTGTAGAACGACTTGGCTTGTCTTCCATTACAGATCCCCAATTCGCAGCGTTCGATTGCTTCGTTTTGCGGTGTTTCCATACCGATCGTGGTTAGATGGCTATATGGGGCTCTCTGAATTTGATACCGAAGTCCTCTAGGCACGCCGATCATCTACCACTTGGTTTTGATCGAGTTATTGCAGATCTTGAATGGTGCTCACTCCCAAAATAGCTCGCTGTTTGCAGTTGCCATAGTCATCCGCTGCCACGGCTACTTGACGTGAGTGTGGTCTCTTTTTGTCTAGACTATCCGGTTGTCCGCGGATTCTGAATGCTGTCGTACGTCGGACCTGCCAGAATATCTAATCATCCGTAGCCGTGCCTGTTCGGATTCTGGTGCGCTGCATATATTTGTACTCGTACGGTTGAAGCTGACATTTTCACTCCGTTCCTCGATGTGATAATTTAAGAAATATGGTCCAAAAATTTCAAGTGGGTGAGTGGTGCGCCTAGTTTGAGAATGGGGACCTCAAGGTACATGGGTGTTTACCTGATCCTTGAATTGGATCATGTGCAATTGGACAAGTCGATTTGATACGATTCATCTGGCATTCTTGGGACTGTTGTGCCCTATAGGACTCATCTTGGCAGGAGAGGAGCATCAGTGGAGCCTTTTGCTCCGGTCCAGCGCACTTTGAAAGAGTTGGATGATTTTGAAGATATGGTCGCCCATGACGTCATCCTCCCTCGTTTGTGCCATCATTTAAAAAAAGCTGCGAAGTGCTGAATGACAGATCCTAGTCGCTGTCTAGAACATTGGCAGCTCGACGCTAAACTTACACGCCGGCCCATTCAAATCTCAATACCCAGAACCTCTATTGGATCTGAATGACGTGCTCCAATGAGCATATGCTCGTTCAGCATAGTCGCTCAGCTGTGATACTGGGTATTCGGTTTGTCAATGTCATTCCATTTCTGCCGACAGAAGTATGTTCTCCCGCGACCCGCTGACGACATTCCACTGAACTTATGATTGTGGATACAGACGCCCGAGATCGCCACTTGAAAGCTTGACACTTGACAGCCCGTAGACAAGAGTTGTACTCCGGTCTTGGTTTCGAGCTCACTCCAGAATTGCCTCGATGGTGAAATTTCTGGGTTGCTTTTGGCCCTGGGCTTGGCCACACATTCTTTACGTGTGAATTACTTACAAATGCTTAGTCGATCCGTCAAATCAAATCGAGTGCAGGCCGCGGTTAATCGCTTCTAACTATACACCCTTTCTTGGCGGATATACTGGCTCCTTCCACGTTTCTGCATTTTCGCCACATCAATGTCGAGGACGGCAGCAAACCTGAACTTAGCTTGAGTTTGATTTTGAGTCTAGGCCTGTGAGTTTTTGCGCGCGAAGTTGCCCTCGGGGCTTCCTGCGATAAGGTGCAGCAGCAAACTCTATCAGAGTAATGCTGGCTAGTGGCTTGCGCGTTTGGCAGTCCCTATCGTCATGCGATGTCTTAATTCAGCTGAGTGCCCCGATATGATCCAGCCGTTCCGAGCCTATTCGCACGGCAACCGAGTTGCCGTATGGATGATGTAGAACTGGTCCTCGGAGTCGTGGACCGCCCACGGGGCGCGAGCTCTGTCATCACCGGGTCAGTAAATCAATTGGACATCCCCCTTCGATCGAAACCTACTGATCATGCCCGGCGCGAAGCAGAGGACGGACGAGCGTCCGCTTTTATATTCCCAATTCATTAGTTTCTGATAATACGCTATCGAAGGCCCCAGTCGCCGTTAGACACCGATCCGTCCTAGCCGATGTGAAATGGGTGATATCATGTTGTGCGACATTGCTACCTCTGGAGTGACATAAAAGGCGGACAACCAAGCCGGGTTGAGTAGCAACAGTCCACTTTCCTCTCCATACACACACAATACACCAACCAGTCCCCACCTCCTCACTCAAAAACTCCATCGTCATGGCTATCCAGACTTCTCTACCCCCGTTTCCCGACAATGTCCCCACTCATCCCTTGCTTGTCATCGACTACAACCTTCTGCTTGCTGGCGATGAAGAAGAAATAGCTCAGCTGTGGAAGGCTGCCACCGCGCTTGGCTTCTGGTAGTAAGTACTATTTTATACGACGTTGCTATAGAGGCTCGAGTGCTCATGGCCACAATTACTTCGTAGTTTGAAAAACCACGGAGTCGACGAAGATGTCAACCAGATGTTCGACATGGGTGCTGAGACAATGGCTCTTCCGTTCGACGAGAAGATGAAATTCGAGCAAGGCGATGATGGGGTGTCTTTCGGGTAATTCAATGCTGGCTTTACATTGTCACTCTCCCAGCTGATTATCACGGTCTAGTTACAAGGCTCCAGGTGCCAACGCTACAGATGAGACAGGTTCCCTCGACACCGTCGAGTTCATCAACGTCTCCCAAGATGATGCCCTGGCCTGGCCTAGACAGGCTCACCGCGAATACCCGTCCACAGTGAACGCACGCATGGAACACACGATTGCTCCCTTCATTCGCAAGTCTGCAGAAGTCAACCGCGTCATCATGGATATTCTCAACGCTAAGCTTGGTTTCCCTGAGGGGACGCTCGCGGAGCTACATCGCCTCGACGAGTATAGTGGGAGCGAGGCCCGTTGCATCAAGAACCCACCTAGGCCCGGAGGCATCTCTGAAGAGAAAGCTGCGCTGGGTGCACACACAGACTTTGGGTCCTTGGTTAGTGATGGTCTCATCTTGGAAGTGACACGTCGCTAAACCAGACTATTGCAGACTTTCCTGAATAACCGCCTGGGCGGGCTGCAAGTCATGGTTCCGGGCACTGTTAAATGGCAATATATCAAGCCTCTTCCCGGACACGCTGTCTGCAATCTTGGTGACGCTATGTACATCTTCAGTGGTGGCATCCTCAAATCAAACATGCACCGTGTTGTGTAAGTGACGATCAAACTTGATGCACACATTTGAACTCACAAGCGCGTATAGACCTCCTCCTGGAGCCCAAGGCCACTTTGAGAGGTGGTCACTGGCATTTTTCACGCGTCCTGGCGAGTCAGTTGTGCTACGTGCATTGGAAGAAAAGAGTTCCATAGTTGCCGAAGCTGTTGCGAGCGCGGATGATACGACTCTGTTCCACTCCAATTCAACGTCTAAGGAGTGGTTTGCGAGGCGGATAAAAAACCAGAGGACAAAGAATCAGAAGGCAAGTTGTTGTAGTCTTTGATTGTACGGCTCAAGCTGACTTTGACGATTCAGGGCGCTGAGACGTGGCGTGCAAGTCGTGGCACTGAACATCGTCCTGAGGCTGCCTAAGAACCAACTGTCATGAAATAACTGTATTACATAGAGATCGGATGCCTGTATAATACTTATCAAAATCGGCACTAATATGAATCGCCTGTCTCATCTCCTGCAAATTGGTGCTCTGACGTTGAGCTTGGCAAGGAGCTGATCGCTGGCGGGTCCGTATTGTGAATGATTCAATCATATTTTTTTCGCAGCAAGGATAGATTTGACATCCTAAACTATCCGATTGGATATTTTCGCTCTTTTTCGGATCGAGTTACCACACCTCTTCGTTTTTGAGTAGTATGCCGATGACTACTGCCATATTATGCGGCACGAAGCAAGTACGCAGTGATAGGCAACGACATCCGATAGCACAGTTACTACACTAAGTAAGTAGACAACATCCATAATTATTTTTGACGTCGCTCGCACGTCTGAGACAATTGCCATATTTGGATGATTTATCAATCTTTTCTCAGTCTCAAGCGTCTTCATCAAAACTAAAACTCCCACCATTTCTGAATCAGCGGAAGGAACAATGGACCCTTTGAAGGGATTGGAGGAATCGTCCACGGACGACGACGCAGCCTCACAAACAACAGAAGATGATCCACAAGTGCCGGAAAGACAAGAGCCTCCTCCGCCTCCGCCCCCGGCGGCACCCCCGCCGTCAAGTGGTCGCGAAAAACCGCATTACGAACTACGTCATACAATGCGCGGGCATACTTCCTCAATATCAGCTGTAAAATTTAGCCCAGACGGTACCCTCCTTGCTTCATGCAGTGCGTCAGAGATGTACAGTCTTATAGTGCGAGTATTTCATGCAAGTATTATAGGCAATGATCGTATTGTCAAGATCTGGTCGCCGGTCACGGGCGAACTCATCAGAAATTTAAGTGGCCATACGAAAGGTCTCTCTGACATTGCCTGGTCTTCAGACAGTGTGTATCTGGCATCTGCATCTGATGACCATACTATTCGAATATGGGACGTTGATACGGTATGTCCTGTGTGTCCCATAATTTTGCTACGTCAAAAATTATGTCCTTCTCGAAGGGTTTGACGTCCCGGACACTAAAAGGACACGCTAGTTTTGTGTTCTGTGTCAACTACAATACCACATCGACCCTACTCGTGTCGGGGGGTTGTGAGGGTGATGTCCGTATCTGGAATGTTGCAAAAGGTTAGGAAGTCCAGGCTGGAATCGACGCTTTCTAATCCAAATCTCAGGGAAAACCATTAAGACAATTCACGCTCATCTTGATTATGTGACTGCTGTACACTTCAACAGAGATGCTAGCTTGATTGTCTCTTGCGCACTTGACGGGTTGATGTAAGTTTAGGCGCTCTTCCCCCACATTCCACTGTTCATGCTAGAGCGAAGCCGAATATGGAACACAACGTCAGGACAGTGTCTCAAAACTCTCGCAGAAGGTCATGATGCAATCTGGTAGAGTGATAACTGTCTAGGCTATCATCGTCGCACTTATGCAAGGGATATTTCAGTCAGCACGTACAATTCTCTCCGAACTCGAAGTACATTCTGTCGACTGCACATGACAGCGCCATTCGTCTCTGGGACTACCAAACGTCTCGCTGTCTGAAGACATACGTAGGGCATACAAACCAAAAGTACTGTATTGCAGCATGTTTTAGTGTCACAGGTGGCAAGTGGATAGTGTCTGGAAGTGAAGATAACAAGGTGTATCTTTGGGACCTGCAAAGTCGAGAAGTTGTTCAAGTACTTGAAGGCCATTCTGGTGAGTTAACGTGTTCAAACAGTAGCTGCGATGGCTAATATTCTTTTGCTAGATGTCGTTGTTGCGGTTGCTGTAATTGACCTATATTATCCTTTGCACCCGAAAGTCTAACATGATACATCTAGACACATCCACAGGAAAATATGATAGCATCCGCCTCTATGGAATCCGATCTTACCGTCCGAGTATGGATAGATCGCGGGGGTCGATGAATCGTCTGATGGTTCTTACAACTCTGTAATATAGCATCCTGTATTGTTATCATATACTGCTTCAATTGAGTCTACATGGATAGTGTGATGTGTATCAAAGCCTATGCAACGAGCGAGACAGATAGTATACAAGCCTGTACGCGAAGATAATACATGCAAAACGCCCTCAAAGTGTCTGTAGACCACATGCAACGAGTAGCCGTCAAACAGGCTCAGCATTCATGAGGTCTATGTAATTCATCCACGAGTCAGGTACGCTCTTTATGAAATCGCACTAACATACCTTGCGCAAGAGCTCTCTCGGCATCTGTTAGACCAGTGTCATGTTCCTCTAGGAATGCATCCACCTGACAGTTAAGTCAGACCACAGAGCTTGACCACAGCTTGATCGCAATTTACCTCGTCCATAACACCGTCATCCTCCACTTCACTCTCGTCTTCCAAATCCTCATCCTCATCCTTCGCGTCGTCAATTGCGAACGGCGTCCGCTCCATGTACGCAGCAGCCTGCGCGGCCGCCTGAAACATACTAGGCATAGGCGAGAACTCTGCCCGAGAGATTGAAGGGGGTGACTCGACGTTGATTTGCGAAGGGGCAGAAGCCGATAGAGACAATGTGGAAGTACTGGTCATAAGGCTTGCAGTATCCTCTAATTCTGTTGTGGCAAGGCTGCCCTTCGAGGCTGATCGACGCATCGTAGGTGTAAGCAACGATTCGCGAGCTTTGGGTTCTTCCAGTGCAGTATATTTCCCGATAGCAGGACGGTGGTAGACCTAACACCAGCCATGGTTAACAGTTTCCATTTTACAAGTCAATGTATCTTACCTGATGCTTGCCAATTGTCCTACCGATTTGGTCTGTGAAGCTGTGGAAAATTTTCTTGTTGTCATCACTGGCGATATTGGACCAAATACCGCCGAGCAGACTACTGTTTGAGGACGGAAGTTCCAGAGGAACCGGTTCTAGTCTAAATGTGGAGCAGAAGTCGGTTTCGAAGAATGACTCCAGGATCTCATCCGCTAAAACTACCATACGAAATCTGTAAAGTGGTTAAGACAACAGAATGTCGCAACAAAAATCACATTACGTTGCCAAGTTCATATATGGTTGATTTGACTCAATTTGCGGTGGCTCTTCATTGGAATCTGCACCCTCGGGGCGAGGAAGCAGTGCATCGCCATATTCAAAGGCGTTGGACATGAAGCGAGAAACAGCCCCTAGATATGCATCACCGACCTCAAAGCGGAAAATAAACTGTCCTTTTGAATGAGAAACAAAATCAGAAAACACGGGCATCTCAGAAGACCAACCAGTAATGATTCAGATAAGGTCAAGACTTCGTCTTTCGTGAGGAATCCGTCCTTATTCTTGTCGTGCAGATTGAAAAACCACTCTATGTTTTCCATGAGATCGTTGAACATGACACCATCTAGACCGGAGACAATGTCCTATGGTGGTACCTGAAGTCAGATGTTGTTCCTAGAAAATGGTGCTCAATACGAACCTGAAACGCAAGCGAACCCCGATAGGACGTGTCCCAGAACAAGAAAAGACGATCGATGAGCTCGTGTTCGGCGACCTCGCGATCTATTCTTTGCTAATAGCACATATGTATCAGGAAGTTCGGAATTAATGGATTGGCCTTTCTCGTACCTGGAAACCATTCGAAACTATCTTTTCATCTCGCGCCCAAGTGCATATTTCACTGAGAAACACCTTGAACGTATTCAAGCCTATTCGTGTCTCGGGTCTATCTTCAGCAGCATCTTTTGTGGTTAACAAAGACGGAGGCGGAAGAGATGCAGCAGGCGGGGGAACAACGCAGATCGACTTAAAAAGGGCATCGTAAATTAGCCCCGCTTGGTCTTTGGTAAAGCGTTCAAGGGTCTTCAGATTACGAATTGCAGAGCGTTTTGAGAATGCTTCGATGCTGTGTACAATCTCGGATCTGAACTTGCGCCGCTCGCTCAAAATGGTGTCGTCTGTAATAACGGAAAACTCCCGGAATGACACCAACAATAGCTCCTGAAAACGAGTGATCGCTCGTGCGCGAGGGTCCGTAGAGTTAGGATGGGCAGAGTCGCCGAGTGAGGAGAAATACTCCCGCATGAGCCTTCATCGAAAAGATCCGTTTTCAATCAGCCTCATGGTAGTGTAAAGAACTCACTGGATGAAACCGCCATCGTCCTGGATTTGTAATAGCTTCTCTCCGTTGATCTTGAGAATAGCTGTCGCATATTGTCAATCAGTTGCATAATCAATATTCAATGCAACTGACCGAGTCTTGGTACGATGGGGTTTCCGTCAGAATCTGCATTCGCAAGGTTTCCTACCACTCACCCTACTTGGAACAGAACTTTCGGACCCATACAAATGAAACAGTCGATGATTCGGAACGCGAAAACCATCGGCATGCTGTTGATAAATCTGAATATATGGCAGGATGAGCATCATCCTCAGCGAAATGGTTCGTGGATCTCACAGACTCAAAAACCATGGTAGAGATGCTACAGAGAGTTGCACGTCGACCTGCTGGAAATGCTCATGGATGATTGGTAGGCACCGATGCACCAGTGACTCGAATACACGTTGATCGAGAAGAGTCCCATGCATAGAGGGACTAGTAGCCGTTAAGTCACTATTAGAAAACAAAACGATAACGGGCTGGTGCGCACCTGTAGTAGCCCGGCAGCAAACGATCGCAGATAATTTCTAATAACCAGAAGGCTTGCTCTTCGGACATGTAACTATTCTGGATGTTAGGTAATGGGTGAAGGTGAAGCATGAGAGAATCTTTACATCAAGATCGCCGCCGCTAATATATTCATGGCCTGCATTGACCTAAGTGGCATGAACAAATGACGCAATCAAACACATTAACTCACCTGGCAGTACCCGGTTTCCGGATTCTTAAACGAATAGGCTTGCAGTACTCTGCGCAGGGATGCAATGCCCTCTTCGGACTGATATGCTGAATATTCAGGGAGACTACGGTGCAAATCCTTTTCAATCTCTTCTGTACTCGTGTTCGTCCGACCAGAGTTTTCTTTCAATATACGTTCGTAGAATCCAGGGTTCTCAAAGCGCATGTACAGTGATCCAGATAGGGTCTCCCACATTTCCCCGCGTAGTCTGTTAGGAAGACCCACTTGCACAAGTCGTGTACAAGTCTGATAGCGCAACAGAGTAAGGTTGCGACCATGTGCTGGAAGTCCTTCATTCAGAGGCTAATTTAAGCAATAACGGAGATAGACTCACTTCGAAGATAATTTGTCCAAAGTTTCGTCTTAGAAGCCTCGCGCAGCCTATTCTCGGTCAGATAATATGATCATATGGTAGAGAAAGTCCTTACTTCTTAGGATCTCCTGGAAATTTAAACTTCAATCCAAGCCCACCAAGATACATAGATTCTGACGGGGATGCATTGGCTTCGTCCGCTTTGGTTGCAGCACCTTCCTTCTCCTCGTTCTCAGATAGTACCAGTATTTCGGAGTAGCATGTCTTCACAAAACCTTTGATGACCTTCATCTGCCCCCGTTGCAATTCAACCTTCAAAGAGTCGCGGAGAAGCGAGCAGAACAAGTCTGCTGTTGGCCGCAGGGCTGTTAGCTGTACAATCTGTTCCATAAACCACACTTATCAAAGCTAAACCCCGATAAATAGATGCCGTCACGAACCATCTTCATTCCATGCCATAGTGACAAGCTCAACGCATATACCCCCGCCCGAGCGCTGAGTCGCTCGACCCTCCGAATGGTACTGAGCGGGATCGCGAACCGCGTAGATTTGCGGTCCAGTGAGGCGAAAGTGAGGTACGGCGGCAGAAGATAGAGCTTGCCTGGCTACCACATATATGCCATCGTTTGAATCCATTCTCCATCTGACCAGTGTAGCACGACACTTACCCATGTCTCCTCTCCTTGCAGGACCAAGACGGCACTGATCTCCATCTTCTCCTGCTGCTCTGCCGCGCCCTTTTCCCCATGATAGATTGGTTCTTCTGGTGGGAGAGCGAAGAACAAGTGTGTGAGTTGGTCCTTGGTCGGCTCCTTGAAATTGCGCAGCTGCGTAGAGATGGTCGACATAGTGAGGACCGCAAATTCTGAGACTAGTTCTCACGCCAGATTGGCCAGATCAACGGAAGAGAGTGAATGTAGACGTATGATAACAGATGCAAGACGTAAATCAAAGGGAATGAAAAGGGTGCCGAATGCAACACTGCAATCGACTATGTATGGCGGCAATCTCATGCAATGGGGGCCATACAGCTCGCCGCGATCTCTCGGCAGCCACTGCAAGTCCTACTTTGAATTCTCAGTCTGACCAAGTAAAGTACCTTGGTCCGACTCTCGCCAAAAACCCGCGGTTGGCCACTACGTCAAAGAAATACTAGTACTTTGTGTTAGCCATTGAATAAACACATAATCGATATCATGATCAGGCATTCTAGATCTTTGAATCTTCTATCAAATCGGTATACGCAGTGGCGTGGAACTCAAAGTTACATGGAAATGCAGGTTGATATACGTACGAGAAAGTAACAAAACTGTGGAAGAGAACAAGGCTGAAATGCTACATAGATACAATGCCTAACCAATGCATGAAAGGAATACGGATATGGAGCATCATTGTTGCGAGAGGAAATCGGCATGTCGATCGTTTCTAATCGTATAGGAATAAAGTGAGGATCTGTGGCCTGTAAGTCCACAATAGCGGAGGAGATTACGTCCTGCTGTGCATGTATCGCTGCCTGGCGAGTGCCATTGCTTCCCGCAATTCTGGTGTCTGCCACTGCGATTCGTCCTCGTGGAAACTTGCACTGGCGAAGGCATTCCTCTCCACTGAAGCATCTCGACGGAGGTGACATGGTGTGCTTGGGACCGAGGAACCTCTATAGGACCGATTGAGATCGAAGGTGCTGCGGCGAGGTGAAGCGCTGGGTAGAGGAGATCCGTGACGAGAATAGGGTGGCAAGCCAGAATTTCCGACCATTCGGCTAGTAGATGCGTGCGAGTGTCCCGCATCTTCTTCCTCCCATCCATCTGCGCCATCATCTACTTCATCCTCTTGAGACTCACTCATTACGACCACTTCCTTGCCGAGAGCACGTTGTCCTTCAGCGATTAGAGATGCAAGTCTATCACCCATCCAACTTATCTAGAAGCATGACGAGTTAGATATGAGCTAGTAAGGCACCACAACAATCATACCTGGTCGTCACCGTCGGCGTCCTCGGCCGTATCTACAGGGAGTGGCGCTCCAAAGTTAAACTCCGGGGGGATGGGGGCGCGACTTGCAGACACTGATGAAGAACCATAGGAGATGGAACTGGGTCCAGCGCGGCTTAAAGCCTTGCGATGCCGCGCTTGAGTTCGTCGACCAGCAACGTGACGTGACTTGCGAGACCGGGGGGTTGGAGGTGTAACCTGGGTTACGGGAATAGAAGGAGAGTCGGGCTAGCAGATCATGAGTCCCTCTGATGATGAATTTAGCCATCTCACGCACCTTTGGAGGTACCCATTCACCTTGTTCGTACGGGGGAGGAGGGAGAGGCTCGGGCTGTTTGCTGCGGTCTCTCCAGCTATAACCACTTCTGTCAGTCCGACGATCGGATGGTGGCGCATTCTATCGACACTCACAGGCGATACACGGTAAGGCCGACTGCAGTTCCGATAAGAGCAGCGCTCAACGCAGTTGAGACGATAGAACCAGCAAGCGTACGACGGCGCTTGGGCGGAGGCAGATCTATGTGAACATGGAAAGTTAGGTGAGATGACATGGGCAATGAGATGAGATGCACAGCAAGCATTTATGCAATCGTATGTTGGAGCAGCGCGAAGGGGCGCACAGGTTAGGGCGTGGGCAGAGGCAGGAATTCATGAATTTACATGCTGAGAACACGTGTTTGCAGCATGCCCGACATCGAGGCGCATACAAATAGATAATCAGAAGCATGCGCGATAGCGCATACAGAAAGCGAGGTGAAACACGCAGCTAAGGGGTGCTCACCTGTGGCCATCTCCTCCAGCTCATCTCCGTTGGATGCCATCTCTCTGTACTTTGCGGGGGTATCGAGGTAACCACTGGTGGAGGTCGGGATGGCAGCAGCTTGGCTTATCTCCGAATTTGCGGGCACCCAGCCCCTCTTGCGCGAACGGGGGGGTAGAAGAGAAGGGGAAGGCGGTCGGCGGTACAGCTGTGCCTTGCTTCCGTTCTTGTCACCTTCAGCGTCAGGAAATCCATTATTTCCCTGGCCCAGCGACGGCGTTGGTTCGCATAGCGTAGAGAACGGGTTTGTTATACCGGGAACTGTGAGAGTAAAGCTGAAAGAGAACGGCATAACAGAGTCGTGAAGATCGTTCAAAAAAGCAAACACTGGCGAACTTGCGAGCGCAAAGCCTTGGATTCACTCGGCAGCGCGATAAAGTCAATATGCCGCGCACGTGATGGCAGCCTCTATGCGTTCCGTTTATGGAGAGCCTGAGAAAGCATTACGTCATCACCTTTTTCCCTCTTCTCAATGTTGTCCAGCCTTGTCTCGACGGTGCATGACCTTGTCGCAACCATTCATCCTCTTGGTTCAGCTCGCAATACATTCATCCTGTTTTGAGCTTGTTCGCCGTACACCTTATGCATACCGTCTGTGCGACACATTTTTGACAGATTCTTGCCTGCTTCGCCGCGTATATCTACGTCTTGCATAGCTTCTTCTATTGCGTAGACGTTAAACGACACGGCAAGATTATTCGTCTGTTGCAGACTGCTCATCCTCAGCAGATCGTCTACCTTCGTTTTTCTGTCAAGGCTGATGTTTTGATTGGATGAGACATCTTTCTGGAGAGTTATCTCAGTAATTAAAATCGCGCACTTTCATGAATATTGTCACTGCCTTGAGCGCAGGTACTGTATCATGGTACTAGTGACCGCCTCATTTTAAAACGTTACCGCAGCCTTCGCTTGTGACTCACTGAAGGAGGCGTATAAATGACCGGGGCCTAGCTGGTCAGCAAGCTTCACATGTTCAATATCATTGTGCGTCCGGCTGTTGACTCTGTTCATGCATGGTCTCGTACCCAAACGTGTCGAAGACTCATGCAGTACATACAGCTCCCGGGATACCGGTAGACATTAGATACGGATATCCGAAGCCTGCAAGAGTGAAGGCTGAAGGAAGTATCCGCACTGCTCATAGGGAAATGCTCACCGTCACGAGCTCATTGCAAGCCTATAGGGTGTCTGGGACATGATTTTCCTACTCAAGTTTATGAAAATGAGAGGTCGTTGTCTCGCGACCATACTTACAATGTTTGCTGTCATTTTGCCAGAAGTGAAGCTGCCGCTTGTCTACATGTTGTCCATAGACCTCAGGCGTGTACCTTGATCAGACGATCTTGATCGCCAACAGTTGGATATAAGTACGATTACGTGATTAAAAATTATATAATTTCCTACAATTCTACACAAATTCTACACCTTCGCCCTAGATCGACGTGGTCCATTGGTGCGTTTAATTTATCTATGCTCTACAAGATCTGGCTTGGCCATGTCAATACATGATCTTCCGACCAGCTTCTACTAAGTCAGCGTCCCTACATCCCTCGCCCAATGGGTTATTCCGCATTTGCATCGACGGATCATGTATTGTCGAATCGAGAACGATCGAGGACGCAGAAAGCTTCAAGTTCTATGGACCGTACAGTATACCGGTTTCATTAAATGCTGTGAGTAGCGAATTTGCTCCGCGCACGGATTGCTGGGCCCTTGAAAAACAACACCTATACATGGTCGTGTCTAAGTCATTGTGACCACTTTCAGTTAGAGTGGACTTACGTATGGGATGGGGATCATGACAACCGCTATTAGAGCGAACAGTGTGTTTGCCCAATGATAAGTCAGTCGGTTGAACATGGGAGTCGTGAACATAGGGAATGCCATGCCCATCATGTTACGGAAGAGACTCTGTCCAGCGAGAGCGGAGGACGCCCATTGTCCATAACTAACATGACGCAGATATTTAAACCGACACAGATATCGAATATTGGACAAACAACGCACCAATCGGCAAGGTATGTGAATACCGCAAGATATATGATGAACAAGGCCCACATGATACACTGACCAAAACGAAATGTCAGCGCGAGTGGATAGATGGACAGAGTGAAGTAGGTATTCGTACCACAATGCCAATTGCGAGCGCTATCCAGTATACTTTCGTGTATGTCGACCAAGCATAGATGAACATGCCCACGGGAAACAGGACAGCGGCAAACATAGGGGCAAATAACCGAGCCTCTGGGCCTCGTGTACCAGCATACTTTCTGTATGCAGAATGAAGCGTTCTGCTTGATAAACCGAGAGTAGAGGGACACATACTGATACATCTTTTCTTGGTACACGTTAGAGCACAAGCCAAGCGCTGCACCAATCCTATAGCAATGATATGATGTTAGTTGCATGATAATGAGACTCAGAGGCCAAGACACAAACGCGATGCAAACAAAAACCGTGCCGTCTTCACCAGAATTAAAGTTGTGCAGCGTCTGGAATACTGGACCAATTGATCTAGATCGTGTGTCAGGGCTCCGGACAGTGGCGCTGATGCTGCATGAACCCTCACTCGATCATTACATACAAAATTCCCCATGCAAACCCGACCCAAAGCTTATAGTGACAATGCGTAAGCTCCAGACATCAGTATTTTGATTCAAACACATACAGTGAAGCTTGCGATGACAGGTTCAGTAAACAACAAATCTGCATGATCACGTATGTCAAAGACGAGGCGAAAGGCGAATTGATCAAAAGGCTTACATAAGGGTCGAGTGCATGAGATGTAGATAAGTGTAGCCAGGGAGGCGCGTTCATCTTCAACCCGGGCGCGTATCCGCTGATCGCCAGATTCCTTTCGCCTCTTCTTGGCTTCACGCATTAGTAGCACAGACACACGGGTCTCCGTCATTAAAATTGGCACAGCGATAACGAACACTGCACCCAATCTAAAGAGAGCTTGAGCATAAGAAAACTGAGAGGATAAGAGGGATACTACCATACATAGCGTGTATCCATTGAATCCAGCGCCATCCGAGGTGCGGGTTTTGTTCGATCCAGCCGGACGCGACACAACCGAGACCAGTGCCACCTATTGCAGCCGCTGCAAAGAAAGACATGGCAACGCCACGCCTGGAATAAAATCATGTGAACCCGTTCAACGACAGTACAGCAAAAAGAAACGTACACGCGAGGTGAAAATATATCGGCGACAGTGCCACCGACCATCGTAGAACCCGTGGAGCCAAATGCGCCAGCCAAAAATCGAACTATAAGAACTGTTTGTATGTTCTTGCCTCTGCAGTTTTTATCAGTCTCTGCGAGGAGCCCGAGGCGGTCACAAGATCTTACAATGCTGCTGCAACGGTAAACAAGAAGAAGCCGATGCCGCTGAAGAAGTACAAAGGCTGCCTTCCAAATTCTTCACTGAAAGATGCCGTCACGAGGGGGACAATACCAAAACCCAGCGCATACAGCGATATCCCAAGAGTCGCTTGAAACTCTGTGCAATTCAGGTCACGTTCCATCGAAGGGAATCCAAGAGCGAATGACGCCGAAGAAGAAGCTGTCAACGACATGGGTAAGCGACGATCAATAATGACATATGGACGAGCTACTACTCACCGACAAGCACTGAGAAATAGCATGCTGTAAGCAAGATCGCGCGCCTACGAGCTGGGGAGAAGTTGGCGGGATCCCTTTTGTCTCCCTTGTCAAACTCAATCTAGCGACCAGAGTGAGGGAACATGAGATCGGTGAGAAAAGCAGCAGCATACGTAGATAGGTTCCGAAATGGACGAGGCGTCTTCGGACTTTTCATGAGAGCTTTCCTTTTCAGAGCTGTGGTCTCTGTGGAGATGATGGTCCGAGTGATGAATGTAGCCGTTCAGCTGCTGCGTATAATTTTCGTCGAGGATTTCGTTGTCAGGCCTGTCCGCCGGACTCAGACGAGGATCGATGCGCTCTGAAACATCCTCAAGAGCGCGAAAGACGACATGAGAACCGTTGTCGTCGCCTGCGAGAGTAGCCTCTTCGTCACCAACGTGCGCCATGACAGGGAGATACTAGCTAGATGAGCCGATGCGAAGGGACCATCGGACCTCCGATTATATATGGACGACTAAACATGGCGCCTGCCGGGGAAGCAGCAGTCGGGTGGAAAACAGTCACTATAGCCGGGGCCGACATGCAGCACGGCCAAGCCAATCAGAAGCGGAGCTTAGAAAGGCAGATAGGTACTGGCTGGCACCAACGCCCCACCATGCTGGGATGTGGAAGATGGCTCGAGATTTTAGGTGTGCCGGTGTGCCGTGAAATTAACCCTCGGCCGAAGCTCTCATCGCACCCCACGCAGACGCTCGCCCTTATCAATCAGAATAATCTGACCAAGACCTGACTCAGCCTCTTGGATTCCCTCGGGCGCTATTCTAGATTTGCATCTACTGCCTGTGGGATCACAAGTCCCGCCCGCCGTCTTACGAGGGTCGGAGAAGCCTCCGAGTACTGATCGGAGGAGGATGTATTGACGAAAGGAGATTCCTACTTATGCCTGGATTGCCCAACGCATCGCTCGCCGGTACCGAGCCTAAGCGCACGATCGCGGATCTGCTCCTTGAATCTAAGGGCAACGCCTTGGGATTTCAACAGGAACAAACAAGCTATTCATCCTGATCACATGACTCTACGTTACAACCTCCGTTGAGCACACCCGTGAACCAGGTTCGTCTGCACCTCCATCCCTCGTTCCTACCTTGTGAGAGCAGGCTAACTTGATTTTTTGTAGTTAAACCCACTTTACGGGTGTCTTGCCGTCTGTCGGAACTTTCCTGCCTTGTGATTAATCAAGCTCGGTGTCAAGCATGCATCATTGCTGTTGGAAGTTGCGCAAAAATATCATGGGAAAAGGTCTTCGGCGCGCACCATTCAGCACGAACCAATCCCCGGATACCATACGCCGAGACCTGCGCGCTCTGCTCCGCGAGACAGCGCAACCCGTCGCAGTGGTGACGTCTCTCATGCCAGGGCACGAGACGCATGCAAATAACACTCATACCTCCAGATACCACGGCGCCACTCTTTCGTCATTTAGTTCCATCGCTCTGGACCCCCATCCGCTCATCGCGTTCTCCCTCCGCATCCCATCGCGCATGGCTACCTCGCTCAAGTCTGCGCAAGCCGCGCCCCCCGTCGCATCACACATGGTGATCAACATTCTATCCGCTGCACAAGCGGCCGTTGCAGTACGCTATTCGCGACCGGACTTGTTTTTGGATCCATTCGTGTCGACTTCTTATGCCCTGACGGAGGAGGGCTTGCCCGTGCTCACTGGTTCTCTAGGTGCACTGTCGTGCAAACTCGTGGCGATGTCATGGCCCCTCCATGACCTTGAAGCCCTGCGAACTAGAGGTGGCATGGAAGAGCAGCCGTGGGAGGGGGATGGTGTTGCGTCGGAACTTTTCATTGCTCAAGTCACACGGGTGGAATCTCTGGTCCCCCAAGAGGGACGTGACAGCCCTTCCCTCTCGCCATTGCTTTATCATCGCCGCGGGTACACGACTACATGTAAGTGTAACCTACCGCCTGATGAAGATAAGTAGTCATGAAATAATATCGTTTCTTTGTAATGCTGGATATAAATACAATAAGTGTCTACAAATAGCAATATGAATTCAAAAAAACGAAATTGCTACATCCTAATGCAACAAATGTGCACAAATTCTTACAGCTTCATAAAAGAGAATAGTTGTGTGAGGTTGACCCATCGGCGCCCGCACTGATCTAGATATTTGTCCACGGTTGCAGACATCGCATGCAAGAATTCCGCTTGCACATTCACCAGTGCGCTCAATTCCTCTGAGCAAGAGTCATTTAGCACGCTAAGATGGTGACTTGTAAAGCACTCACCTTTTCTAGCACCAGTGGCGGCGTCCAGCGCCTTTTTGCCATCAAACAATGACGAGTAGTACCGGAGCTGAGTGTACAACTGTGCATCAGAGTACTAATGTTGACCGTTGGCTTAAGCACTTCAGCTCCTTATTTTCACGGGAAATCCTCACCTCAAATGTTACTGTCCCTCGACAGCCCTGCTGCAAGCATCTTCGACCGTACACACCCATCATGCGTGTCCTGTTACCACATGCTGGGTCATCACACACCATCCAACCCTCGTAGAATCTTCCTACGTGTTCTCGGATTTGTACCTCAAGCTGCACCTGCAAGCTCGGCTGGCCCATGTGAGTATGACATGCAGGACATGCAGGACCTGCTGACGAGAGCAATGTCGACTATAACTCTAAATCAGCAAGATACAAATATTGAGGAGTAAACAGTCGCCCACCCCCCGATCACTGATGGGCGCATATGCAACTTGGCCTTGACACGACCGGCATCGGACTATGAAGGGATCACAGTCTTTGAATCGCTCCGCGTCCGATATGAGGGAGTCAAATGAGCCAAAGTACCGTTCTTCTGACTCGCCCGCCGAAGTACGGTACCTGCTAGCATCCAAGCCTGCATGCTAGTTAGCCCAGCAGCAAGCATATCGCATTTCATTGACGCACCAAGGCACTCGGCCAAACGAGCGCGGTCTGTTCCCTCTATAGGTTCGCACAGACGTTCGATGGGAGGAAGGATCTGCTGAGAGAGGTAATACTCATAGTCTAGACGTAATCCACTATCAGCTTGCAGCACCGAACAGATGAACTGTCTGCCCACCAATCCTCAGCTCGGCACCAGCTCTCCGCACTTCATCGGGATGTCTGGCGCGGTCCGCTTGTGCTGACTTCGCACTCTCGTTGTTGTCGTTCAAGCAGAACACGTAAGGAATCACGTCGCCAGAGCGAGCTGTGCCACCTCTAACTTTCATCCGCAGGGCAACTTGAACGTGTGGCTGACTCTTTCCATCGGGATAATCTTCGGGGTTTTTTCCTAGTCGCTGTACGTGCTATCAGCAGACCACCGTGAAAAGATGTTGGGACCACTGCATACCTTGAAGACAATGAAGTCTTCTAGCTTTATCTTTCCAGCACGCACGTCCTCTCCCATCGTTGTCAAATAGTCGTGCACCCGCTCGACCACTGTCTCTGTCTCTTCCCCTGACAATATTTGATCCAAAACGTATCTGGTACATCACTTGTCAAAACAAAAAACAGCTTTCAGAAGACTTCTCACGTACTGAGAGACATTCTTTGATAAATTACAATACTCTCTGCGCTTCATATCGAGACCCTTCACTTCGGTCGACGTGCGAGTACCATCTTCCACTTTGATCGCTGCATATTTCTTCTTTTGAAGCAGCAAAAGCCGTTGGAATATACCGTCAAGGTCAATCTCCAGTAGTCGATAGCGATCATTGACCGCTTTTTTGAACTCAGAAGAGATTTTGAGAGCCTCTGCCAGATCTGTGACGTTTGAATTCACGAATACGGAGTCAGTGTCTCCGTAGACAACCTACATTAGATGTTAGGCATAGTCGACATGCATGTGTACGCTTACGTACATCAAGCTGCAGACTTTCTGCCAACTCTCTCGTGTGCGTTAGGATCTCGCGACCCTTGAAAGTTGTAAGCGCAGCAAGTGGCCGCGCGTAGAATCTTGAATACTCAAACCCAAGGCACCCGTACATACTGTTTGCAGTCAGTTTAAGAGCCATCTGCTTAATATCCCACTAAAATATCACTTTAAGCCGGCTCACTATTCCATATTCTTTGTCTGGACTCACCTGCAGCAGCTGAGATTGAGTCGCCTTTCGATCTTTCATCAGGCTCTTGACTTGTCGACGACGGCCGACAAGGGTAGCAATCAAGCGAGGCAACACGCCTAGTGCAACGTCAGAACTTGGAGGTTCAGGGATCTTCTCTTCGCCATCCTGAATTGAGGAAACAGTTACTGATTTAAGGCATAAGTGCACAGCTTGAAGCGTACCTCATCTTCTACCCGATCAACCGTGGTGAAATCGATATTGTACTCCTGTATAATACTGGGGTACAGAGAATTGAAATCCATGACAAGAATAAACTTGTCCCATAGACCTCGCTTGGGTTCGAAAACAAGACCTCCTTTGTACTTGTCCCTCTTGCTTTTCGTCGCTTTACCACCTCCTTCGAGGTCATCATCCTGCATCTCCTTTTCCGCTGTGGCCGCCTTCTTTCCCCAGAGCTTATCGGGGCAGATGTATTTAAGCCGATGGAATTCGTGAAGTAGAATGTACTCGTTACGTTCCGCTCGTCCGCCATTCAAAGTTTTATTCCTGGACTTCGTCAGCTCGTGATCTAGTAGCCGAGAAATGATCATCCCACCAAGAGTTGCCAGCGAGGTTCGTTAGTTGCCTTGTCAAAGGCAGTATTTGTACTTTCGATGCCAATGCCATCTGATAGTGCGCATCTAGCTCACAGTGACGAACAAACGTCAGAAGTCGCTCAGGGGAGCTCACGCTACTGTCGAAGTAGCTAGCGGTGTCATCTGGATCGATATCCTGTCGGTCGCTCTTCAAGTGTGTTTTGCACATCTCCGTGAGTGACCACGTCGTCGACGAGATCATACCCTATCGGGATAGGAGGTCAACAATGATACGCCATCCCATGACGTGTCCAACCTTAGCACTGTCGCTAGCCAGGTCACACAGTAGCCTACCGTTCATAAACTTCATATTCGTCCCCTGCCTACCGATCATGGGCCATTTTGATCGTCTAAATCTACCGATCCGCGACCAGTGATCTGCTTTAAGATCCCGCATCCGGTGGAGCAAAACATCTAGTGAAACGCCGAGGAACTCATGGCCTACGATGACGTCCGGGTCCGCTTTGTGGATCGTAGCTACGCATTCGAAGATGTCAATAAATAGAATTAATAAGCATGTCTCAACCCACCAAGTAGGCTGCTCAACAGCATGCGCTCATTCTTCATGGTAGAGATTACGCCCTTGCCGTTACCAGCCGCGCGGACTTCAAAATTGGGAGGAAATCGGTCCAGAGGACGGACAAACGTTCGCACAAGACATGGTAGAGCCTCTGGAGGAGTGGGATCATCAAGGTCCGCTACAGAGGACGTGGATATTAGTGGAACATAAGGTGAGACAGTACCCCGATACGCACTATTCGACCAGATTCTGGAGGTAGCGCAGACGACCTCTCGATTATTCTCCTTATGATTCACGATCGTGCGTAAACTCAAGCTCATGATCGTTAAAGGCGGGATCTCTCTAGGAGCTTGTGGATCGGTTTCGGAGAACGGGTTGATATCCTTCGGGTCGGATACGGTAGTTTCCATTTTACACCACGAGACCTACAAGGCGGACTGAGAAATAAAGTACAAATGCCAGCGATCATACTTACTCCTTTGTGTTCGACCTGAGGTTTCTTAATTTGTAGCCAGCAGGGACCCATGATCTTGCGTTTTAGCACTAGGAGTTCGAAGGCGCTCGTACTAGTACCAAATATCCGAGCGATACTAGGACTACACGCATTATTCGGAAGCTGGGGTTCTGTGACACGCAGGCAGTCAGAACATTCTTGCGCAATGAGCAACACTAAGCACCTTCGAAGCCATATACTACCTTGAACCATTGGGACTCGCCTTTTGGCACGTCCTTCTCCCCAAACGCATACCGCCTCTTGACAAATTTACCTTTCCAACTCTTGATTCCAGCATGCTTCCGGATGCGGTCGAAGTCGCTGAAAACGTCAGACATATCAGGCACTACATCGGTCTCGTATAGTTTTCCTGTTTCATCGTCTTCTTCCATTTTCCGTTCGCGAGGTAAAACGAATAAGTTCCGTTGCAGATTCTCGATAGTCACACAGCATGAAATCCATGTCCTTGATACCTTGTCTTGCGTCTTGCCTACAAGGTACAACCTGCCCTCATGTTCGAGATAATCCAACCAGTAGAATCGAAAGGAACCATCTTTTTCGAGGACCGATATGTCAGCAGCTTTCGACGAGTTTGTCGTTCTGAGCGACTGCCCGAGCTGATCATCAGGAGCAGTGCTAAGTGATTCATAAGTGGAGAGCCACGAGGGTACGTCGTCTAATCTTTTTGGCCGCTCCTGCGCGCTGTATTTGCCGTTGGTCGGTTCTAGGGCTGCAGGTTTTGCACTCTCCAACTTGAAATGTCCGAGGCCAGCTTTCTGAGGAGTGAGTGCTTGCAGCTCGTCTTCATCTACTGCCATGAAGGCATCCATATCGATGTCATCGAATGAGGTATCGCCTCCATCCGTTCCACTAGCCGCACTGTTCACCTCTAGTTTGTTGATACGCTCTGTGGCAGATGTCACTCCGTGCGACTCCATTTTGATCTTCTTCTTCGGATTCATGACCAGATCGTCACTGGAGGGTATATTAGCCAAACCGTCATCTAATACCCCGTCTGAGGAAGCGTCTGCGTCTGCATACGAAGTTCTGTAGTTGTATGCATTGGCACGCCTGTACACTGAGGAATCATGACCATTGGGCGAAGAATTTCCCTCTGCGTATTCAAATGCAGGAGAAGGCTTGCGTTTGCGTGACTTTGCGGCTTCCTTGATTTTGCTCGTATTGCTATCAAATTCAGCCATGAGTGAAGCCATGAAGTCTGTCTCTTGATCCACAGAGACTATCGGCCTATACGCGTTAATGGAGGTTGTGACCTCTGGAGGGGGCGCTTTGGGTCTTGACCTCGCTTTGGTTTTCGAGTCGCCCTTGGATTTCGATAGCTTAGCTGTATGTAGTCTCGAGGAGTGAGACTACTACAGTCAATTAGGAATGACACACATACATTTTCTTCCAGATCTACACTCGTCGCTTTCTGCATACTCTTCAAGCTCTTCGAAATCATCTATCCCGTTGTCCATGTAGCCTCGGACACCGTCGTCGATTACAAAATCATCCTTGGCAAGCCTTCCCCGGACGATCGACTTGTATTGGTCTTCAGTGACTTCATCGTATAAACTAACGTCTTCCTCCTCCTGAAAATTCAATCTGTTACAATATGTGCGACGGGTCGAGCAAAGACTGTACCTTCCACGCACGACCACCACCATCCCTAGCGCGTTTATATTCTGCCCATTTGTCAACTTTGGATCCCCTTTCGCGCCGCGCACGATCAGCCATGTTTGACGGGTGGAAACACAAGTACGGATAGGAAGAGCCCAAGTAGACGAACAGTTACGGTCAGTGTTCAATGATACGCCTCAGACGCGACGCGTTTCTGAACGGAGAATAAAAGCGCGTCATACTATACAAACAATTATTATTATAATTCACATAAGTATACTTCTTATGTATGCTATTACGTAAATATTCAACTAAGTTCTCACTCATGAGGCTAGCTTCTATTACTAAAACTAATCCTACTATACAGTAGTTGTCACGAGATCATCCGACCAATTGATTATTTATGATTCCTCAGCAAAGGAATACAAAACCTACAGCTAGCTGCAGCCGAACACTTGTCTTCCTCACCGCCAGCATGGCCTCGCACATATTCCGTTCCACATTTCGCTCGTCGGTACGTGGTGTTCTGGCACGAAATCGATTCTATTATCTATGTTGTGCACAGGTAACCCCCCTTCTCCGGACTCCGGCCCCGACGCACGCCTTTGGGTGCCCTACGCTCTCCCTTGCGCGGCGCTTCCTCTCTCAAGCAGTTCGTTCAAAAATACAGTCGGCGGTGACGGCCACCCCCGTCGTACTTTTCATGAAAGGGACCCCGGATGCGCCGCAATGCGGATTCTCGCGTGCGGCAATACAAGTTCTTGGTTTACATGGAGTACCTCCGGAACAGCTACAGACATATAATGTATTGGAGGACCAGGAGCTTCGCAACGGTATCAAGGAATTTTCGTAAGTCTTCTGTTCTGACTTTGTGTATCCAGCAATTCACATTGTTGGATTGCGCAATCCAGGGACTGGCCCACAATTCCGCAGCTCTACGTAGATGGCGAGTTTGTGGGAGGCTGCGACATTCTCTTGAGCAGTGAGTCATCTTTGTCGATAATCAAATGGTCTGTTCTCACCCATACAAGTGCACCAATCGGGCGAGCTAGAAGACCTACTTGAAAAGAAAGGTGTCCTCCCACCACTCGCTGAACAGCCCACACCTGGTTCTACATGAGCTAGTTTAGATTAGCGAATACACTATATGTCGCAATTTTGCTGTATTTACCTGTTTATCACCCCATTTCTGCCTCATCTACTGTGGTCATAAATGTATTACTCTGGCGCGTATTCCACCAATCCGTCAGCATCCAAAATACCTCGCCTCACATTCTCTCCTTTCGCGCGCATGAGATCCTCCACCGTTTTCAGCTTTCCTTCCTCCGTACTTTCCTTAAACCACCCCAGGTGGTCCGCTATTAAGTGTCTTCCGAGAAATAATTGAACATCGTGCAGACTAGACTGCAGCCCATTACACTTACCTATTCTTGCAGCCTGGACATTGCACAATCACAATTCCTTTTTCATAACTCCTTTTGGTGAACTGGTGTGATGAACGCGTGTCGCACCCAGTCACTGTACACGTGAAAGTTAAGGAGAGACGAGGCTCAATCTGCGCGCTGGTAGTAGTCTGAGAGGTCTCTGATTCAGATGGTGTCAAGTTGCTTGATGAAGATTCATAAGGTCCCGTTGTTGTGAGTTTGGCGTACGATATGGAAAATGGACGCGTCCGAAATGCGGAGAATTGGTCAATTCTTGAGACTCCAAGGCAATGGCGAGTAATACGGCTGCTACAGAGTACAGGAGATGTAAATCTGCAGCGTGATAGCCGTCTTGCAACTAGCATTATGTTCAGAGTGAATTGTAAGAGTGAGTGCTCGAGCGGCCACTATGGATGATCGATTATGCAGACGTAGACTGAGTCGCTGAGATGGAGAAACTGCGAAAATAACAGACGCAGCACACGACCCGTAACGCTCACGAGTATACGTGACATCGTGACGCTAACGCGGAGTTGAGGTCGGCTTGATGCAGGGGCCCGGACTAGAGTCAGGTAGATGCGTTTTTGCTTCGACCTTTTGTACAATTTCATACTGTGCACGACTGTGCAATCATTTCCGCCAAACCACGACAGTCGTTGGTAGTCCCAGCGCTGGCTCTAGTATGGCCCCGGCCTCTGGCCGTGTCAAACAATACGCTACTCCTGATGCATTGCCTTTTGTTCTGGAATGTAGTGATGGTAAGTTTGGAATGTCGTCTTTGATGCTGTGAGATCTGACATGTACTAGTATGAGGAAATCTGGACCAAACCGATGGTCACCAGACCAGAATTTTGGGACCCTGTACTTATAAGAGAGCCTCAGAAGGGGTGACTTTGTCACTCAGACAACTTGTTTTCTAAGATGGTCTTCTCGTACTTTAATATCTGCTTCCTTACTATGGCTTTTATGCTTACTGCTGTGGATGCAGATATGCACACTGTATCATTCACAAACAAGTGAGTAGGAGCATATTACTTCTGCATACCTCACAGCTCAGATCCATCTCAAATCCTAGTTGTGGGTACGGAACAGTTAGTATCTTGTATTTATTTACAGGTATATCTACTGAAAGTTTTTACCAGCCTAATTTAGTTGCAGAAAGTGGCACTCTTCTTTCGGACGGGGCACCCTTGACTATGAATGGCCCTCTGATAGGAGCTGTCGCGTGAGTGGTGTTTACAGCCCGTTTTCAGATTGTCCACAACCTCAGGTGCCTCTTAGTTTTCTACAGACAGGTCTGTATTGTCGCAATCCCTTCAGGATATCTCATCTTATCTGCCATCTTCATTGCACAGGTAACTGTGGTAATGATGGTGAGGATTGTACAACTGTCAACATAACGCTCGAAAATGGAGAAAATAGTTTTACTGTCAACCCGCCGTGAGATACTTCCATTGCAAATCATTACTCAAATATGCTAAATTGATTTCATCAGTTATGGCTCTTCTATCAGTGTTAAGTGAGTCTTAGCGGCCTTTACCTATGTTGTCTCTATCTTATCTAAATCTTCCGGATTCCGTAGGTTCTACAATGGTTGCGATGGGCTAGGTGTAGACTGTAAGTGGGCTTGACTGTCATTTACCGAGCCAGAAGACTATACCTTTCTTTAGGTGGCGTCTCCGGCTGCTCGGGTCCTCAGCCTTTGGGAGTTTCATCATTCGCCAACTGTACTGCACCTAACGTAGGCATATTCTATATTATACTTTTGTATAGCGCCCAAACTCGCTGGCTTCTCCTAGGTTGACCTAGAGATCACCTTCTGCGATTAGAACTTTAGTTCCATCGTAACGACACTCGCCAAGGTCTGTCCACTGACACCACGCTCGGTTTGACTTTAATCACTGCTAGTATTTTGCTAACGGTACCGTCCTCAGACACGTAGCGACAATTTCTGATGTTAATTTATTCCAAGGCTCGCGCGAATACATGCTAAGCTATCGTCTTGTACCCGTGTATGTAATTTATTGGATTGGGTATAAGTAAGTTGGTTCTCTATGCGAGTTGGACAGTCGATTTTGTGAACTAGACTCAGGTTACAGCTACGATGAGTTGAACAACCGGTGATAATTGTACGCTCACAGGTTAGGTTGGTGCTCACTGCCACTGGTCAGTGGCTATTCGCATTCGTCTCATGAGGCTAAGTTGTTTCTTTGTTTGTGAGTCTCGTTTATTGTCCTTGAGGGCAAGACCCTATGTAGATGATAAGTACAGTAGTCTAACAGTCGGAGTGTAGTGGCTAGGAGGCTTAAGTTGATCTTATGGGATAGCTATAGTTCAAGTTATTGGTCGATGTATGTTTACGAATTGCAAATGTTCGGAAGCTGTCAAATCTTGCGTGTACCTAATCGGCGACTAGTTGACTGACCATATGATTGGTCCGAAAGATGATCGAAAAGTTTTGAGTCTGACTCGGAGACTCTCCTCTCTCCCCCAGTCTATTCTTCATGTCTGCACCAATCGGTGGGAAACCTAATCCGCTGTACCGAATGCCGGAAAGATGGCTGACATGCTGATCAGCTCTTCTCTCCGTCTATGACAAGACCAATCTGATCGATTTTGCGCGTGAACTGCACGCAGAAGGGGTGCGTCTTCTAGGTTCAGGGGGTACTGCAAAGAAAATTAGGGATGCTGGTATCCCTATTGAGTGCGTTCCCATACTCCAGAGTTTATCAACAGCCGAATATAATTCATTCGCAGGGATGTCTCTGACATCACGAAAGCTCCAGAGATGTTGGGCGGTAGAGTGAAGACCCTGCATCCTGCGGTCCACGGAGGTAATTTTTTTGGTGATTCCGCGCGATGTCCTTAACCTTTCACGACCACTCCACTCAGGTATATTGGCACGCGACATTCCTCAAGATGAAGAAGATCTACGTGCACAGTCTATCTCACCGATCACGGTCGTTGTCTGTAATCTGTACCCTTTCACTTCAACTATCGCTCGCCCGGGTTGTACGCTCGCAGAAGCGGTAGAAGAAATCGACATCGGCGGTGTGACTCTCCTCAGAGCGGCGGCAAAGAATCATGCAAGGGTTTCCGTCCTCTCCGATCCTTCAGATTACGCCGAGTTTCTTGATTCTTGGAAAGCAGGCAAGGGCAATGTGGGTCAGACGATCCGCAGCAAGTTCGCGCTGAAGGCATTCGAAATGACTGCCAAGTACGATGAAGCAATTGGCGGATATTTCAGAGAACAGTATGCGTCTGCAGATTTGACTCCAGAGAACCTTGCCGGACCCATGCAACGGATGGCACTGCGTTATGGAGCAAATCCCCACCAAAAGCCTGCTCAGGCGTTTGTCACGGAAGGGGAATTACCTTTCAAGGGTGTGTACTCTGTAAATGTCGTTCTCATCATGTTGTTCATGCCGTTCTGTACACAGCTCTCTGCGGCTCACCCGGCTACATCAATCTCCTCGATGCTTTGAATTCCTATGCTCTCGTGAGAGAACTTCAAGAGGCACTCAATTTGCCTGCTGCCGCTTCTTTCAAACATGTCTCTCCCGCCGGTGCAGCCGTTGGTGTTGAGCTCAACGAGACCGAGAAGAGAGTATATGGTGTTGATGATCTTAAGGAACCACTGACGCCCCTCGCATCTGCGTATGCTCGTGCCAGGGGTAAGCGCTATAAGTTATGTGTAGATTGTCCTTGCTCACTTGTGATCGATGGGCCACAGGTGCCGACCGCATGTCTTCGTTCGGTGACTTCATTGCACTATCTGCACCTTGCGACTTAGCCACCGCTCGGATCGTTTCTCGTGAGGTTTCAGATGGTATCATCGCACCTGGCTATTCCTCTGAGGCCCTCGACGTACTTTCAAAAAAGAAGGGCGGAAAATATTGTGTTCTTCAGGTAGGATCTACCCTCTTCCCTTGTGCCATGTCTTGGGACTGAACGGGTGCAGATTAATCCCTCCTATATCCCACCCGCGATCGAAACACGACAAGTATACGGCATCTACATGCAACAAAAACGAAATGATGCCAACATTAACGCTAAGCTTTTTGAGAACATTGTCACCAAGAATAAATCGGTATTCGCATATTGTTTCTGTTTTTTGTACGATTTCTGAGGATTATGTTATCCCAGCTACCAAACCAAGCTCTCACGGACCTGATAGTTGCGACTCTTGCCCTTAAGTACACCCAGTCAAACAGTGTTGCCTACGCTTATCGCGGCGCCATCATCGGGATCGGCGCTGGACAGCAGTCTCGCATCCACTGCACGCGTCTCGCTGGTACCAAGGCCGACTTGTGGTGGCTACGACACCATCCGCGTGTCCTTGCGCTGCCCTTCAAGAAGGGCGTCAAGCGCGCCGAAAAGGCGAATGCTATCGACTTATTCGTTGGCGGCGAGGTTCTCGAGGGCGGTGAAAAAGAACAATGGGAAAGTTTGTTCGAAGAGGTACCGCAGCCGCTCAGCACGGAAGAGCGCACGAAGCAAGCGCGGCAACTTGATGGTGTTGCATGCTCCAGCGATGCGTTCTTCCCCTTCCCAGACAACGTACATCGCGCACGGCGGAGTGGTGTAAAGTACCTAGCTGCGCCGAGCGGGAGCGTGATGGACGTAGAGTGCATCAAGGCAGCAGATGAGCACAATATGGTGTTTGCGCATACGAGCTTACGGCTTTTCCACCACTGACGAACTCGTGCGGGAAGGTAGAAGCGAATATGTGTGTAAATGTACTTACTTACAGACTGAAGGCTCCATTTGAAGGCAGGAATGAGTGGCGAAACGAATGGAATTTACTCTATGAATTGTTCTCGGTCTCCCTAACAGGTTGAGCAGAACATTCCATAAGTTCAGCCCGCATCTCCTCTCGTTCAGTCAGAAGATCTCGACCCCAGTCTTTAATTTCATCGTGACGTAAGAATGGGATGCTACTGTCGAAGAATTGCTGGAGCTGTGTAGAATGATCGCGCTCATATTCTAAGGCTTTGGTCTCATGGTATTAATCGTTGGAGGCAATGACGAAGACGGCCAACAACTCACCTTGCGATGCCATCTCGAAGCGGTCGAGGTCTAACATCGGTCAGCCGATGATCTGGAAGGACTGAAAAACCGACCTTTAACAAATCGAGCCTCGTCAGTTTCGCCTTCTTCGTACTCCTGTTGACAGGGTCTTAATACAAGCTGAATCGCAACAATTGGCGTGTACTTATCACCTTCCAAAGGGCTTCAATTCGCTGAGCCGCAGCACTATTGTGGAGCATTTCATGCCTGAAATTGTGCATGGCTTCCTAAATGCTTGAATAGTGAGATATCAGACAGTAGCGGCATAAAATATTCATACAGCTTCAAGGTGACGCTTCTCAGATTTAGTTATCGCTTCCCAAGGGGCGATGTCGCCAACTGAGGTGTCACGGTTGCAGATTCCCAATCCGAAGTAAGTTAATGGGATTAACCTTGTGCTTCCGCAAGGTCATGAATCAAACACATCATGACACATCTACCAGGTCATCATTGTCAGACACCGACCCATTGGGATGAGTGGCTAAAATTACTTCGGTACATCCAAGTTTTTATCAGCGGTGCACATTGCCAGCATTGCCATCCTGTACATGTGATCTGAAATGCTGCGAGGACGTCAATCGGATTAGTGCATGTCTGAATGACGTTAACATGACAGGAACAATAGTCGCTTCGAGGGTCATAAACTCGAGAGTATGGAAACATACCTTTCCGGACCAGGTATCTGGTATCATAAATACATGGCAAGTGAGTGTTCAATGACTACATTCGTTCAGCGGAGCACTCGACTTGGTGTTTAACCCATCCAGTCCGCTTTTGAGTCTTGAATGAGGCGGATTTAACTTTGAATCGAGAATTTATACTGACACGCAAATGATACGCACCTTTAACCTCTCCAGGGTATGAAAAAATGCAAGTCTATCCTTGGCTGTATTCCCAGTAGAGGAATAAAGAGGGGGAAAGACGCGCTTGCTCAGCGTCGACCCATCTGGTGCCTTGATGGTCGCTGAGGACATTGATTGAATGTGTCCAGACATGGGTTTTCTGGCAGATGGAAAAGAAAAGAGTCGTAAAGCGTGACAATAGATTCTTGCGCAGCGCATCGTCTCACTCGCCGAATGTTCTCGGGGAGTTGCGACTGTAGCGGCCGTTGCCACTTGCACGCAGCGGATATACCCACGTGATGTAATATGTCAATTGGGACCCTTGGCTTCGGAGTGAGGCCGCACCTCTGAACAATCGACCACTTTGTCCGTCATCGGGTCTCCACACAGCCCATATTTGTCAGTGGATAGGGAAAACCGTTAAATACTTCTCGGGAAGCACGGGCTTTGTCAGGCCTACAATCTCTAATGCAGTCGGAGGATCAAGGTTCGCTACATTCTTACATCCCGGCGCCGGTTTGTACTTATCCATCGAGTGCACAGTGACATGCCGAATATGCAGTGCACCAGCGGAGCCCGACCAGCCTCTCTTTCACCCTTGCAAATGTTCGGGCACGATTCGTTATATACATCAAGACTGGTGAGCTACTCTCGTGCTCGTGGCAGTAGTGCACGAAATGACCATTGAGGACTAGCTTGACGACATGGCTCACTCATAGCAAGAAGAAGACATGCGACATCTGCAAGCATCCGTATTCCTTTACGAAGGGTATGTAACTTATGTGTTACGTTGAGAATTCATTCGTCCAACACTATTTACAGTGTATTCGTTGGACATGCCAGAGAGGTTGCCTATTTTCTTGCTACTACGACAACTCTCGCGGCAGGCCTTCTTAGCCCTCTTGTTCTGCGCAAGAGCAGTTATGGTTGCTACCGTTTGGTTAGCATTCTTACCTTGGGCAACTATTTGGACATGGCGGATGTATTTCGTAATGGGCGAATCAACGTGCGTATGCTCCTAAATGTTTTCCTTGGTTCTGTATACTTACGCATTTCTTTTACGTCAGAGCTTGGTGGATTAGCAATCGCTCACGACCGCATTTCGAGCTAGATGATGCCACTTCGCCTACATCGAACTCCTCTAACGTTACGTACATGGGAGTAGTCAATGCAAGTACTTCCATCTTCTCGCATCCACTTGTCCGCGCGGTCTCTTCCGACATAGTATCGGGTCAAATCATTGCCTCGTTAATTGTACTTGTCTTTGTCGCCATCTTCTTGCTGCGGGAGTGGATATCGCAAAATGCTCGTCCTGGAGTCTTTGAGGAAGTCGATGCTCCTGGTGCAGTTGAGTTCGGCCAACCACAGGATCCACCTGCAGTTCTGCAAATTGCACAACAGCAGCCAGCGCCCGTGCCCGTGCCTGCTATCTTGGCGCCACCTGCAAATGGACATGGTCCTGCTGCTGCTGTCCCACACGTTCCTGCTGTTTGGGACAGGCCTCGACGGAATAATTCGGACAGGAATGATATCGAAGAGCCATTAAGAGATGGTCCTAACAAGCGGATTCGACACACGGCTCCTCAAGAAAATCGTGCGCCGCGAGAGCGGAAGGGCCTTCGCAAGGATAAGGGCAAGCGAGTGGCACGGCGTGAACGGTCTCCTACATCGGAGCTCCGCCAGCGTCATAGGTGGTCATCCCCAGGGAAGACCACCTCCAGTATCAACGGAGGTTCAGAGACCGATAACGAGGATCATCAAGCCAAGCAAAAACTTGTAATGGAGTGGCGCAGTAAAAACGCCGAGGGATGGCGAGAAATACGCAATCTCACTTCACAGCCCCTTAACCTCGATCCCGAACAGACCCAATTTACATTTACCGCCCTGTCACCCAGAGGAGACGAGTTCGAGATATCAGGACCTGATTCCGTATATAATTTGGGGACTACATCCTCGAGGCCTCGCTCTACAAACCCCGATGTTCCTGAAGACATCACTTCGCTTACCTCTCCTACAGATGAACAATCAGCTGAAGTTATCTCTTCCGCCTCACTTCCAGGGCCTTCTAATGAACACGAACAAGCGGATATTCCTGAAGAGGCTGGTGTACCGGGATCAGAATCTCAGTCTCCTATGACAGATGCTGAGAAAGACAAGTCTGATGTTGTGGATGCGGAAATGACACTTTCATTGTCTTCATCAAGTCTCCCAGCTGACAATGTGGGGAACTTGCGACGGCCGCCTCTCCCCACTGTCACACTTTCACCTTCATCTGTGACGACGCCGCCCGCAAGTACACCCCGTAGTGGCGGATCACCACCGCTGGCGTCTCCCAATCTTGCGACATATAAACCACCTGAGGAATTTGAGGCAGGTCCGTCTAATCTAACGGATTATTTTGACGACGAAGACCGTAGACGCAACGAAAAAGATCCGGACACAGAATTGCGTAAATTCTTTGTCGACCTAGACGAAGATATCGATGACGATGACGACGAACTCGATGTTGACCCAGATGCTGATGCTGCTAGTGGGTATAATCATTGGAGTGATGTTGAGATACGAGAGCTCGATGAGGATGGTCCGAATCCACCACCAGCAGTCATGCCTCAGGAACAACCCCTCGACCAGGAAGGATTGGACCGTCAAGCTCTGGACAGAATCTTGGATAGAGAGGTTGCTCGACTTGCTGCTAATGGCGATGTCAGGCTTCCCGAACCGGTGGAGGAGATGGACGGTAACCTTGAAGATGATATGGATGGTGCTCTCGAGGGTTGGCTGTTCATAGGATTTGTCGTGCATTGATTGACTGACATTTTGTCGCAGCTATTGGATTGCGCGGGCCAGTCCATGGTGTACTGCAAAATGTAAGCATATTTTTTATATATACAAAGAAGCCGCCTAACTTGACGCACGATGTAGGCCGCGTTGATGATTTTTATATTGGACACTACTATTGGTCTGGGCGTCTGGTTGCCATTCACGATCGGAAAATCGACAGCTCTTCTCTCAGTACGTACTTCCCCCTCCAACTGGCAGCTTTTGGTGACACAAAATGTAGCTGGATCCTAAACGATTCTTGCAAATCTTGCACCTTCCCCTTCGAATGATCCGCCTTATTACCGATCCCATAGTAGATTCCGTAGCCTTGGTGATTAATCAGTATCTGCTCCCACGAGCCATGCAAATTGGGATGTCAATCTTTGGTCTCCTCATAAGGACCATCAGTCAAGAACGAGCTAGGCAATTTATCGTATTGGGAGCAAATTTAGTATGTAACCTAGGCTGCCCATTCCTTTATTTATACTAACAGAGCTCCGTAGTATGGTCAAGCTTCAATAGTTATGGATTACGTTTGGGAGCAAGCAGTCGCTAGGAATTCGGCGAAGCCATCTGCAACATCTTCAAGATCTTTCTACTTGACCTTCGTCGAAGAACTCATGGAAGCAGATGGCCCCGTCATGAGCTTCATCGACCCGTCCTTTGCCCCGCTCGGAAGTACTATCCGCTTGACTGCCAGAGAAGCTAAACGAACCTGGATAAGTCTTGCAGTCGGGAACGGACCAAACGAGAAAGTATTTGCCATACTTCTTGGATATGCCGTTGTGGGATTGCTACTTGCCATTTACCTGAATGTACTGACGGTTGGGAACGTGAGGAGTGCAGGTCGTGCAGTGCGCAGTGCCATTCGCCAACAGCTCTTGGTCATTAAAGTACGCCGCATCGTGACGATTCGCTCTGCGGCAGCTGAATCGACAGCATTTGTACACAGGTTGCCATCTTTATCGTCATCGAATTAGTCATATTCCCTCTCGGCTGTGGAGTGATGCTAGATGCATGTTCGGTGTGGTTACTTCCTCAAAGCAATTTTAGAACAAGAGCGGCTTTCTTGGTTTATGCGCCTGTTTCGTCCGTTTTCTATCATTGGGTAATTGGCACTATGTTTATGTGAGTACGGCCTTCTACCGTGAAAATGTATCTAATTTAGCTGCCAGGTACCAATTTGCTGTGCTCCTTGCTGGATGTCGCGAAATCATGCGCCCGGGGTCTATGTGGTTTATCAAGGACCCTCAGGATCAGAATTTCCATCCTATCCGAGACATCCTTGAGCGACCTACGCTTGTCCAACTGCGGAAGCTGTTCTTGAGTGCTATCATGTACGGTCTTGTCGTAGCAGCTGGAGTTGGAACTGTTTCCGGTGTGTTACAATTCTTTAGCAAGACGATACTACCCTTCCGGTGGAAGGTCAGGTATGCATACAAATTTGTCCGGGTGCGCGGAGCTTACTGGAATTGGTTGCTTAGGGAGCCCTTGTCTGTTGTTCCTGTCGACCTGCTCTTCTTGCATCTCGTTCTCCCTTACACCATGCAGTATTTTCGACCAAAGAAGGCACTCCGTCAGTTTGGTGTCCGCGTATGGAAATATCTAGCTGCACAACTACGCCTCACCTCCTACATGTTCGGAGGTCGTCACCTTGCCGAAGAATGTACTCCCAAACATTGGTCCTGGAAGACGCTCCTCGGCAAACAGGCGGTAGCCATGGATGATGTAGAAGCGGTGCATGATGGCGCCTTCAGACGTGTTCCTAATTCCGATAATGTTGCGTTGGTCAAAGACTCTCCGGCAACTGCTGAAGTGGACCAGGAAGGTAAACCCCTTAACGACGAGCAAGCTAAACTCATAGCTGCGCAAAACTCCGAGGCGGACAAAGCGAAGAGAAGTATCAAGGATGACTACGTGATTGTCTATTTACCCCCTCGCCTCAAGTACAGGATAGCGGCATTCATCGTAGCCATTTGGGTAATCGGCTCTGTTATGTTTGCAGCTGCACTCGGTGCACCCATTATGCTTGGCCGAAAGTTCTTTGAACTTTTTGTTCAACATGAGGTGCACGATGGGTACTCATTCATTGCCGGCTTCTACCTTCTATGGGCTTGTTTGTTGGTTGGTCACTCTATTGACCGTATGGATAAGCGCCGGCAGCGAAGAGGAGGGGATGAGCCTCGAGCCGAATGGCCTTTATATCTTGCCAAGCGGTGTTTCCTTTGGATCGCTCAAATGGCATACTTGACACTCCTCCTTGGCTTTGTGATTCCCACTCTCGTTGCGCTGGTTATGGAGTTCTATGTGGTTCGACCAGTTCGCCAAATCTTCGATCCTCCCGACGACTTCCGCATCAGAATTGTCGACATGTGGGCCTTCGGTCTTCTCTACTGCAAAATTATGATCCGTTGTCTACGGATGCAACCTGGTAACGATTTTATTCAGGGAATCGATCATGTAAGTGCTCACTTGAATTGCGTGATATCACACTCATATATTCGCAGATTCTCCGCCAAGGATGGACGCACCCAGACCCCTTTAGGGCCACGAGGGAGGTCATTGCACCGATCACTTTCGGTTTACTAGGAATGCTGCTCTTGCCGGCTGGCTTTTTATGGGCAGTCCGTCGGGCTGTGTCGTTCCCGATCGGAGACGATTTCCTTTGTGAGTTCTTTCTTATTCATTCTTCAGTTCGTGCTAAAGCCTATCTTGGTAGTCGTTCACCTTTATCCTAGCATTTTCACTGTGGCAGGATTCAGCCACGCAGTAGTTGTGCTGTCAAAGGGTCTTGCGTCTTGGTCTCAAACTATCCGTGACAAAGAGTTCCTTGTGGAAATGCGGCTGCAAAATCATGAGTTAGTGTCTGAAGCAGGCCAACCAAAGAATATTGAGATACAGGTGAAAGAGGAGGAAGAGGAGGAAGAATAAGCATTCTGGCTCAAATAATGTCAGGAGCCATTCTGTCATCATTGTAGCATTACGATTATTACAATTATTATACCTGGTCTTGTCTTTTCACCTGTTAGCAGCAAACACAAATCTAGCTAGATGCTGCAAAGGGGGAAAGCAGAAATTTCGAGCATCAAATTGGTGAAGGCCATAGTACAGTAGCTAGTCACTCGTACAACTACAACACACCAAACAGTGTATAAATGTAGATGATAACTAAGTTACACAATATATCACACATTCCAAATACACCGGTATTGATTTCAACTACAAGTCATCTTCTCCATTGAGCTGCTCGACATAATAATCGGAATCACTACACTCGTATTCGTCGTCTTCGTCCGGAGGAACAAGTTTCCACGCCACCCAGGAGCCATTGTGGTCATATTCAATCTCCCATCTTTCAGGATGCTCATCCATGTCCGATTGAATCCATTCCATATACTCCTCGCCCGTCTCATCGTCCGGACGTAGTTCTATGTTCCACCCGAGGTAGATGATGTTCATATTATCCACGGTCGCCCGTATTCCTGCCCCGTGCGTGTAGGCCATTGAATACATGTCAATCATCTGTAACGATGCGCCACGTCGTAGCAGCACGAGCTCTTGGAGGTCGATTGAGATATCGAACGGGTAATCATCTGGCATGATGTGGACAGTTGGAGGAGCCCAGCGTGGGTGTACATACGGTCCATCGTAGGGCTCATCATCTTCGGGTGTACCGTACCCATCGAACGATAGGTCATCATCATCTTCGTCATAATCATCGTCCTCATCTTCATCATCATAGTCAGCATCTTCATCCTCGTCGCCATAGCCATTGCCGCTCCAATCATCGCCATGGAGATATGAATTAGCGGTGGGGAATATTCCTGCCCATGGGTCCTCCTCCGGAGGCGGTGTTGCGTGAGGAGGCGTGTTAGGTGACACTTTCGCCTTCTCGAGAACCGATGCGAGGGATTTGACTACAAATAGAGGAATTGGTCGATAACCAACGGTAGTGCGACAACAGGGACACGTCTTCTTTCGATGAATCAGGGGTCGAGAAACGTCGTCGTCATCGTACATTTCGTCATCACCTGGGGGAGCGGTACGAAACCAACCCTGAAGACAAGTCTGGCATAGAACATGGCCACATGGAGAAAGACTGACAATTAAGAGTTAGATCAGTAAAAGCTTATGAGAAATTCACACAAACCCGTGCGGCCTGGAAAGAAGATCCATGCAGATTTGACATATCAAGTTTGATTCGATGTTGGCCACCAACTACTGCGAATCAATTATCAAGTAAATGCAGTACATTCAAGTCACTGACATCATCTGATTTCTTACACTGCGCTCTCAATTTGTCTAACTCAGTTTCCAATTCTCTATGCGACTTGCGGAAATGGAATTAATGAAAATATCATGTAATATAAGCAACCATGCAACGTACTCTTGCTGAATTGGTGGCTTCCGTGCGTAATTTATCAATTGTCTGAGAAATATGCGTCGGGAATGAATCATAAGAGGATGGTTGAACATACTTGACTTTGGTTCTGCATTGATCTCTTCGCGCCAGATAATGTCTGTGAACATATCGTAAGGAATTTAATGAAGGACGTGCGAAAGGCTCGCAAACCTTGCGCAACTTGTCGACTTCCGCTTTCAATTGTTGAAGCTCCCCGGAGGCAGATGCGAATTGGCAGGAATCTATATCATAGTCGGATGGCTCAGGAGTTACTGTCCTTTTAGACAGCCGATGCGACGCCTCCCGAGACTTCGAGCGATCTCTGCGTTTGCTTCGACTGCTTGTTGACCCACTTGCACTAGGGCCGTCGGGAACATCAACATCCTCCACAATAGATTGAGTTCTAGGTTTAGCCTTGGGTTTGCGACCTCTACTATCATAGGTATCGTCGCCTCCAATAGCCTCGCTAGACGTGAAGGCTGAAGCAGCGTGCTTCTTCTTCTTCCGACCGCCTGTGTCGTTCCTGGCCGTGGTAACATCCTCCAACATGCGCACATCAGGAGAGCGCGATTTCCGTCTCCTCATAGACGAGGTCTGGCTGTTTAGCTGAGATCTATTCTCCCTTTGCCTAGAGCTAGCCGTTGTGCGACGATAGGTCGATTGGAGAGGGGCTAGAAACGAAGAGGGCATGTCTTGAGTCTAGCTAGACGTCCTTGCAAAAGACTTATCCCGACGTCTGAGTCTTCTTCAAGACAGATGAAAGATGAAGGTAGATCAAATCTAACAAAATATTTCTATCTTGAAGCAGCACGTACAAGTCGGTAGCATTCAAATGTTCAACGTTCAAGTTCGGATGCGGAAGTTGGACAAGTAGCACAATGAACGAAGACGCTCATCCGAGTCTCTCTTACGTAATGTCACAGTGCTTCAGATCCTGCCGTAACTGTAACTTACCGGAAGGTCGTCACGTGTCACGCACTACATACAGACGCCCATGCTCTCAGCCTTTACCACCACTGATTCGATCAGGATCTTGAGTACGAGGACAGGAAGGCCTCACTTTTTAAATCTTCGTTCAATATTGAACTACAAGTGGAGGAATATCTCACTAATGGAAACAACCACTCCCGAAGGGTTGCAGCGAGATCGCAAAGATATAGGAACACGGGCTCATCGCGGTCGAGGAGGCTCTGATAAGCTCAAGGGACATCCAAGAGACTCGCCCGAGACGCGTTTTTCCAAAACGTTGTCGTGGATATTACGCCACGGCGCAGAATCAGAAGGTCTCCCAATGCGAGCTGACGGCTACGTGCGGCTGACTGACCTCGTAGGTTACCTCCATTTGACCGCGGACTCAGTTTTCAAATGAACGTTGCAGTAGTTCATGGTCAATAAAATGAGGGGTATAGATTTTTCTACGCTTGAGAAGATTGTCCAGAACGACAACAAGCGTCGGTATAATCTCATACGCGAGGCCGATCAACTTTCTGGCTCAGCGGAAGAGATCTGGTGGATCAGAGCCAATCAAGGACATTCTCTGAAGGTATGTCCAATCTGTCAAAGCGTGTACTATTATTACAACTCATCTCGTTCAGACAGTTGCGATGGAATTGCAACCCATAAATTCAGTGGCGGATATTCCGACTGGAGTCGCAGTGCATGGCACCACACGAAAAGCCTGGAAAGTCATTTGTGCGCTGAACACCTCTCTATACTTTGAACAATATTCAGTTAAGAACTTGGGCGTCTTAGGTGAACAGGGGCTGTCTAAGATGTCCCGTAACCATATCCATCTCGCGCAAGGTGTACCCGGCTCGAGTGTCATCAGTGGTAAAATATTTCCAAGCATCATAGCAACGCTCCAATAGCCTGAGTTTTCTCATGCAGGCATGCGTAATTCATCACAGATTCTGGTATTTGTTGATGTGCAAAAAGGCATTGATGCAGGGATCAAGTTCTATCTCTCCGCGAATGGAGTCGTCCTCACTGAAGGCGACGACAGGGGATTTTTAGGCCCACAATTTTTTTCAAGAGTGGAGGATTCAAACCGTGAGCCCTTGGTAGGATGGGAAGGCATTCAGGTGCCACTAGTCTCAATACCCGGATTTACAAGATAAGACAGAAAGGTTTGCTTTATAGTATACGCATTATGGCCATGGGATATGTAAATGTGTATGTCAGGCTTATTATGTCATAGCGACGCATTCCAAGGCGCCAGAGCATCGAATGTAAACGTAAAATAATCTGGTATCACTGGTCACCTTGTGGCTGTTGACGACGTGCAGACCTCAGGAATCCGAGTCCGAGTCCGAGTCCAGCAGCCAGCCATGCGTTTCTGGTCTCCGATATACTTGTTTATCACAAGTTGCGTTCCTGAACAAGTCAGGATTGGAGCTTGAAGGGAGCGATGACACAGGCGGGTCTCCGTCAGAATATGCGCTCTCAGTGATGGAATTGTGGGGGCTCGATGGTACCATCTTTGGGCTGACACTGGCGCTAGTTCAAGAAATCTCAATGAAATCCCGATCACAAGGTGAAAGAATCATATGTGCACTCACACTTTCTGGGTGGATCGAGCTTTAGCTATGTCGAGCGGACACACTTTCCCTTCCGCTACCACACCAGTAGCAGATTCAGATACACAGGAGAACCTCTTTGGCTTCGGTGTCACATCCGTATCGATAGGCTGCCTATCAACAAGTGCATTCCCATTGCGATCCGATTTGACTTCACGGTGTGACTTTGACGGTGTGAAAGATAGTCCAGTCCCTATCATTTGCACATCCGAGTCGGAATTGTTTGCCAGACAAGCGTTCTCTTTCTTCTTGGCTATCTCACCTTGACTAGAGTGGTGTCGGATCATCTTAGGTCTTGGACGCGAACGGGTTGGCGGGGAGCGGGTAGCAGATGAGATTGCACAAGAGCTTTCTGCAAGAGTAGAAACCGCTGCGATGCGGCGAGGCTTCGGCTGCGACGGTGTCTTCGATGGATCTCTTCGCGTCTCTTTCGCATGTTCGAAAGCCAACGCTCCGCTACTGGACAGCATAACAACGTCATTCCCAGTGTCCAGGTCACTGCTCAATGACTTGGTGTTTCCTCTGCGAGCACCTGCCTTCAATCCACCTTTCTCTTTGGTTCTCTTTGGGCGTCTCACACTAAGCTCAGCGTCGCTGCTCTCACTCACCACTTTGGCGTATTCTTTATCGGCTCGACGTCTTCCTTTGGTGATGTGTCTGCGGACATTCCCCTGTTCTTGGACCCTGTGCAGCTCCTCCTCTTCAATTCGTTCTTCTTCTTCCAACTCCTTTCGTCGTGCTCGCGCCCTCTCCATAACAATCTGCTCGGCGGCGTCCATTGCATCTGCACCATCCGCGTGATCGTCTGGAAACATTGCAACACCATACTCGGCACTTTCTCGAAGTGTGACGATCGCCTGCTGGCGCGTCTGCCCCATGTCCTCCACAATGAGATACACGGCAGCCTCAGGGACCAGAATATGCTGGACAAAATCTGCAGGAGTGAGTGGGAATGTGGAACTTGCGTCAAACGATGAAAGCGGGAATAAGTTATAGATAGTTTGATGTATAATTATGTAGCCCAGCTCGCCATAACTTGATTCAATTAGTAAGTGATGGTAAATGCATATGAAGAATGCGCTTACTATCCTGGCTGAATTTTGTTGAAATTGGCAAATTGACCGGCAATGCTTGTTGTTTGCCTTGAACCCTTCTTCCTCACGTTCTTTATTATATCTCTCCAGAATATGCTGCTCTTCCTCGGTCGGGCCACCCACATCCCATTGTCCTCGCCTTCGTCCTCATCTATATCATCCTCCAAAGAACCCAGCGAAAAATCTTCATCGACATCATCGATAATTCCTCGCAGCTGAGGCATGAGTGCCTCGACGCGCGCACCAACCCGATCCCAGTCAATCTGCATGGGCCACCCTCTCCGTTGGGCACGAGGAATTTGGTGACTTTCAAACCGATGTCGTTGACACACACCGATGAATGAGCCTAAAGGTGCGCAAAGTCCAAGCGGATTGGTAGGGCGTAAATCCGGTGAAGATACTTCACGAGCTGCTGTAATGAGCGACGAGAGATATGGTGTAGGAGCTGGTGGCAGCCGTTCGTCGCACCAAGGACATAGGGTCTGAGGGTCAATGCTTGGATCATGAAGCACTAACCCATGTTTCAGCGTGCGCGAAGGAAGCTTATAATTAGAACCCACATATTTCGTCATCATCCGAGTCAGACAGCTCGGAGAGTAGCTCTGCCAAACTATGCGCAAAACATTGTTAGCTGCCCCCATAAGCGCACGAACTATCGCATACATCTCGTCCGCATTAGCCCTCTTCTTCCGCTTCCGCGGGGCTTCCAAACCGAGTGGCACATCACTATCTCCTTCAGACGCACGTTTTCCAGGCGAGTGTCGGCGATTCTCGAGAGGCTCAAGGTCCATGGGAAAGGATCGAATTGGACGCGGACGCGGCGCATCCCTGTGCTCATCCGCGGCACAGTCACGCATGTCAACTTTTCTTCCTCTACTTTTTCCCGCTTTGCTCGATTTCGCCTCAGATATGTAATCTTCCTTGGTCAAAGAAAGCGGTGGTATATCTGGGAAGTCCTGTAATGCGCGTACTCTCGTAGGAGTGTTCACCTGTGCACGGGTTTCAAGAGCCTGCGATGACAGGGGAGACAAGGCCCCGATGGGATCGACTTTATATCTTTCCTTGTCTTTACGGCTTCTCCCAGCATCCAGAACTATGCCACCCATCAGAGGCGACAGCTTTGGAACAGTGTATCCGCCCTTTTGCGCGCTCCCTTCGGCTTCATCCTCTCGTACACGCTGGGCGGAGGCCGGCGATTTTGCCTGCTTCCTCTGTCTCATGTATACTGGGCGCGGTTTGGGACGTGAAGTCTTGGATGCACGCGGTGTTTGTGGTTCGTTTGCAGGCTCGGGTGAGGGAGCTGATGTATCTTCACATTAAAATCGACCCCCGGGCAATGACCACGAACTTACGCTTTGCTTGTCCTCTGCGGATAGACTTGCGTCCACCAGTAGGCATATGTACACCCTCATGGGCAGGTTTCGGGGCTGGGAGAGAAGACAAGATCTGGTGCACCTGTCGACGCTTTGGAGAAGAAGGGGGAGTAGACTTGATATTATCAGCATGTATGTTAGGGTATGCAGGCTGCCGGATTGACGTCTTAATGAAGGTGATAGAATTCCCAGACGGATGAGAAGCCGGCTGCGAATCGAGACGACTGGTCGTTGCTGGTGTGGAAGACGTGGACGATTGGCTCGACTGAGTGTCCTCGCCTACTTCCCGATTTATGCGCTTGTGTTTTTTGAAGCTTGGGAGCGTCTTTGGCGGATGATCCTTATGGTAGCGATGATATTCTCCATTCATCACAACGCCATCGGCGCACTTCGTATCTTCCATACCCTTAGGCCTAGGGCGAGTAGGGAGAAAGAGATTTAGCTCATCGTCGCTGTCATCCTCTCTCGTATTCGATCGAGACCGTGAAATTGTGCCCTGTGAGTTAGAGCCCGGTACATGGGCCAACCTAGAGAAGTCGCTTCCCATGTCTTCGAAAGCCTTCCCTGCGAGTTTCATAGCTCTAGTCCTATCTTTTTTGCTTCGAACCTCCTCCGAGGCATCCGTATCCAAGTTAGTGCCTCGCATCCGGAATCTGTCTTGCAAACCTTCCATGAATACCGCCTTTGAGCGCTCAAGTTATTCCAGTGAGTCCGCGTGGTAGTCGAAGACGTTTCCAGTAAAAAGATGGTGCAAATGGAGAGCGCAAAAATTATGCAGGACGAGGAGTGAGGATAGGATAGGCTGGCATGGTCTTAAGCAGGCGTTCGATGGATGAACTTGTGGTCTGCAGCAAGTCTGCGGCGCTGTGACGCGACTCGCGTGCGTGTGAATTCTCGAGACGCGTCTCATTTTAATTTGTCACGTTGTCGTGCTTTCGGCATTTCGCGAAGTTAGAAGCTTGAAGCTGGGGAGGCTTCTCACTACGGTCGACCTGCTTGCTTGCACTGTACACGAACTTAGCATGACCATCATGAACAAGTGCTATTCATACACTCCGAACGACATAAGCGATGGGGAATGTGGCTGTGCAACATCTCTGGGACATTCCCACCAGATTGCAGACCTTCCAATTGAACTGTTCCTACAGATCGTCTCCTACTTAGACATCCCCAATATCCTGGCGTTCCGCAGGGTCAGTACATTCATTTTGTATTGTATCTTTTATCACAATTCCCGTAACTATTGCACCGATTCTCTATTTTAATGTTTTTCGAAAATCAGGATTCGTTCCTTAGCCCATTTTCCATAATACATTTGGTACTACGCAGGTTGTCTTCTACCGAATACTTGGGTGCGACGTTCATCTGTCTGGGCTGACCATTCCACATACACCGAAGTCTATTCTCCACGACCACCAAATATATTAATATCCTCCTTACAATGTCGTTGCTGAACACTTCGTCACGATGACGTACACAGACTTGCCGCAGCATACACATCCTCATGCACGATCGAACCATCTGGAACTCTCTTCTTTATTCTCTCAGCAACCACATCCCACTAATCTCGACATTCGCGCGAGACCCAGCAACCGCAGCTTCTCAACTATCTACCAAAGACCTGGAACGATTTGTGATCTCAACCTACCGCATAGATCGGACATGGCTTCAATCGCGCGGTCCGCCCATCTCGCTGAGTATTCGACCCAAGCTTGGCATTGAACAGGACGTCTCGCACAATTTAACGGACAACAGAACGATTTTGTCTCTGGATACCATTGACGACCGGTGGTTGCTATGTGTATACCATGAACGCTTTCTCGAGCTGTGGGATCTATTGTCGAAAGGATCGATCCCAACTAATGCGCCTGCGGACATCGTTTGCTGCCTCTGCAGCCATCTCCCGGGTGACAGCCCGTGCACATCTAGTCGTGCATCTCTGGATGAAGATCAATCATCCATAATTCTTGCCGTCACTTCGTGAGTTTTTCGTCGTATTTTGGCCGTCCCACGCCTCAGAGTTGGTTGTCGCGCAGAAACAGTGTCTGTAATTTCTTTCGGGTGGTTCTCCCTGTATCGCAAAACAACGCAGCAGTAGAAGCAGCGCGCTTAGAATCGATCGCGTCTATACAGATGACCAGCCCTACACTCCTCGCGCGCTCCATCTATCCCCCGGGACAACTAGCGTTTTTCTCGTACTCAAACTCCTTCATGATTGTCAATTGGAACTCGCACATGCAATGGCCGATAGACGTCTCTGATCAACACGAGGAGGAATTGGTATGTGTCCAAATTTGGCTTCGTCTACATGATATGAGACTATTCTGCCTATGTCTCTACCACACCATCTTGCAGGACTGACGACTTTCTACTTCTCAACAGTGGAATGGCGTAATAGGTGCCGAATTCGTTACACCTCGTCACATCATCTGTGTAAAGGCGCACGCTGTCGAGCTATACACCCTCCCGGTATCTTTGTCTGAATCTTACAGTAGTCCCAGCATTCCCGGCGTGCCACGGGCGAATACTCGCGTTCGAGTAGATGTCCTTTCTCATTCCTTCCCGAACTTCACTTTCCGTGGAGTTTCTCTCTCCACGCCTCGATTCCTCTCGTTATCAAACCGATTGAACGCGAACACAAGCGCGTCGCTCAACTTCCTCGCCTATGATGTCCTCCGAGGATTATTTCTCTATCGCGTGTCCTTGCTGCTGCCCCCTCTTGCGCTCGATAATACCTACGACGTCCCACCCCCGCACATGAGCGCTAGTCTTCTGGCTGCGCACCACATGGCGATGTATATTGGCAAGTCCACTGGCAACCCGGCTACGACTTCTACCAGTTTACCGCGAAGTGGGATGACTCCTGGTACTCGTGGGTTTGTATCCACATGTGTTTTGGGGCGTACGGGCAGGCGAGGACTGTGGGTCGAGCGTAAGCGAGGCAGTGTCAGGAGGGGTGTGGTAGGATTCAGCACACCTATTGATGCCTGGGACCGCTCAGATGACTTGCAGCTCGAAGAGAAAATAGGGGGAGAGGCGGAACAAGATGGAAATGATGCCGATAATGATGCTGACGCAGAATCCGAGGCTAACTGGTGGGACGACCCCAACAGTCGTTTCATAGATGGTAATACAATATTCGAGGTGAATTCATATGATTTACGAGGTCAGTTGGTCCTCCTTCATTAAGCCGATTGCGTTGGTATAAATATGGTGATCACGCTATCTAGACGACATCACGCATTGCGCCTTCTCCGAGTCGACAGGAAAAATGGCTCTCGGTACTAGAAACGGAGATGTACGACTGCTGAGTCTATAGGTTCATGGAATCACCGATGTGCTGGTTTCTCTCCTTCCGGACGACATAGCTGCTTTGGGACATTTCGGATGCATCTAATTGGTTAACAACATGCTCCGTGACACGTACATCGTGATGGATACTATCACAGGAAAACAAAAGTTGTATTGTGGTACACATATGACTACACATTCACACTTTACAAATTTTGAGCGGTCAGGTTCAAACTCGGACACCATATACATCTTTGGGCTCAATCCCAGCTTGACCCTTGCGGATGTTTGCTTGTGCCCATCTAAGTTATTAAGAAAAGTTTGTATACATGAAAAGCAGATGAGTGGAATCGTATCACTAACTTTTTAATCCGGATGGACTCGATCTGGATGAAACCAGTGGTATCAGTCGGCTCAAACCCGCCCAGTTCATCCATGGAGGATTGTTTCTCGTCATAAAGACCCTACAGAAGACAATCAGCCTCTACGCTTGTGAAATGCCAAATATCGAACGACGCGCCTCATCAGAAGATCGGCCCTCTACAACGACATTGCCCTTATACAACTTCAATCGCACGATACCGTTAACAGTACGTTGGCTGGCCGGAATAGCGCTGGTCACAAATTCGCGCTCGGGTGTGAACCAGTGACCGTTGTACAGGATCCGACCCAGTTCGACGGTGACAAACTGGTCTCGGAGCGCTCGAACATTACGGTCAAGTGTCAGCCCCTCGATGTCCATGTGCGCCACGCGGAGGATCGTGGCCGCGGGCGACTCATAACATCCACGAGATTTCACGCCGATGAAGCGGTTCTCGACGATATCAATCCGGCCGATACCGTGCTTGCGTGCAAGCGCGTTCAGCGCAAGGAACACCTCAACTGGGTCGGTATATGTCTTGTTCTCATTTGGCACTGTTACCTTGACGGGGAGTCCGCGCGCGAATTCAATGGAGATGCGCTCGGGTGTGCTAGGCGCATGTTCTAGTGCGGCAGTCAGTTTCCACATGTCATCAGGTGGCGTGGTATCAGGGTCTTCCAAAATGCCGGCTTCGTACGAAATGTGGAAGAGGTTCTCGTCAGTAGACCATGGCTTCGCAGCAGTCTGTTGAACAGGAATCTGCTTTTCCGCCGCGTAGGCTAGCAGAGCCTGCCGTCCAGCAAAGCGATTGTAGAAGGCTGGGATAAAGGTATTAGCTTCAAGTCGATTAAAATTAAGTGTGACGTGCCAGGTATGCGCCATGGAGCAATAACCTTGATGTCAGGCTTCAAGCCATAGAAGGCGAGCTCAAATCGGACTTGATCGTTTCCTTTGCCGGTGCACCCATGTGAAACAAAACTACAGCAGATTAAGGATGGACAAGCAATAGTGATTTTTCTTCACTTACTCACAACCCTCCTTGTCCGCAATCGCCATCATACCACGAGCGATTACTGGACGGGCAAGGGACGTGCCAAGTAGATACACGTTCTGGGACGCGACGATTGGATTTTATGGCGTCAAGATGAACAGGAGCAACCCACCTCATAGATACAGTTTGCTTGTACTGCAGGGTAAATCAGCTCGGTCACGAACTCTCGCTTCAGATCTTCCAGGAAGAACTTCTTCGCTCCGACCGCGAGAGCCTTCGTACGTGCTGCCTCGAAATTCTACAAGCAAAGATGAGATACATTTTACGATCTAGTAGAAGATTCACCAACTTCTTCCTGCCCGACATCGGCCATGAACGCGTATACCTCATATCCCTGCTCGATCAACCAAGCGAGGATGCAAGATGTATCTGATATAATTTGAGCTAATACGGCGCCAGTTAATTAATGGCGGATGAACTGACCAAGACCACCTGAATAAGCCAGAAGAACACGACCTTGAGAGGCAGTCATTTTAGCTGGCGATGAAATGAGAAAAACTGGAGATCGGATGGGCAGGAGCCTGGTTCAACACCAGTCCGTGGCTAATGACTCGTAAAAGATCTAATCGACTGATGATGGTCCACGTGATGGAACGATAAGATGGCTGTCCCAATCCGGCTTGCAGTGATGCTATACTGTCTGGCTCAAGCGTGGTCGCCATCCTGACAGTGATTCAGTAAGCTACTTCAAGCTGAACTCTGTTGGACTACAAGACTTTGATAGTTCAAATTTCAACAGCTTGAGATGATCCGCTGCTCTGCCTTAACTGATCCCGATGTGCTGGCAACAGCAGCCAATTGTCAAGCTTAGTGAGTCTTGCTACAAACTGTATGTAGTCCTGTATAACTGGTGGAACACCATCTTGTTCTGGTAGCAGTATTTGGATGTCAAGCAGCAATCCATGTCAATGAATGCTAACTGTGTTATCCTGGGCTGACATGTTTGCGAACGATTTCACGCCACTCAGACCTCCATGGGAGCGTCGGACGTCCCGACGAGAGAGGCCCTGCCGATGTGTCATGCCAATGCCGAGATACATGTAAGTCATGACTCGTGAGTCATAGACGTTGCAAGCTTGCATCAAGCTACCCGACTCAGTCCATCTCGGTGCCGCAGGATGTTGCTTTACTGACTCCCATAGTCAGCACTGAGTCACTAAGCTTCGGGCCGTGAGCATCACCTGGACGATTCTGCAGATGGCATGGATACGGCGAGTGGTGAAAAATGCATAAAACGATTGAGCCAGGCCCACTCTTGAGGCAAACCTCACGCTCCTTTTATCCCCATCACACGTCTCTCTTATCCTCGCTGCCACAATGAGCCTTTGCGAGCACTGTACAAAAGGTATACAACTTGAAAAGCTCATCATACCATATCTCTGACAGCGTATACCGCGAAGGTGTTCGTCACGAGGGCACGCCAGAAGGTGGGGTTCGATAACTACCTATTAAATGGTTTACTAACCCAAGTGTTACAGGTCATATTGAAGACATTGGTGGTGTCGAGTGTTACGTCGCTACGCCAGCGGATGATCATGCCAAAGATAAAGTAGTCCTGTACTTCACAGACATCCTTGGACACAGATTCCTGAACCACCACGTGAGCACTCACTGCGATATTACCAAAACACTTTAGTGATGGGTTTACCGCTCAGCTCATGGCAGATGACTTCGCACAGAATGGGTTCTGGGTTGTGATTCCTGACATTTTGAATAATGACGGGGTCACTCCAGATGTTCTTGATGGTGGTAAACTGGACATTCCGGCATGGCTGGCGCGTCATGGTCAAGAGACCGTGAAGCCCATTCTCGAGAATGTCATGGCTGCGCTGCGTGACAGCGGCGTCGAAAGATTTGCCGCGATCGGATTCTGTTTTGGCGCACGCCCTGCGATCGATCTCGCTTTTTCGAACAATATCTCTGTCTGCATTGTGTCCCACCCATCGCTATGGAAGATGCCTGACGATATGGAGGCAAGCGAGATTGGCTCATATATGCACGCTGTAAATCTGACCAATAATTCTAGAATTATCGTGCTATGTCCAAAGCGCCACTCTTACTCAATACCGCCGAGATTGACACGGCATTTCCCAAGGAGCAGCAAGCTCAAGCGGACGAGGTTCTTGGCGGCGGCAATTTTGAGCCCGGCTACGAGCGGACGTATTGGGAAGGATGCGCCCACGGTTTTGCCGTTCGCGGTAGTCTGGTAGGTCGAACGGCTCCATCTGTTCTCTCGTCTGAATCCGCCGGATAGGATAACCCCAGAATCAGGGTTGGAAAGGAAGGTGCCTTCAAGGCTAGTGTCTTATTCCTCAAGAAGCACTTCTGAAATCAGCTTCAACTGTTGGCATTATGCTCGTCACACCTTTGCAGAGGAGATACCCTCTATCTTAGCGTTCAGGCGGTGGTCCTCCGAGCCTGTAGGTTTGCTTACTACTACTGGATCTCCCGCTGGCCACTCAACTGGCCCCCGAAACTGACGCGTATTTTGTGTCGCGGCATCGCTAAGGCTCCCGAGGCGGAGATTGCCTAACTTTGTGCTTGCATAGTTGAAGCGGACGGATGGGATAATGTATGATTAGTGAAGGATGCTTATCAGCGATTTCATTGAGATGAAGAATGCATACAGTTGCATTGCTTTATGGAAGAATAAATATACTTCATAAGTATACATTGTAATTGAATTATCTAGGGTATGAAACCAGCAGCGGAAATTTTTCTCTTTCGATATTTAAATGTAAAGACAGCTATCCAAGAAATCACTGACCAGAATATTCAAGCAACAGTGTGCACGCCGTATCATACCGTATGCAAGACGAAATAGTTCAATACCAACCCGTTTCGATTAAGTGACCTCACGGCTATGAGCCCCGCACGCTTCCAGCCGCGCCATATCGCTACGTGCAACCTTGGACCTATTAAACCATAACACATTGCCAATCCACGTAGACGGAGAGCTTCTGGCATTCAACTCAGGCTATAACTGTATTGACCCAAGTAGGAATACACTCGTTAGTTGCATATTAAATACGGACGTCGAACTCCACACAGCACCGGTAGTGCTGTGTTTACAACTTTGCTCTCCCCTCGGCAGTTGCGGATTCTGACCTTACGCGGATAACGGCCTTTCCCCATGTTTGGCGCTGCTCAAGTGCTGTGAGGCCATCGGCTAGCTTCTCTAGGGGATACACCTCTTCGTAGACAACAGGTCTCACGCGACGAGAAGACAGCAGACTGAAGATCAATTAATTTCAGATCTCGGAAGAAATGACTGCAGAGAAAGCTTACGCAAGGACGGCGCCATATACAGAAGGAATATGTCCCGGTTCCTTCTCTAGGAGTAGAAAGTGAGTAACGCATTTTGTGGTGACGAAACTAGGGCTTACTGCTGTAGGCACCCCAGTGAATCCCCACAACGGAGATGTTCTTCAATAATACCAGATTGAGTGGGAGCTATGAGAATGGGTTTCGGGAGTCATTCATATCATATACAGGAGCATCAGTGCGTAAAATGAATTCACCTTCTCAATTTTCCCCGCAGCGAACCCGACAACAAGGGCGCGACCTTTCCACGCAATACATTTCAGACAATCTGCGAAGATAAATTTAATCCGAGACAGTGAAGTCCTCAAAAATTACCATACCTTTAATCATACCAACAGGGTCATATATAACATCTACCCCCTTTCCGCCTGTAAGTCGGAGCACTTCTTGTTGCCAGTCGGGCTTAGTGTAGTTAACGGAATGGTCTGCGCCACCATAGCGCATGGCGACATCCAGCTTCGCTTGTGAGCCCGCCGCTGCAATCACCTTCGCGCCCAATGCTGGTACCATTGAATGAGGATCCATTCTTCACTACAGCAGTAACAGATACCTTTCGCTAGCTGTACGGCTACAATCCCCACACCTCCCGCAGCGGCAGTGACAAGCACCCATTCGCCTGGGTGCATAGCGGTGGGAAGTCAGTAAACAAGAATTTGTGAGTTCATATCTAATTCGTATCTACCTGGTTTCAACTGTGCACGACCAACAAGAGCCTCGTAGCTTGTCGGCCAGGTGATAGAGAGACCTGCAAGGGTCAACTATAAAGTATTAGACAAAGACGACTAATGTGAAGACTATACCTGCACCCTCATCATATGTCAAATTCGCGGGTAACGCAACAAGCCATGTCCAAGCCACAGTGAGCTTCTCAGCAAAAGCCCCTTGGCCTGCGCCAAACACTCGGTCTCCTGGTTTGAAGGGGCATCCGTTGGGGATTGGAGAGTCCTTGGCAATGCGGCCGGCAAATTCGGTTCCCAGAACGAACGGGAGTGGAGGTTGGATCTGGTATTTGCCTTGGGATTGAAGGATCTAGAGGGCTATTAGACAAGCAAGTGGTGATTATGAGAGAAGCAGAGCTCACGTCGAAGAAGTTCAGCCCAGCGCTGAAGACTTCGACTACGACCTCATTTTTTGCGGGTACTGGCTCGGGAGCATGAGCAGATAGAGAGATCTTGGAAGGGTGAGCGTATTCCGAAATAATAAAAGCACGCATCAAGCTAGAATGAATAGTAGGTGTGATCGACAGAACGCTGCGCTTCTGCCAGTGGCCACGAGCCGTGGGCGCCGAAAGGGATAGGTGTTCCTGGGAACGACCCGGACGAGACCACCGAACGCGGCAAATTAGTCATCCCGGGCTCATCCATCGTTATCATCATCATCATCATCCAAGGACCCGCAGCTACTTCAAGTTATTCTAGTTGCGGACGCTGAAGAAGATACTGTAACGAGCTTGGATGCAAATACAATCTGTATTGCTTTGCTTTATAATTACGTGAAATCGCACAAAACGCAAAACGCACCCCGGAGGACCGGCTTTTTCTTCGCCGCCGTACTCAGATGTTGATTTCATCGCGATACCACTCAAATCATCAAGATGGGCACGGTGCACGAACGTGTGCAAAACATCAAATAGTGTATAGAGCTATGTAAGGGAATTTGAATTCCTTTCACCTTAGTGAGTCAAGCAAGGCTTGGGACCGGCTGTTTCGAGTCTTTAAAACTGCCCGACTTGAAGAGATCTCCCTCTCAGATGATATGTGTACATATCTATGCTAATTTGAAGCCCTGCGACAACCCTGCGACACGAAGTTCCGAATGCCGCCATGCCCTCATTTCAAACTGTGCAACTTTGTTGAATCTGGTTTGATTGTTAACACCTGGGCCGATTCAATGCCTTGGAATGACAGCTCAAGCCTGAGAGGAGATCTGATGTCAGGAGCTTGGCAGTTCACACAGTACGACATCGATTTGCGATAAATGTAAATATAGGTCACGGTATTCCTCGGTTTATAAGCACGACCATCGGTGGGAGCATTCTGAACTCTGAAGCCATCCTTCAGCACATCGCCATGAGTCTTTGCGAGCACTGCGTTTCGGGTGAGTAGATCGTGCTCCCAAGTTATATCCAACCCACTTATTGATTGTTGAGGTTGCTTCGTATAGGCGTTCGCCATGAAGGAACCCCTGAGGGTCGGTTTATCATACGCGCATCGGGCAGGCATTCATGTCGTTTGGTCAGGTCAATTTGAAGATGTTGCTGGCATCAACACATACATCGCCACTCCCACTGTCGATTATCCCAAAGACAAGGCAGTCTTATTCATCACCGACATCTTTGGTCCTCAGCTCATCAACGCCCAGGTTTGTTCTGTTCTGCTGTTCGACTGAGGGTAGATAACGATAGAATAAATCAAATTTAGCTCCTCGCTGATGATTACGCTCGGAACGGCTTTAAAGTCTACGTGCCAGACATATTCAGCAACGATTCTGCGCCTGCAGACGCCCTTGACCCGGGATCCCGATGGGACTTCATGGCATGGCTGGGAAAGCACGGCCCTTCGGACGCTGCACGGCCAATCCTTGACAAGGTCATCGCGGCTTTAAAGGCGGGTGGTGTCGAGAAGATCGGCACGTTGGGCTTCTGCTACGGAGCGCGACTTGGCTTCGATCTCGCATTTGAGAACGTTACCCAAGTCACTGTAGCGTCGCACCCCAGTCTGCTTCAGGTTCCTGCTGATCTCGAGGTGAGAACTCCGCTACGGCTTGGGTGAACAGAACCTTACTATGCGACTGTAGAAATACCTTACGGCATCGAAGGCTCCGCTCCTGATCAATACCTGCGAGGTCGACCAGATGTTCCCTCCGGATTCTCAGGCCAAAGCCGATGCGATCCTTGGAGACGGCAAGTTCGCTCCGGGATACCAGAGGACATACTGGGAGGGATGTGTCCACGGCTTCACAGTCCGTGGTGATACCGTGAGCGATTTCCACTGTTTCAGATGATTCATGACCGTTAACTCTGTTACATCCAGAGCAACCCGAAGGTAAAGGCGGGACGAGAGGGCGCATTCAAGGCCAGTGTCGAATTCCTCATTAAGCACCTGTAGTCCGGCCAAAATGCCCAATTTGTATTACTATGTGACCTGAGTGTGCCGCTGAGAATAAGAGCTTGTACGCATGGGATGAATTCGAGTTCGAGTGCGGTCGCGTCGAAATGATCGTGAGCTTGAAAGAAGCTGATCGCTATCGTGTCTAGCTAGTTGCTTCGATTTTGCCGAAATTAAGGTGACGAGATTGGGTATTTACGCGATGAATTGAGAGTGCGAGGAACATGATCTCTGTGGGTTTTGACTCTTTGCGAGACAGCTGACCAATCGGATTGCTAATATTGAACCGGAGCTACATAAGCTCAACGCTGCGCCACAAGACCGATTACATAGAGCAATATACTGGCTCTCACACTTCCGAATCATCCATTGCAGCGAGAACCTTTGTACCTCGATGAACACCAATAATGTCCGACGAGATGCCTTCTTGGAAATTTCTGGCGAACGCAGCTTCGCGCTCTATTAAGAACTACGTCTCTCAACGCGACTACAAACGACCATCTCCCATAACCCGGGAAGTCAGCTTGGATGGGAGCTCGCGCAGGAAGACATGGGGCCAGTGGGCAGGTCAGAAACTGCGACAGGTTCAGGGAGAGCCTGGTGCAAGCGTCGAGAATGTGCTCTTCTTCCCTGGTTGGGCAACAAGACGTTTCCACGACCCGCTTGCAAACTCGGCAGATGGTGAGTGGTGTCTTTCGTCGACTCAGCATATCGACATCGAGTTCCATTCGTGCTCGTTTCATTGGGGAGTCCGTCCGTTATGGAGATGGAACTGTCGTCTGACAATGCTGTACGGCACTCAGCCCGATACTTGTCTGGCGCCCGAAGTGCTGGTTAAATCCAATCTTATAGTAGCGGCGTTGGGCTCCAGAAGCTTCAAATGTTCGTCTACCCTGTGAATGCGATGTAGTTTCACATTCAGGTAGAGCTGGCAGAGATATTCCCTCATTGTTACTGTCGGGGCGCCATGTAAGGCCCTATGGATAACAATTTCAGGATACGTTGAATGTGGAGCATCTAGACACGATATGTCTAAGGACTTCATGCCCCTATTTCAAGATGCCATATGAACCCCCCTAGACTGACATTATTGTTTGTCAAATTTGATTATGACACGAAGAGCTAGTTGGGATCATATCTACGTCGATGTCCAAATAAAGCACTTAAATCTAATCTCATATTCGCAGATGCACCATTTGACGTCGAAGTCTTTGTCTCTGGCTTTGCCTCGAGGTCCAATGGACTAGGGTTTGGCACTCGATCAGGAAAGGCTTTTCTCAAGCTGGCAAAGAGTGCGTCAACCACCAACGTCAGCCGATTGAAACTAATCGCTTTCAGGCATTGCGGCGCTTCCGAAGCTCACGACACAAATTCCCGTACATGGATACACCGATAATTGGTCGACAAATAAGCCTATAAGCACGTCAACAGAGAACCTTATCGGCGACAAACAGATGCCCCTGCCTCCCGATCAAATGGACGGGGCGGCAGAGATTGCAGCGTTGGAAAACCAACTGCGTCAGTTGGACGTCGACGCCGATAACGCGAGTACTAATGGTGAGACGGAGTCTGTAGCGTCATCTCACACCTCCCACAGCTCAACAGTTCACTCCCCAATATCTGAAGTGGATCTAAATGGGCAGGGCTCAAATGTTTCCCAAGAGCTGCACAAATGGCACGCGAACCTAGAGGCACGTCTGCACCCATTTTGGGCTTCAGCAGTGTCTTCTCGGAGGGTTCGGATTTCTTTATATGCAACCAATCCCTCACTAGCAGAGGCAGATGGTCATGCTGATTCTGCCGAAGAGATCTTCCAACTCCCCCTCATGCGTCGCGAGGTCGTCACTGCAATGGACGGCTCATTTCAAGTTAGGTTCCAAGTGCCATGGAAGACCTTATGCCTTCATCCTCAAGGGGTACTTCTTGCGTTCGACGATAGAAAACTAGAACATGACTTTTACGTTATCGCCGAACTACAGCCGCCCTCACCTCGACAGTCAAACAGCTCGCCGTATCAACCACCTGCAATATTCCCCGTGGCGCCCGTGACGCAGTCCATATCAATTCCTCTTTCCTTCGCACCCGTGCGTATCATCTCTGATATTGACGACACGGTCAAGTTGGCAGGAGTGCTAAGTGGTGCTCGAGCCGTCTTCCACAACGTCTTCGTGAAGGATCTTGAAGACAGTATCATACCAGGCATGGCAGAGTGGTATACCGATATGTGGAAGCGCGGGGCTCGCTTTCATTATGTTGTGAGTGGCTGGTCAACGGACTGTCTCTTCAGGACTGATACTCGGGCGTATTCAGTCTAATGGGCCATTCGAGATTATGCCGGTTCTCACCAACTTCTTCCAACTGACACGATTGCCCCCAGGATCTGTGAGGCTGCGATCGTACGGTGGACGTTCGCTTTTCAGTGATTTGCTGTCCGCGCCTGCAACTCGCAAGCGAGGAGGCGTGTTGGACGTCTTAGACAGCTTTCCCCAAGCACGATTCTTCCTCATTGGTGATTCTGGAGAGCAAGATCTGGAGCTTTACGCGAGCATCGCAAAGGAGCGACCGGCTCAGATCCTGGCTGTCTTTGTCCGGGACGTGGGAGCAGAAAGGGAGATGGAACCTTTGGACGACCCAACCGGTTCTAGGGTACTCAGGTTGGAAGAGCAGTCGGAATCAGGACCCTACCCTTTTGCGCCATCCATGTCGAGCCGATCGAGTTCTAAGAGCAGCACCAGTCGTGGCTCCGTAATTCGATCCATTACCGACACTTATAGTGCGCCGAGATACGCACCGAGGAAACCGATGAGAATGTACTCGGATACAGAGGTAGTCTCAGGACCACGAGAGTCGACCAATGGCTACTTCAATTCAACATCACTGACTGCATCACCTGTAACCGAAGAACCTGAGGAGATGTCGACACAATCCTCGCCTGGCGTGCCCTCGGACCGCGTTTCGGGCGACGTCTATTCTGGAACTCGGCAATATGTGTCGGACGTCGAGAGGAGACGCAGTGACTTGCAGATGCGCGTCTGGCGGGCGCGTTTGGATATCCCGGACCACATACCCTTGCGTATCTTCAGAACACCAGAGGAGTGCGAAGAAGCCGCGATTTTACTTGACGGACTCACTCCATGAGGACAGGATGATAAATTATAGTAATCTTAAATGCATGCACTGTATAAAACCAGATGAGTGTCTGTGATAAAATCGCTGTCACACAGCGCCCTTTTCACAGAGCTACGATACGGGAATTTTGACTGTAATGTTTAGAGGGATATCACGCTGCTCCACGCAGAAATGAAAACCGTAGGGTACTTTATGGTGTTTTGTCGGTTGTAGATTTTTTGAATTAACACAGATCTGGAGGTGTTTAAAAACCTCTATCAATTTTGAGTTGTTCTACTGTACTGAATTTCGCGTGATAAGTAGAATAGTCGCATAGACTGGTTTGCACGAGTCAGAGAGCGATGCTATTTGAGTTGCATGCCCAACAGGACTAAGCGGGTGTGTGTATGGCAAACATTGCAAACCATGGCAACCGTATGTGAGCTAGACGCTGTAATGAAAGGTAATGAAGGTCTGGCATTTGTGCCAGTCCGACTGAGACAACGAACGAGATGGCAGGGGAAGCAATCCCCCGGTAACTGCAAATTAAGCGAGTAGTACTGACCGATAAATGGGTACGATCTATGCACTTAAGTATATCAGACTGCGAAAGCCAATGTGACATTCAAGACAAACCCAGATGCTCTGACAGTAGCGTTGAAGATTCATGCTGCTATCTTGTCAATCATCAACCTGTGTTGCTATAATTTTTCATATTCATTCGTCTTCACTCATGATTCATATCATAGTCTCACCATACTCGTATCACATTGTTATTGTCCTGCTCATACCGTACAGTGCACACACATCACCTGTAGGCCGGGTGTACTTGTCTGACCTTATCCGACTCCGACTGATACTCCAGGTTCCTTGAGCACTCCACATGATGAGTCACAGTTGTCACAGACAAACGAGTATGAACTGGCGTTTTCCTACCCTAGAAGTAACAGCCTAGTTAATACACCAAAAGCAGGGTATATCGAACTGAGGTCAGTCAGCCCCCTTTGCGTCTGGTTCGGCCTGCCCGTTTGAACACTTTATCATCTCAAGCATGGCGTCGATTGCCCCCAACATTTCCATCAACTCCTGCAGCCGCAAGTCAAATCGTGTCTCACTACATATTCATGTAAGGAATGCTCGCCTTGTTCCCAGATTCAAATGACAGTCCTACTTGGATTGCTTCCTTTGCTTCTTGGTATTTGTCCATTCTCAAGAGGGCTCTTGCTTTCCGGAAGTGGCCTTTGCTCCAATGCCGCTTCAACTGTATGACAGTTTCGGCATCGACAAGTGCCGCTATGTAGTCTCCTGCCTCGAGGAAGGCAGCTGAGCGATTTGAGATAATAGTGGAAAGCTCTTCGCGCATGACCTGTTGCGCCTCCCAGGGCGGCCGCTGTACGGCAATGTTTGCAGCCATGCTGTATCGCTGAATTGCCCTGTCATGCAGACCGCCTTTGAAGAGAGTCTGAAACCGCCCACGATCAGTCGCCGAGGTGGCCATACAGAGCGGGGTAGCGTACATTTCCTTCTTCCTTCGTGTTGGTGATTGCTTGTGACATCTGCTTACTGACGATCTGTGGAGGGGGTGGACAGCGAAGTGCCGGGTTGGTTTGAAGGATACGAGAAGTTCGGTTGAGGGGGGCATAGTCCACATCACATGTTGGACATTTTTCGAGCGAGTGGGCGCCGCATAACGCCATACAATTGTCCGGCGGACCCAGAGCAATATCGACGGGGCGGAAGCTGGCTTCAATCAAAGCCTGCATGGCTGGATCAGGCGGGCGAATGGCCATGGGGGGCGGCTGGGCACCATTGATACGGACTGGTTGCTGACCTGGTGCAGGAGAGACCGGTTGAACTGGAGAGGCTAGCGAGGGGGTGGGCGGTTGAGACATCGCTCTCGAAAACGTCCAAACTGCGTCCGCTCTTCAGGTAGTCTCAAGCACCCGACACGTTCACAGTTCCCTTTTCTGGTGAATTGTCAGCGGGCTAGATTTCCCCTTAAGGCAGTAAAGCTTAGTCATCAACACCGCTGTTAGTAAGGGCGTCGAGTGGAAAGTTTTCCTCATCGCCTTTCTGGTGAACCATCACCATCTCGTTTTGACCCCAGCGCGTTATAGACAACACTCGTCCTTTCGAAAGTTTTCCTTTTGTTCAGTTTGACTTAATATGACAAATGGAATGGTAAACGGTGCCGGTCTAGAGAATCAGTTTGGTGAGTTATCAGTTCTAACTGCGATTAAACGAAGTGCGATGTTGACTCTACTTTTTACTCAGCTTCTCTCGGTATCAACGGCACAAAATCTGCATATGTTCCTCCACATTTAAGAAGCCAGCAGCGGGCTGCGTCAAGTCCCATTGTCCCTGTTGATGGGTTCGTGTTGGCACTTAATTATATGGATTATACAATTCGAGCCGATGATTAATCTAGCAGGAGCGGCTGGACTGACTCCCGCTCATCCACTCCTTCGTCTCGTGGCGGTTATGGTAGTGGTAGGGGCGGATACACTGAGCGCAGCGTCAGTAGCGCTTACGCTAATCGTGGAGAAAAGTGGGGAGAGCGGACCACCACTGGTTGGCAAGGACATTCTTCAAAAGGCGATGGCGGTCCTCGCGACTCCGGATTTGGTGTTTGGAGGGACGGATTACACGTTCCCGGTCCCCGCAACATGCGAATGGAGAAGGAGTTGTATGGAGACGAACATGATCCATCGAAACAACATACAGGAATCAATTTTGAGAAATACGACGACATTCCCGTCGAAGCTACAGGCGCTGGAGTCCCGGAGCCCGTCAATGCATTCACGAACCCGCCTTTGGACCCTGTTTTGCTAGAGAATATTGGATACGCTCGTTACACTACACCGACACCGGTGCAAAAGTACTCGATACCCATTGTTGCACTTGGCAGAGACCTCATGGCTTGCGCTCAGGTCCGTTGGATTATGCAACGCACTGGTTTACGTTTTACTGACACGCTCCCTTATCTCAGACTGGTTCTGGGAAAACAGGCGGTTTCCTATTTCCAATTCTATCAGCATCATTTACTAATGGACCTCGACCTCCTCTCGCCGATGCGATGAGTGGCGGGTATGGTCGTACACGAAAGGCATGTCCTACTGCCCTCATCCTTGCTCCTACGCGAGAACTCGTCAGTCAAATCCATGAGGAGGCTCGCAAGTTCTGTTACCGTTCATGGGTCCGACCGGCTGTCGTCTACGGTGGCGCTGACATCAATCAACAGCTGCGCCAGATTGAGCGTGGCTGTGATTTGCTCAGTGCTACTCCCGGACGTCTTGTTGATCTGATCGAGCGCGGCCGCATCAGTCTTGCTAACATTCAATATCTTGTTCTCGACGAAGCCGATCGCATGTTGGACATGGGTTTCGAGCCCCAGATCCGCCGAATCGTCCAAGGGGAGGATATGCCTGGCGTCCAAGCACGCCAAACACTGATGTTCAGTGCCACCTTCCCTCGCGATATTCAAGTTCTCGCACGAGACTTCATGAAGGACTATGTCTTCCTTTCGGTTGGTCGTGTAGGTTCTACCTCGGAGAACATTACGCAGAAGATTGAATATGTTGAAGACGGCGATAAACGCTCTGTTCTTCTTGACGTGCTCTCCGCCCATGACCCGGGACTTACACTAGTCTTCGTCGAGACGAAACGGATGGCCGATATGCTTTCCGACTTCTTGTTGACGAACCACCTTCCTGCAACGTCCATTCACGGAGACCGTACTCAGCGCGAACGCGAAATGGCGCTGCAGACGTTCAAGAGTGGACGCACGCCAATTTTGGTCGCCACTGCGGTTGCTGCTCGTGGCCTCGACATACCCAACGTCACGCATGTTGTTAACTATGATCTGCCGTCTGACATTGATGACTATGTCCACCGGATCGGTCGTACGGGCCGTGCAGGGAACGTTGGAGTTGCTACGGCGTTCTTCAACCGTGGCAATCGCAACATCGTCCGTGACCTCCTCGAGCTTCTGCGGGAAGCCAACCAGGAAATTCCGGGTTGGTTAGAAACTGTTGCACACGAGAATGCATTTGGCGGCGCTACGCGTGGTCGCGGTGGACGCGGCCGTGGAGGAGGCCGTTCCCAAGCTTCCCGGGATTTCCGTCCTGGGGGAGGTGGTAGTCACAGCGGCCGCGGAGGCGGAGGTGGCGGTGGTTATGGAGGCCCGCAATACGGTGGCTACGGTGGCAGCAACGGTTATGGCGGCGGCGGTGGCTACGGCGGCGGCGGTAGTGGAGGCAGCTGGTGGTAAGCTGTCAGGACTCAGCATCCGACCCTGCCATGCATCCCTCTTCCCGACTCCACACATATGCCTCCTTTCATTCGATCATGATCGCCTTCATCGTGAATCCAGCTTGACTTCCTTCTCGATAAGAAAATTATTCCTCGATGTCGGTTTCCTATTAATCTGGACTTCTGGACTATGCGCTGCTCTCACATCATTGCGGTTTTCGTCTCGTTGCATTGCTGCTCATCGTTTATTGTAGGGCCCTACTTAATCGTCTGTTTCCATAGTCGGGCGCCGATTGCCCCCCACAAGTTTACAGCATCATATCCATAGACGAGGGGCCATCCTCCCAAGCATGAGCAGATTCTGTCGGTCTTCGTTTCGCGATACCCTACTTATTGCGACGCGCTGGTCGTACATCCTATAGCTTAGCATCACGAGACAATCTGTTAGAGCATCGCATATCTTGTAACGTAGTCATAGTTTAGCATCTCTTTATCGCAATATATTCACCGACATGCAGTATCGTTAGCAATCGTTCTCGTTTGTTCTTCTGTATGCCGGATTATGTAGCGAGTAGGACCCGGCGGCTGCGAGAGGCCAGGTGGCCAATCAGGGTGGCGGGGGACACCCGTCTCGTAAACTCACTCACTTCAGAGGGCCTGCGTGGCAATCTTTCTTGCATATTCTGACTAACCCGACCACAATCTCAAGACGGTGTCCACGTCAGCTTCGTGTTGCTTTCCCCCTCAGATTGGTCTAAATGTTGCTGACAGCCCTTCCGTATCTCAGTCACCACAGCAAGCCATGTACAGAGCGCTCTCGCCCATTTTCGACGTCCCAGACCTGCCAACTCTCAGAAGAGTAAAGCCACTCCCGAAACGCAGACGGACATCCGAGACGTCTCTCCACGGCGATGCGAGCAACACCATGCCCGGAATCCCAGCTATCCTTTCTGCTACCGACGAGCTGATGGCGCACGCAGATGCACTGACGGCGCAGATGGCGCTGCAGTCATACTACATGCCTGTGCTCGGCGGCGTCCAGGACCTCTTCAAGGGCGATCTGCACTCTGCGACATCCACGCCGATCGATCTGGGTGGGAGCTTGTTCGGGCTGGCTGACTTTCGCAGTGCGCACGACGACGACGAGGAGCAGACGGGCGATGGCGATTATGTCGACCACCTACAGCAGCCTGGGAATACGAAGAAGAGGAAGGTCCCCGCGAACATGTCGGGCTCAATGCATGGGCATGACGCCGGCTCAGGTAACTCTGGCGCAGAGGACGATCCGGCAGACCGCGGTATCCCCAGCGGAGGCCGGCTGGACCGCGATTATGACACTATCAACGTCCGCCCGCCGTCTTCGCCACTCGCGATGCTCTCACAGCAGAGGAAGGGGCGGCTACCGAGAGCGACCCGTGCGGCGTTGCAGCACAAAGAGATACTAAGGAGCCGGAAGCGTCAGTTGGCCTCGGTACTTGGGGCGTTGTCTCATGGAGACACGCTGGCCTTGGACCAAGCTCTTTCTGCCAGTTACCCATTCACACGTGTTGGCTGGGGCGGTGACTTCAAGGATCCGCAGCCGCCAAGGGTCAGACTCTCTCGGCGGCGGGAGCCTCGTCTTGCTCGCGCGTTTCGTGCGTTTCGTGCTGCTCTACCCCCAGCGCCCGATGATCCCAAGGCCGTTATATCATCGGACACCAAGTTTTCATTCATTTGCCACAGCGCGAGTGAGTAGTGCCGCTTCCTTCATGTGCGTATGTGAAGCTAATGAATCAAATGCGTTGCTACAGCCTCAGATCGTCTCATAGCGACGAAGGAGGAGGTCGCCGAGCTGCATGCCCGTTTTGAAGCGGAACTCGCTCAACAGGCTGCCAAGGCCGCAGAGGCGGCAAAACAAGCGGCTGCGGCGCTCGGTGGGCCTCTTGTCAAGCGTGCGGATCGCTCGAAGCAGGGTCGCGCGTTCGGACCCCGCAGTTCTGATCCGAAGGCAGGGACTTTGGAACAGTCTCTGCTGGGATCGAAAGACCGCGGGGGAAAGAAGAAGAAACGATCCGCTCTCGCCAATGCATCGAACCCGCACCATTTGCGCAACTACGTGCCTTCTCGCCTCCCGCACTCTGGACAAGCCAATACGACACAGGCCGTACAAAATGCCCAGAACCTCCTCAGCCCGATTCCCCTGCGATTCTTGTCTGCGGATATACCTCCAAGAAGGCGAAAGAAGTCTGACCACCCGGCCGTCCCGGTGTCGATCCTGGCGAACCCTGCAGACGAGTGGATCTGTCCGTTCTGTGAATACAGCTTATTTTATGGCGACGACGCCGGGCTCGAGCGTGCGGTGAGGAATCGCAAGAAGATCCTGAGACGACGGCGCCGAGCCCGAGAGCGTGCGGCAGCAGCAGCGAGCGGCAGTGCGACGCTGAAGACATCGGAGAAGGACGTCCCTGCTGAAGACGGGCACCCTGGATTCGAAGCACCGGCCGCTGAGAGCGGGGTGACGGCAGCAGGAAAGCAGACGAAATGGAAGGAGGAGAGGGGTCGCGGGGGGCACGGCATTGCACAGGGAGCACTGGGATGAGGAGGGCGGTGGACCTGTGGACATGGACAGAGGAATTGGTGTACGCTCGTTTGTTGCGCATTGCTAGCATTTTATTTGCGTTGCCGGCGTGAATCTGAGAACCGCATCGCTGAATCTGAGGCACGGCGGCGAGATAGACTCTGGGTCACGTGCGGGGAGCTTCTCCGGTTCTGAGTCGGGGGCGGCTGCGGGCAAGTCCGCTGAGTGCAAGTTGAGCGAGTAAGTTCGCGGCCAGCAGCATTGCGTCGAGTTCCAAGCTGCTCCAAGTTCTTACCAGGCCTGCCTGTTAGCGCAAGGCCAGTCCCAGGCGAAGCGGTGGCTGAGGCCGATCCCAGCGGCAGCCAAACTGGCGCGAGTGTGAATAATCAAACTGTCACCTCCCGCAACACAGCGGGGTCTGCCCTCGTCTGCAAGAATATTGTGCGGTGCAGCAGCGGGCCAGCAGCTGCGAGGACATGTAAGTGCCGTTTCGCTGTTGCCGTCGTCGCATCGTGCCTTGTCTTCATAGATCTGCCGATCGGCGTCGCTGGTCTAGCTGATTCAGAACCCAGTCCGTGCCGTTCCCCGCCTCCCCTGATGCATGATGAGCGACGCCACTACGGTCGTGGCCGCCCTTTTCCTCGTCTTGTCCAGTCGTCCTCCTTCCCATCCCCGCCGTAGGACATCCATTCGTTTATCTCCCGCCCCCCCTCTCTTCTATCACCCTCTGCCATTTAAATGCTATACCCTTGTTCTCCGCACTAATGCCTCTCTATTTTTCCTATGATCGCCCTCAGTTCGCGGGTCCTGTCTCCACCGCCGTCGCTCAACCTCTTCCTCGCAGCCCGACGCCTGTTAGCTCCTACACATCACTCGACCACGCGCTGGGCACAGAAGGCGCTCGTGACACCAACAACGCCGTTTCCCAACCGCCGACATCCCAACCCGGCCAACCTCATCCTTCTCAAATGGCGTCCGACGGCCGTTACGTCTATCACGCCCCGCCAGAGGTAACTGGCCATTACGCGTATTCTTCCTACTCAACCCCGTCCTACGAGCCACCTCAGCTTTCTCATACCATGTCTCGGCCACCTGCTCGATCTGCTTCTGCGCAGGCCCATTCTCCTCACGTACCCTCTCAGCCATATCCTCCCGCTTACCCCCCTCAGTCGCCATATGGGCATCCAGCCTATAGCGTTGTCCCAACACCCTCATGGACCGGCGAAGGCTGGCATCAATATCCACATACATTTCCGCCACCCCATCCTCCAGGTCAGGATCCTCATTATAGTTCTAACGGCGCGAGGCCAGACATATCGGCCAGCGACCATCGACCATATCAGCCGGGTCCGTCGAGACCCGAGTCCCATCGTCCCGAGGAGCGGCCTCGTCCGCCGGAAGCGCCGCCTCAACCTAAAGTACGTAAACCAAGAGAGAGCGATCCCCCATCCCCAGTATCTCCGAGGCCAACATCCTTGGGCCTCGACTTTCATAAGGTGATTGCTTGCATTATCGGCTGGTCTGAACGTACAATGCTCATACTCTGCTCGTGCATATTCCTTTGTAACCTCCGAAACGCTACAGTTAACAGAGCAATATGGCTTCGTGCTTGACACATCGCAAGGCTTGCTCAATGAGGCCTCGTCTACTACTGGAAGGGCAACTATCGCTCCTGAATCTATGGAACGGATGTCGCAGGCCGCCGCATTTGGGTTTCAGGCGATAGACTCTGCCGGGAGGCGTGTTGCACAGGCCGAAGTTCAGCGGACACCCCCCGAGCGCAGCCCTGTGGAGAGCGAGGCCGGTACATCTCAACAGCCAAGACCAGTCAGTGTACACTTTCGTGTCGGACGCGTCGTGGCTTACATTCAATTTCTGTCACGATTATTACTTACAGCAGCAACAGCAACAACAGCAACAACAACCACAACCGCAGCAGCAGCAGTCGCAGTCGCAACAGCCGCAACAGCCAGACAACAGTCAACCTAATACGGAGGGGCAGACATGTCTGGGTTGTAACGCGACCTCAACACCAGAATGGCGTAGGGGTCCTATGGGTCAGTCCGATCTCGTTGATCTCATGCCGGAGATGCTCATTTCTCCGTATATCTCCAGGCCCACGCACTCTGTGTAATGCCTGTGGTCTTGTCTACGCAAAATTAGTGCGCACACCGCTCTTTTTCCCAGCCCAGACGGCTGACACCATTCCTCTCATAGCTTAAGAAACGCAGTCGTGATCCTGCACGTATGCGTGGGTCTTTTCCGGGAGGCGCCAAGCTGGGTGCCCAGGGTGCCCACGCCCTTGTCGATGATGCTGCAAATGGCTCCGACGGTGACGGCGGGAGCGACGACGAGGACTCGTACGGCTCGCAAGAGCGGCGCAGTGACAGTGGGTTCCATGGTGGGAGAGATTGATAATATGAGGCGCCAAGGTTATCTTCTTTGGGTTCGTGCAATTGGCCGTCCTCTCTACTTTCTGACTGCTTTCTGTCGTGCGTCCTTGTTTTTCTTGTTCTTCGGTCATCTTCTGTATACTTTAGGTTCCCCATGCGTTCTGCCTACTCCTCGCGCTACCCTGTGCCCTGTGCCTTTCTGCATTCTGATCGAAGGTCGCGGCCACTCCCTCTGAAAATACGCCCGTCACCCTATTCAATGTGGGTGTAGGCGGGGTTTTTTTGCTCCTTACTTAAGAAGTCGCCTGTGTCGGTTTTTCTGACGGTCGCCAGCGGGTTTGACAGTCTATCTGTTTTACAAATGTAGCCCATGGTTGTTTTGCGGCATTCATAGGTGAGAAAAATCGGCTACCGCTGTGCGCGTGGTGCAACGGCCCTCGTGAAACGTCATCTTTGTTACCCACGCCTTGTGTTGACGATTGCAATTATCATGGATCAGAAACCGGTTCCTGTTGTTGTTATTCTAGTGAACAAGATCTTAATGTATGCAGATCAGTATCAGCGCACATGCTTCCCAGGAACAGTCTTGCTTCTCACAGCAGAACAGCAACAGAATTCCTTTTCCTGCTTGGCGGATCATGAGAAGACAGTCCACATTGATTATCGAGCCAGGAAGCAACCCCTGTCCTCTGCGACGGGGATATGATCCGAGATTCCAGTCGGAGAGTGAGCACGGTCGATCCCTCCAAAGTTATAACGAGCACCGTCGAGATGGTAAAATTACAAAATATGCACTACGTCTATAATAATTACCGGAAATACAAAATACAGGCTTGTGCTCACGACCCTCCCTGCGCCGCCTTGTTCGCCCCAAGCGGCATCTGCTGGGGATGGTTCGTCATCGCCGGCATCTGGTGCTGGGCGTTGGGTATGGGCGCACCACGCCCGATGCCTGGCCAATAGCCCGCAAGCACTCGTCCAGGCTGCATATTCACGCCCACATGGGCATGATTCATGTACATATGAGGATACTGTGCCAGGATCTGCGCAGCCTGGGCCTGGTCGTGCGGGACGCCGTGCTGCTGCTGTGCGCCGGTCGATGCCGCCGCCTGCGCTCCGCCAGCCATCTGCTGTGGCAGCATCTGAGGGTGCGACGGGTGACCATGGGCCACAGGACGCAGATGAGCAGCGGCGGCGGCGGCGGCGTTGTACTGATTTTGCAAGGCCGCGTAGTTGTAATTCGTTTGCTGAGGCCCATGAGCGGCTTGCTGCTGCGCGTTCGGCGGCATAGGTGATTGAGTGGTGAGTCGTTGATTGGCAGGCATAGGGCTATTGCGGGCCGGAGCATTCGCCTGGCCTGCAGCTGTCGAATTTCCGGCCACGGGTGATGCGCTGGGGCCCGGGGCCTGATTCATGCGCTGTTGGGCGGCAGCGTTCTGGTATGCTTGCATCTGGTAGTACATGCTATAAGGCATGGCTGGCGGTTGTGTAGGATGCTGTGCCGTCTGCCCAGCCTGAGGGTAATTGGAAGCGGGTGTTCCATTTGCAGTTACATTTGGTTGCGTTCTCTTCTTGCCTGCGGCTGCTTGAGAGGCAAAGTTGACCGCTGTTACAGGTGGCTGGAACGTACCTGCGGTATGCACAGGTTGTGTGGTAGCAACAGGTGCTTGTCCTTGAACCGGCTGGTGTTGACCATGTGATGGTTGCGCGGGATGAGGCGCTGCTGAAGAGGGCCGAGTCCCAGCATTGGACGGACTATTTGCGGCGGCAGTATTAGGCGGCGTATGAGGTGATTGCGACGGTCTAGGAGCGGCCTGGAGGTTCGCCTGCTGGGGATAGTGAGGCTGTAGATGTGGTGGGATAGGCAGGGGCACTGTCGACTGGGCTGGAGTCGCGGATGCTCTGGCCACAGAAGGAGACCGAATGACGTCGTGCTTTGCGTTCGCCTTGCTAGGTTCCTGAGATGCCTGAGTAAGAGCCGCTGGTGGAACGGGGGTGGCGGGAGCTTGTGGTACCGCAATCGCGGTGGGGATAATCACGGGGACAGGCGCTACCGATGGCGGGTATGGCATGGCAGCTTGTGTCCCTGGAGGAGCAACCCCGGTGTATGGGAGAGCCGCCTGGGTAGCCTGGGAGGTCGTGGGCGCATTTGATTGAGACTTACTAATCCTGAACCTAGCAGCAGCATCCCAAAGGCGGAAACTGATTTGAGAGGCTAAATACTTATGTGACATGAGGTGTAGCTGGAAGCACTCGCCTCGGTGCTGTAACAGCTGGCCTTGTGAATTTGGGATTCATAAATTGTGCAAGCTTCGCCCTACGCGCCTTCTCAGTCTCGTCGTCCTCTTGTTCCATAACGGCAGCTTTACGCTTGAGTGGGAGGGGCGTCGTTGGACCGGATGCCCTGAGGACATTGTTCGCGACACGAACTAGATGTGGGTCGGGGTCGAGACAAAGCGGTGGAGATGTAGCCAGCTACAACGACACATTAATCACCGCAAGCGGAGCACATCCGACGAGAACAGCGCACCAATATTCGGGCTTCCACCTCTAGCGCTTCATGATCCGTCCAAGTATTCCCTGCCTTCTGATTCAGCAAACAAATGTCAGCCCAAAGGCTCTCAGGGTTCGGGGTCAGGACCACGCGACTCCTCTGCGGTTCCTCAAGTAAGGGATCTGTGACTCTCTGTGGACGAAAATCCTGCAGTTCTACAATCATACATCCTTCCGAAGCCATTAGTTTTTACCACGGAGGGCAGCACACGAGTCGTACGGACCATCGTAGAACGGGAGCTTCGCGGTGTCAAATAATTCCAGGAAGTCTACCGGTATTCGCTGAGCACGAATGTCATCCAGAAGCGACTTGTGCGGGCGAAAGTAACTCTTTATAAGTTAGTTTCCAAAGTGGTGGGAATTGGAAGCATACCGCAATCTGGTGAGTGTACAAACACTTAGACCCGTTGTTGAGTGTCCAATAGTCAGGGTACAGCTTGACGGTAAAGGACGCAGGCGAGAACTGGTGCTCGTCCAGCAGATTCTGAACCGAGCGGGAGAGGTTATAGCTGGTCATAATGCCCAGTATGTAGGCAGTGAACAAAAGTTAGAGATGAATCATGTCAATGTCGACTAGAGCGCGATATATCGAGCACTGGTTAGTCCTGGCCACAGCTGCTGTTCATTGAATGATTGACCGTGTTGTTCACCGTCGGACCGGCCCTTGTGTGATCATTGTGTTACGTAAGGCGCGTATATGGAGAGCGCCCGCCGGTAGAATTAGCACGAAGCTGTTTAGATCCATGTCAGCAGGCGAACTGAAAGAGGTGAGCCGCAGTGGAAGCTTGAGTAGAGAATTTAATTGAAACTGTTTCGCTTAGCTGATCCCATTTCTCCATGATGCAAACCCACAAGTGCGGCAGATTGCTCTTGCCAATCTGCTCGGACACACACCGAAAGGGTCTCCAAACCGCGATATTTTCTTTACTGGGCTGAGAAACAGTGGATTGCAAGAATCTCAAGATAGCGACATCATCCGCGATCTAAAGCTGCTATGCCGAGACCAATTAGTGAGCTGTTATGTAACCTTTACAAACCTATCTGCGAACTGACTTCAATTGCAGGCAACTGCTCACGACGCCTTTAGGGCATTGGTGAATCTATCCGATTATTCTTTGCTCATAGGGTCTCTGTCAGAACTTTCATTTTTGAATTTTCTTGTATCCTACATTCTCGTTCGTATCATATGATTTACAGTTCCCTCGAGATCACCCTCTAATTGACCTCTTACGCAGAACCCTCAAGCCATCCTCGCCGATCTTGCATCGATGTTATTGTCCAACCTGACCGCGTCAAGTTCAACATGTTCTGCGCTGCTTACATTGACTGTATCCATACTTCCTGATCCAACATCGCCCACACTGTATTTTCCTACCCAATCGCAATGCGGAACCTGTCCCGCTCCTGTACCATATCCATCCGGGGGGGCGCAGAGTGTAGAGGCCCTTCCTCTTCTCCTAGATGCTTTCATTCAGGGTGCGACAGTCGAAGACACACAAGGCAAAGAGAAACGAACACGTAAAGGGAATTTACATTTCCTGTCCAGCGTTTTCGCAAATTTAAGCACGGTAGGCATCAGGATCTCTGTAGCATGCGAGTTGATTTTGAGGTTTACAGACACTCACAGGCCGACTGTTCTTTCTCACACCGCGCCCGACTGATCCCATGAAGTCAGAAATGACTGTAGAATATCCGTTGTCTAAGCTCCTCGTATTTACCGAGCACAATGATATCATTCGACGTGGCGGTGTTGCATCTGCGCTCAAGTTCGTCTGACATAGTCCACATATCCACACTCTCTAATCTTCTTTCGCAGAAACTGTGCATTTTACGTGCAGGCCCACCGAGCACTCTTATCTTCAGACACAGAACGCGCCATCGTACCGCCATCGACAATCGCTGCGCCTGGAGTTGACATTCTTCCGTATGTATTACTTCCATTAGCAGGCCCGGAAGAGTTCGATCTCGAAGTAGGTCATGTCTTCCATCATATTATTTTATTCCTGATGGCTTACTTTGGACCAGGATCAAGAGCTGCTACCTGCAGCCCTACAATTTCTTCCGTCTACCAAAACGCGCGAGCCCGATCCTGTGCTACGATTAACTCACATTGAGACACTTCTCTTACTCTGTACTACACGATGGGGTAGGGAGTATCTCAGGAAGAATGGTGTTTATGAAATAGTACGGGTACTACACGAAAATGAACAGGTTGACAAGGCAAGTACGCCATTTTCCGAATATTACGCTATGATATTCATTGCGGCCAGATTTCTGAGCATGTAGAGCGCCTGGTCAATTTCTTGAAAAGAGATGAAGGGACGGAGACAGAAGTAAACAATATTCATACCCTGGAAGAACCTTCGGATGAAGTGAAGGCGGAAGTCGATGATGATGATGAAGATAGTAGAATTGAAGAAATATAATATTCTCGGACAATGCTGAAGTGTAATTCCTCCTGGCCGTGTTGAACGGTCATTCTTCTCCATGATATAATTTCCTTTGCTTATGCTATACTAGTATACTACACTTCTGTCAACCCCCTGTCCTTATAGGTACTTGCGGAAGAACTCCACCGTGGCCTTGAATGAGCCTTCCTTACCCGCCTTCACCTTCGGGTCGTTCTATCATGTGGGAACATGTCGTCATGAAGGCGGTACTAGCAGGAATACGAAGGATCCTTACCATATCACCACGGACAGCGAAACCGTGCTTGCAACCATCCCAGTACGTCCTCAAGTAGCCGGGCGCAAATTTGCCATTTCCGAGGAGCTCATCTGAAATCGCCTGAGACTCTTTTGGGAACTGCTGGTCTTCCTCGCAACTATTGATCAGGAGCGGTGCCTTTGATGAGTCGCGATATTTCTTGAAAGGACTGAGCCAGGGTCAAAAATTATCACGAAAAGTTGCATACCTCAAGGTCGGCGGGAACCTGCAAGCGCGAAGGGTGCGAGACAACGGTCACATGGGACACGTTCTTGTTCGCGAGATAGAAAGCCGGAGGAGCTCCGAAGCAGTATCCGGTTGTTGCAATACGCGTCACTCCGCTTGCCTGTAACGCCTCGACGATTTTGTCGACCACACCCGTCCAGCTGTCGTCGCCGTGCTTAGAGAACCAAGTAACGCGGTCGAAGGTAGTATCATTAAGCTGTGCATCGGAGATAGGATCACCAATGAGAATGTCAGGGACGATGACCTTGAAGCCATTCTGTGCGAAACCGTCTGCAAGAAGCTATGGAGCCCGTCAAGCCTTCTGATTCTTGTTGCGAGTGTTAAAACACATACCTTGTTGTTGACGAGAGCAAGGCCGAAAACGTCCGTGAGGAACAAGACTACTTTGTCCTTGGGATACTCTCCCTTCGGTGTCGCGACATAGCACTCGACGCCGTTGATCTGCTCGATTTTCCCTATGGACCGGTTAGATTGAATCGGTCAAGGAGATCCTGAAGCCCGAGTATGACACACCCTCGGGGGCGCCCTCGTGGCGGACACCTGTGTGAACGGAATAGGTTATTGAAGTTCGGCAACCGTACGAGCTTCAACACATACCGCTAATACAATCCTGACAGACGGGCTCGGACATGACTTATACAACTGCTACTGATACGAGAAAGAGGTGGGTATGAGGAAGATGCAGGCTGGAGAGTCGTTTGCGACCAGCAGGCCTTCTTATCTTCGATGGAGAGTACTTACCAGTCATTCCATATTCGTCAATAATCCACCGACCAGCCACCGATCTGGTAGATCGGTATTCGATATCCGGCCGGAGACTGACGAATAGCTACGGCACTGCGGCTTCGGGCTCGGCTCATCCGCCCGTCAGGTTCAGTCCAATTGAGCTTAGTTTTAAGTCACCAACGACTACTAACTGGACTGATAACTGATTTCGTGGCAGGCGTCTGGCCCCATCATTTGAGTTGGCCCAGCGCGCTCTCAACGAAAACTGTAAGAATATCTCGTAGCCTTTAAAGACGCAGTTTACGTCGTGAAAGCGTCGCAAGTGTGTCGACGTTTCGAGCCAGTGCTTTGCACAGGAAAGACTTGAAGCAAACCTCAGTACAGTGCGCGCAGTATATTACTTGTTATTTGACGAGTTTCCCATGAGGAAACTGGTTGAAGAAATAGATGTCATTTTCTGTAGTTCAGTCAATGATTTGTGTACAGTGAGTCTCATATGTTTCCACCGAGCCAAGGCTCGGAGGAAGCAAAACCACTCTGATAGGTGAACAATTAGGATCCGCGGGTAGGATCTTCTTTTGACAATAACGTATGACTCCGGTGCGCGTACTACCGGAAAGCCAAGCTCAATGTCGATATTTTGGAATTTATCACGATCGTGCTTAATCTACCCAGCTTTCATGAACTTCGGCTCCCATCGTATTCAAATTGTATGCGAATCGCCCCAGGTTCGTCAAAACGGGACCGCAACAGAAGCCAGTTGGGGTTCCGGCACCACTGGCATGATACGTGGGGTAGCAATGTTCCGACAGTCTGAGATTAATGCGCGCTATACGCTTTATTGCGAGTGGGAACACAAGAACTGAGTGGGGGATAGTATATGTATAAGGAAGCCCCTGCAATTACAATTTCACATGGCCGTTACGGCATTGTACCATATCTGACCTCTATAAGTATTTGCGGAAGAACTCCAGTGTCGCTTTGAACGAGCCTTCAAAGGCTGCTTTCACCTTCGCATCATTCTGCAGCGCGAGTTATCGGTCAAAAGTCTGGACTGATATAGTTGGTTTATGCTCTCACCATATCACCACGAACGGCGAAGCCATGCTTGCAATTGTCCCAGTACGTCCTCACGTACCCGTGTGCAAACTTGCCGTTGCCAAGGATCTGGTCCGCAATCGCCTGGTCAGCCAGCGGAAACATTGGATCGTCCTCGCAACTGTTGATCAACAGTGGGGCGGTCGCAACATCACGATATTTCTGCAAATGAGGGAGGCTGTCACTTCCCTAGAACTGGAACTATACGAAACACAATGATAGCACCTCAAAATCGGTAGGCGCCTGCAAACGCGACGGGTGCGACACGACGCTGACATGAGTCTCGTGCTTGAGGGCCAGGTAGAACGCGGGAGGGGCACCGAAGCAGTACCCCGTTGTCGCGAAGCGCGTCACGCCGCTCGTCTTCAACGCATCGACGACCCTGTTCAAACCAGGGATCCACGTGTCCTCGTCGTGACGGGCAAGCCATCCGTAGCGGTCAAATGTCGTGCTGTTCAACATCTCGTCGGAAATGGGGTCTCCGGCGAGAATGTCGGGCATGACGACTTTGTATCCATTCTTGGCAAAACCATCTGCGAGGAGCTGTGATACAGGTGGACGCAGGCCCTTGATTGCATGGCAGAGATGAGGCCCACCTTGTTGTTATTGAGGGGAATACCGAAGACATCAGTGAGGTATAGGACTACCTTGTCCTTAGGGTAATCGCCGCTGGGTGTTGCTACGTAGCATTCAACGCCGGAGATCTGTTCGATCTTTCCTGCAGCGATGTCAGATTCGATCGGCCAAGAACATTGCCGGTTTGTAATACACACCTTCGGGTTCGCCTTCGTGGCGAACGCCTGCTCATACATTAGAACAGCGAATGCGAGTGAGACTTACAAAGCCAAGCAAACTGCACACATACCACTAATACAATCTTGACAGAGAGACATCGCTAAGTGAAAGTTGGATGGAAAGCAGACGGTGTCGAAACTGTTGAGTGCAGAGTCGTCTCAAACCGACAGTTTGTTCGTTCAAGTGCAACCCTTTTTGTACTTGGAACCCCTCACACACGGTCATCTTACATTCGTCAATAAAATGAGCAGCCAACGTGCAGATCCTGCGGTCGGTGCTTCGGACTCCGGCCGCAATGATGACGGTCTCTGGCACCGTCTAGCTGGCCTGCCCTTCCGATTGGTTTGACCTGAATTAACGCCATTCGAGGTGCACAGAGTGTCACTACTACTCATTCAAGGACGGTCAATGAGGATGACACCGAACCTATCTTGTAGCGACGCTATCCCGCGATACCGGTGATTATAAAGCCTAGAATAGACCAAATCACCTAGTTTGACTGTGTCTCGACGCCAATGGGGCCAATGAGAATGGGAAACTCAGTGCGCTCATTCATCCAGAAGGGCTCTAGATAGATGTACATACGTTGGTCAGCCGTAGGCATCGGGAAGCATAGGGAGACAACAGAGCGTCGGGGAGTTCGCATTTGTCACATGTCAGTGGTGTCCTCTGAAATAGTAAATGGCTGTAGTCTATAAGATGCTCGCTTTAACGCTGGGCATCCTTGAACTTGATTTTCGGTGCAGAATTAACGATAGGCTAAGGACAGAGGTCTGAGAGGCCGGGACACATACCAGTGCCTCTTTGTGCCATACATAACACAGCAAAACAGCTCATGTATTAATTGCGCCAATGTATGGAATAACTTCGTCATCAAGAGCTTTCACCGTTCGTTTACATTGGGTGATCACTTACTCATAGGACATATACTAAGAAGGCTCTGTTCTTGAAATGTATCACATATACAGAAAGAGAAGGCAAGCAGTGATTCTTTATCAGACTAGATTTTAATAGAGCATTCCATCTAAAACATATACAACAATCGCATACGACTGACACGCGAGGGTGATCACGACGGACCGGGGCTGCTTATAAACCCGGCACGCTGAGTAAAGGTAGCGAATGACATTCCAGGATGCTGGTCATCGATAGTCCTGGACCGTGACGGGTGTTAGCACCGGTAGCCAAGTGCGTTCCAATAGATAGGGGAACACGGAAGCGGGACGAGTTACGTACCGGCGTTTCATTTCGCCCCGCCAGGTCACCTCTCGGAGTGCTGGTGACCGGATGGCTGCACCAACTATGCCAAGTACGAGAGCGGACATTGCCTCGAGCACGATCTGTGAGGGGTATATGGATCACGATGAACGGGCATGACTAATGGAGACGGACGTCTGGCGGGAGGGCGCCTTCCGGTCTTCCTAACGCTTTCAGGTAAGAGAGGTCTACGAGCAACTCGTGAATGCGCGCGCAGTTTAACTTATCCGAGGAAGAAACGAACGTTCATACGTGGAGAAAGCGGCTGCGAGAGAGGATAAATGTGGAGATTGAATACGACGACAGAGGGACGCACCGTGTAGCATCGCAAATGTTGCAACGAGGAGGAAGAGACCACCGAGCATGGTGGAGTGGAGACCGAGAAGGTCGGAGCCGGGTGGGGAGCAAGCAAGGAGCTCGGGCTGGTGCGCGACGCGCAGTCACGTGGCTGTGACGCGCCTGGCTGCTCTCGGCGCTTAGCGATGCGTTTCGCTCTCACTCCGCCAGCGAGGATTCGTACTTATAAAGTCCTCGAGTGACGCTGGCTGGCCATCCCCCCGTCTTCAGTATCGCCTAGTCCACCCTGACAAAATGGCTGAGTCCAAGCACAGGTATGTCACGCAGATCGCCCTCTCGCGTGCTCATGGCAAATGACTTCGCATCTCGCCGGCGTAGCACTGCTCATGAGAAAGCCAGTGGCTGTGACCCATCCACTGGCACTCGTCATATCCCGCCTGCGCTTTCGCGCGATCCCAGCATAGATATACAGATCCCAGAGGGCACCGTGCACGTCTCTCGGCCCTTCCGATCGTTCAGGACACGCAAACTACGCACCATGATCACCTTCTCCCCACGCAAGTCGCATTTCGATATCACCAATGAGAGGACTGGAAGCAATGAGTTCCGCGTGCGTTCCTTACCATGCTCGTAGTATTTCCGCTGACCGCCTTGCGCCTGACAGGGATTCTTCACATTGTTCTGGATAGGCATGTTCGTCTTTAGCATCCGCACTTACATTCGCAGCATAGAGGAGCGCGGCTACCCTGTCGAAGGCGCATTCTTCTCAATGTTTTCTCGAGATGCCGTCACCCTTGCCATCTCCGATGCCGTCCTAGTTCTCAGCACCGGTATCTGCGTGCCTTTTGTCAGGGCGTTCACGAACGGCTGGTTCAAGTACTACTGGACCGGTGTCGCTATCCAGCACCTCTGGCAGACAATGGTACTCTTCGTCGCGATCAAGTGGACCTTTAACAGGCACTGGCCTTGGGTGCAGTCCGGCTTCCTTACCCTTCATTCGTTAGTGATGGTCATGAAGATGCACTCATATGTGACCACCAACGGCCAGCTGCAATGGGTGAATAGTCAAGCGGAGGAAGTCCAAACGCAGCTGCGCCATGTCGTCGCTGACGAGGGAGGATGGGAGACTGCGCTAGCTGCAGCTCAAGAGAGCAAGGCGCAGATGGAGGAGCTCGAGCGTGCGCGAGGGAATGGAGGCGAACATGACATGACCAATGGGGTGGCCAACGGGACGCCGATGGTACCCGAAGGCTTGACGTCGTCCTATGTCGACGTCAACGTCGCCGCTGCGCTGCGCCAGCGATTGGCTGCCACTGGCCGCTCGGACGTATTGACCTCACCCGTTCTGCATTCTTCCACATCGACGTCATCCTCAACAGATATTCCTCTTCAGCGTCTGGCGCAGGCAACAACCACGGGAACTCGCATGCCAGAAACTATCACTGAGATTCTTTCGCGATCCCCCGATGCAGCGTCACAGATTCTCTCATATCATCCTAATCCCAACATCGCGGATCTGGCCCGAGAACATATGGGGCTATTAGCAGAATTAACGAGCTCAGGTTCTGCACGTATACGATGGCCTGCGAATATCAACGGAAAGAACTTTGTTGTATATATGCTCGTACCAACTTTAGTCTATGAGCTTGAGTACCCTAGGACAGACAGGTACGCGTATGCGTCCAGAATCCTTGAGAATTGGGCTAACTGCTTTTATATATAGAATCCGACCACTATACGTATTTGAGAAGACGGTTGCAACGTTTGGTACATTCGCTCTGCTATACACTGTCACAGAAAGCTTCATCATCCCACTCACACCTACTCCGGAGCAGACCGTTTGGCGCTCGCTGCTGGATCTTTCCCTGCCCTTCATGGTAGCTTTTTTGTTGTTATTCTATCTTATTTTCGGTGCGCACTCGTTTCTGGCCATTTGCCGTGACATAAGCGCTGATTTGGCAACATATCCGCAGAATGCATATGCAATGGGTTCGCGGAGCTATCATAGTGAGCAGCCGAGTACTTGTTACCTCTTCCGTCATGTTTGACATTTAACCCACAGTTTTGCTGACCGACGCTTCTACGACGATTGGGTGCGTTGACACATAGCGCATCTGTCTCAGATTGTTGATTAGCTCCTGTGTTCAGTGGAATTCTATTTCCTGGGATGAGTTCTCGCGCAAGTGGAATCGGCCAGTGCACACGTTCCTGCTGCGCCATGTCTACACGTCCTCGATGAGCTCCATGAAGCTGACGAAGAACGGCGCGATGTTCTTCACCTTTTTGTTGAGCGCTGCCGCGCATGAGCTCGTTATGACGATTGTGACAAAGAAGATTCGGTGAGCGGAATTGCGTATGTTGCATGAGCTGATCTCAAAAACTCACGGGCAATGGATTTTTAGCATGTATTTATTTATCCTCCAGGCAAGTGCTGTTCGTCAAAGTTGCGTGTGGGCATTGTTCACGAACCTATGCTTTCCAACAATAGCTTAGTCAAATTCCGTTGATTGTCGTTGGTCGAGCACCAGCTATCCAGCAGAACAGGTTACTAGGCAATCTGGTCTTCTGGGCTGGTCTATTTATCGGCTTGCCCTTACTATGCGTTGCGTATGTCGCGTACTAGACACGACGAGACACGATCTCAGCGCAACACCCACCTACATTCCGCTGTCTCGATTCTGAGCTAACCTACTACCCACTCCTATGACTTTACGATACTAATGACTACGGTCCGTTGAACCATGGAGAAGGTCGGTGAATATGACACCCATCTTGCGTATCTTACACACTCGGATCTAGTGTATAGTATAATGCGTATCTCGGGAGTGTGCCTTGCGAGCACAATCTATAATATAAGCCTTCTTACATCGTCTACATGCAGTGAGATGCGCTGGAAGTGCTTCATAGTCATTCGCCTGTGCCAGGCTGAGGCCTGAGATGTATATCTGCACTACAGGCAGCCCGGTGACTGTCTTTACATCTTACCTCCACCAATAGCTGCTTTCTTATCAGTGTAAGCCTTGAGGCTGCAATCAATCGTCAATATTCGTTCATTAAATTTAAACTGACCACTGACCGCTTATAATCCCTTTCTAGCTTGTTTTTGTCAGTCTTCCCATCCCCTCCCACATGTTTATCCTTGTTCTTCTCCTTCCTTGCACGTCGCTTATCTGCCTTCTCCGTGGTCGAATCAAGCTCAAGTAGGTCACGGATAGACGGGAGGGCGGATGATGCGAGAGGCTGCAGGCGCATGGGGCGTTCCTCCGCTTCTTCTTCCTCATCTGAGTGTACACTTGCCGGTGGTGGGGGCTCCGCGACAGAAGATCGGCTCGGCTCCGCAGACTTGCGCGGGGGCGTTAGCGACCTTTGTCTATCTTCTTCATCCGTTACGAACCAACCACCTCTTGTTGGCGGCTCGTTGGAGGTAGCCTCTCGAAATTCGTTCTCTGGCCGATCCTCATGCGCTTCGCCATCACTCTCGTCGTCATCGCCCAAATCAACGCCAGTATACTCTCCTGCGCCAGCAAAGATATCAAAGTCTTCTTCGATAGGCTCGGTCTCCTTCGCTGGTTGAGGCGGCGATCGTATGAATGTAGATGGTGCCGCTTCTGGGATAGTCTCCGAAGAAGGCGACTTCTTTCGGATTGATCTCTCTGTCATATCCTTTTTCTTCCGGTCAGACTTCCCTTCAGACTTGTGTTTTCCTTTCTTCTTGGGCTTCTCAGTGGTCACATTCCCTATGGGTTTGAACTTGCCGGCCTTTTTCGCCTCCTCAAGTTTCGCAACCTCCCCAGGAAGTATCTCTTTTGACTCCGCATCACGTCCTATATCCCCGGTCTTGGTTCGTTTGGTCTTCAGCTCTTGCACAATCTCCTCGCGGGTGCGCTTCCGCGGTATCTTGCGTAAGGCTTCATTGAAGGCGGTCTCGAGCGAAACATCATCTTCAGCAGCAGTGGATGCAGCCTCCCGGACACGATTTTGTTCAAAGAGTGCAAAATCAAGCCCTCTGACCAGCACTGAATGAGTACCGTCACCCCCAAGGTAATGACTTTGCTCTTCTACCTATCGAAATTGATAGTGAATCAAGTACTAGCAAAAACCAAGTACGTGCTTACCGCTTTCCTGTCGACATTATCTGCATTCCTTCGCTCGAAGTCTTCGGCGAGTGCTTCGACCTGTAGCCATGAACCTTAAATACCACATGCCTACCAGAAGGGTTATATAGCAAATAGATAATTGCCTGAGCATAGTCACTTTCAAGTCCTAGTCGCCTCTCTGACGCACGATCACGGTAAGGATGTGTTCCTTGCGATTTCTTGTTCACCGTTCGCGGTTTGAAAGCCGGCTGTGCTGCATCAGCGGTCTTCCTGGACATGAAGTTGTGTCAGAAGGTGGATAAAGAAACGACATAAATGGTTATTACGGTTTTGACTTGCTAGTTGCTGCTAAGAGGGAGCCACGGGAGGAGGGAGTGTTGGACGCGCCAGCTTTTGGCGTCTGCAAGAGTTTCCTGAACGAATCCTACAATGCGGTAAGTGTAAGAAACGATCGTAAATGTAACGCGCACTTGATCCATGCTCGAGAGTTCGAGTGAATACAAACGAAAATGTCACTCAGTGCTTAACGGAGCTGCGGCCTGCGTAGTGGAACCAACGGAGAGCAGTGAGCTTGACGGTAATTGGCAATACCTAAGATACCACGTGATATAGACACAACTAGCTAAATTTGGCATGTCCGCACTTTTCGTCCGACAATAATAGAGAATTTACGCCACGCGCACAGTCCATATTTGTGTCTAACCAAAAGTCATCCGCTCACTGTGAGATCGTAGTTGGCGGAATTGTCATTTAAGGCTTTCAATAGCTAAATGGCTTTCTGCGTTGAACGATACTACTGGAGCAGTTGGAGTATATCCCAACAACACCATCGCTCCGTCCACTGTTGAGTCCATTCACAAATAGCTCAAGCTGGTCTCGTATCCAGATGTTTCTTTGACACATCTGGGGCATCCTCCTTCGCTAGACGCCCATCAAGCGTCCCCCGCAATGGTCACGGTACTGAGTCTTTACCCACACATGTCGAATACACATCTGAGTACGAGACCAGCTCAAGCTACCACAAGCCGAAAGCACTCCACGAAGCGGGGATCGATCGGTCATCAAAAGCTTCACTGACACTACAGTAGTCAAGGCTGGCATGGACTTGGATGCTGTCGCGCAGCCCATGGATTATGAGATTTATGAGTCCAGTCTCGAACCGATGCACTGATGATTATGACGGGTGTGAGAGCCCAACTGTCCCTAGGATTTATGGATGCAAACAGAACTGTCATATCATCAGATATGCTCCTGATGTTTTGGTAGGCTGCACTGCCCAAGTTTGCCTCCACTACGAAGATCGACCCGATGCGCGAAGTGTCCGCAACTGACTGGCTTGAAGAGATTGTCCGAGACGAACCGTCCGGGCAGATCGAAGACATATTATTTACATCTGATTGGAGTTCCATGGTATGGTCGGAATCTGTGGATAGGCAACACGCGGCATGATGGATGGGCGTCTATGCATCGCCGACCGACAGAGCTGATTGGGCCGTGCGGTAAGCTGACCCAACTCAGCAACCGACAACCGACGCCACACATAAATACACTTCGCCCGACTATGTTATTCTGGCTGTCCGTTTTCGCCCTGTCAGCATTACTGGTAATGTGTACGTTTGTTCCGTACCCCTCTGACAGATAGTTAGCTGAAGCGTTTGCTTGTGTCATCAAGTGGCATTCCGATATCGTGCCACCCTCATTCCCTATGTCCCCAACCCGGTCAAGTCTCTATTCCCGAGACTTGGACACTACAGCCCGCTTTCTACCTTTGCCGAGCAAGCGGATGCGGGTTTGACTTCCTCCTCGTTCGACATTGAAGCGAACATTCAGGAAGGCGATTCAAGGGCTGGTTTAGATGAGCGTGGTACTCAGGAGGTCTTGGAGATCATGCGTCGTGAGCGAGTCAAGTAAGCAACTTTGGGCCATGTTATATACAGGCAGCCTTATCGGTGTCCAGCTTTGATCAGGCGAGGTTGATTCGTCAGAATCGGATTCTGGCGGCGAATGGTATCGATCCCTCTGGTACGTACCAACACTGTGTGCATTTGGACATGATTCATGGGTCGGTTGTTTATATTGAATAGGGATACCACTCGATGCGAAGGCTGTAACGAGGCTATAATCTTTGACGACTCCTGTTTTATTTTGCTATAGTGCATGTACCATTTCGCTGTCCGCAGCACTCGACCCTCATTGTTATATCTACTTCATGGTGAACTACTCATGTCTAATGCTTCACGGATTTGCAGTCTCCTTGCATGCTTCTCCCGGGGCATTTTGTACTTCAAGTGAATCATATCTAGTCTTGATGTTACAGCTTTGTGGTTTCTCCACATTTTCTCGGCTATAGTGCTAAGCGAGGACAGGTAAAAGATGTAAAATTCCTTGTAACCCACACTGCCATTCTACTCGATATTACGGTCCCCTGGTCTAGGATATATTATTTTCGCTGCTAAAAGGTCAGCTTACATAAATCCTTTTGTGCCGCGCAGTGCGGTAAGATGGTGCGCACGTGACTTATCGGAGCAGTGACAAAGATCTCACGGGCCAATGATGCCTTCAGCACTTCAGCACCACTAGGTCTGATCCTAAGTAGTACTTCTTCGCCGTCACTCTAATCTGCAACACTTCTATTGCGCTGTAGGACCAATTGCCGACGAATGCTGGTACAACGGATACAATTACTCTCAAGATGATTCAAAGTGAGTTCGAGACGCCCTTACGAGGGCAGCAATCTCAGGCATGTTTTCCTGGCATGTGAAGTTTGTGGGTGATGCAATGATTGTATATTGTGGACATAAAGTGCACTTATCCTGTGGAGATCCTTGATGAAATCGTCGCTTTCATTCTAGCTGGCAAATATGCATTTTCGGCAATATCAAATTTCTCCCTAGCTTCTTACCAACTTCGCCAAACCGCTTTGAGGCGTTTTTTCCACAGGCTCAATGCTCGATCTAGTTCTCAATGGATTCGTTACTGTCAGATTCCCGGGATGTATATCTGGGTCCGGTGTGTAGATAACACCTTTTGGAAGTCGAGCTGATACATATATGCGCATATAATCAGTTCTCTGGAGAGCTCCTCCAAAATAATCACCACAGAGATCAGCTTACTGCGTCATTATAATCATCTACAAGTCCTCGAAATTAATTTTCTCTCTGACGGGCTTCCTACTCAATCCACCCGCATCAAATACATCTTCATGCACTTGACTGCCGCTAATCTCCGGGAACTTAGGCTGACGTTTCTTCCCCGCATTGATTCAAACCTACTTGCCATAATTGCTTCGAAGTGCCCTTACCTGGAAACTCTTGATTTAACCTGTACCGACCGATTGAATGAGACTTGTTGCTGGCTATGTTATGAAGAATCTTCCGGCTGTGTTATACACTCTCCAGTCCCGGACATTATTTGCACTGTGGACGATCTTGCGGTATCTTCGACTCTCAAAGGCATCACCTCGACATTCATCTGACGAAAATATTTATAGATGTCATTCGCAACAGCGCTGAAGCCTCTTCAAAGGCTTCAACATCTCTTTCTCGGGATATTCCTATCTGATTTGGACGTCGTTTATCACCACCTCTTGCACCAAAGCGAAGTCTTGTCCGATTTCCCAGGGATTTTTGGACCCGACTTGTGTCCTCGCTGCTCGGGCGAGCATGCTGCTGCTGTCAGGGAGAGAGAGCTTATAGCCAGCGCCATAGTTGCGAGAATATTGACCTCTGTCAAGACAATCTCTTGGAGTACGTTCTTTGCGCAGGACCAACCAGGAGACGATACACTAGCTCGGATTACAACGATATGGATTAGTAGAATTAACGGCATGATTACCGTCAAGCGGTCGCCTCGGTAGTCAGTTGCTATCAGGATGAGTGGATGTATACTAAATCACCGCCAATACTCGTGATAATCTCATGATATCCCCGACCCACATCATAGTCCAGTACAAACTTTACCGATTACTGGAACGATTTGGCATTTGCGTGCGCGGTAACTCTGCACCGACAGAAAAGTTGTTCGTTCACATTGGCCTGGCCCCCTTGTAAAACCTACAGTACAGGTCCTGAAACACTGATGATCCGGATACTGCCGCGTCGGTATCCAAGCACTGTACATACGAACGTTATACCTTAGACTTACCTCACCACGTCTAGTCAAAGAGAATATACTCTGTTCAGCTTACTCGTGGATCTGAGGCTCTATCCTGTACACTTCTGTCCTGTAATCGATGATCGAAGTATGCCGGACGAATGATAACGCATTTGAAAAAAATATACACTTAAACAGATAATATGCAATCTAAATCTCCAAGTAGTGAGGGAGATAAGATTCGATTCATCTGTAGATCTTCAAGTACCAGAGGAGACCAAACCCACTACATCGTGTATACGTATGAGATACTTCCGGTCAATAAAGAGCCAACTAGCAAAATGTCGGATGTCAATTTTTTTAGTTGGAACTTCCTTGACTCGGACGTGCCTTTGTGTCTCCTTTTCAGTCATATAAACATCGGTGTAGGCAACAAGCTTTTGAGCTTGCAAGAGGCCTCTGGAAGCTCCTGCGGGAATGATACGAGCCTCGTCGAATATAAACGCGTATAAAAACCGATGGGTGATCAGATGAAGCTGGTGCCTGTAATCGAGAGAATGCAAAGCATACTTGAACAACAAGAAATATTTACCGCCCAGGGAGGCAAATGCGCCACTGAGTGCAACCTTGCCACAGCCTCAAACCACAGGCCACACTGGGAGCATCGCCTTGACCACAGCGGCCTTCCCTTTGTATTTTGTGGACAAAGCCGCAATGAGTCTGGCTTACGTGAGTTGGGTGAATGCACGAACATAAAGCTCTCAACGACTCACTATATATCCGCCAAGGTCTACCTTTCACGTTTCGTACCTGTCAGGCGCTATGTCAGATAAAGCAGCTGAACATGCTAGACTCTCTGATTTCTTCTCTCGTCTAGCCTCTGGTGAACACAGTCCGCTTTCGAAGGAGTTGGGCCTGACCGCGACGGCATGCGGTGGCTCAGTTATAGTAACGAATTCAGGTCCTCAAGAGGCAGCTATATCCAACGCTATGTCCCACCTGGTCGTACCGCGACGTACTAGTAGGACTACCTTCCCATCAAGCTGTAGGGAAGTAGTCGAAGAAAATATTCCTGAAAATAGCTTATGTCAGGCTCGTGTGGACGTCGTACTGCATAGCTTCCAAGATCTCGCTAATTTCGCAAATTTGGTGACATGTGTGCTAACGGATTCCCGGTCGAAATACCAGCCACTCCCACATGATTGCAGGGGGAAGAAAGTGTCGATTTTTGATGTGCAAGACGAAGATGATGCGCTTCGAGCCTTGAAAAAGCGGCGCATGGCTGGCATGAAGGGGGCTGTGACGGATGCTCTTAGGTGCTCCGATGACCCATGCTCTCCTGTTCGCGACACTTTCGCTGGCCCTGACGTCCAGCCCTCCACATGGAAGGAGGGGGCTTCCACTACGATACCCCGTATTCGTTTGCCATCTTTCTCCGATCCCGTCAGTAGTGCAACACCAAACGGAAACGACGAGGATCCAAAGGAGTGCCCTGGGAGCTATGACGAGGAGGTTGTTCTGGATTATGTTCGGGGACTATGCGAGAGAAGAGTAGCCCAAAGTAGACGGTGCCATGTGGGAGCAGAGTCGGACTATTCATCCCCTCCGACATCTGCATCTAGTACCCAGACGACGTTTGTCTTGGTGACTGAGGGAGCAGCCGAGGATCCTTCGAGCGTGTGCTCTCGACCAAGCATGAAGCGTCGTCTCGAACACTAGCCTAAGTAAGCAAACGACTGAGCCGGTTGTGAATAATAAACTGACTTGATTGCATTTCGTTACAGACAAGACAAGTTCATAGGCAGTTGACCCGAAATCAACCGCATAATCATTCTCCTGAAATGAAAAGTATTCCATGTCATTTTCTCACTTCGATCTTCAATTCATTATGTCCAGCGTGGCTGAATATGACAAAGGCCCTCACCATCATGATATAGTCACATCATATACCCTAGCCATTTAAGTACGATTAGAGTTCAGCATGAACCGACACATTACTAATAGGACAATATTTCTGTATTAAAAAAATCTCACAGTATTTGGATATCCCATGAGAAGCCGTTACACATTTCGTGAACAACAGATAAATGACGGTCGAACTACTTAGAGAGTTTAGTTTTCTGTCGCTCATTAGGCGCTAGCCAACGTGGTTGTCTACCATATTTGGAAGGCTGTATATTCCTGATTCTAAGTAACCGGAGCCACCACGGACTTGGTTGTTTCGGAGCTAGAGTGTTTTTGGCGCATGTCTCGTGTAGCTAAGCTTTCCCTTGCAGCCGCTATTCTGACCACGACCGCCGTTATATGGGGAGTACACTTCCAACAAAACAAGGAGCGCGAGGTGAAGTCATCTCGACTCGCTGACAGCTTTTACTTACGCAAAATCTCGTTATGCTTGATCTCGTATACGAAGACAATGTATCAGGGCGTGGTTCGGGACGAAGCACGGAGACGCGAGAAGATGCGCCAAAGAGAGGAAGAGCTACAAGACTCCCTTCGCAAGCGAGAAATTTATGAGCGAGTGCAGAACGTACCAGATGCGTCTTCTGGGGTCGATCATTTGGACAAAGGTGGATGATGATGCGATTCAGCAATTATCAGGTGAAGTAATGTGGAGATGGTAATACGCCGTGGTGTGTATTCGCTCCTTGATAATTGCGGAAACGTTTTAACCCGGCCCGTTCGATTTCTTTTCTTTTCGCAGATATAATTACCAATCTGGCCATGTCACCAGACGGAGAAGCTCTCCTTGTTTGTGATGACTGGTTCTAGATATCCATAATTCTTCTCATCATCCCTCGGGAGCATAAGTGTCATCCGCAGGAATATATGTCGTATGCCTGCTACCATTTGAAAGGCCGGGTATAGCGAGGTAACACATGAGAATGGCCAACGGATATATTCATCCAACGGCCAGTTTGCAGTATGTCTGACGGTGGTCTTTCTCATACATTGCTCGTTCTCGAGCCCAGTTGCTGTTGGTAAATACTGGAGACTGGCACGTCTAGATGGTCTTGAGTTTGTGACGCATAGGCAACCACTGCACGATATTACTCCACCGCACTATGCTCGAGAGTAGCTCTGGTAATATTACTGGAACGTTGCTGTGACCCCTAGTATATGATGACGTTCCATGCAGTGGCTTCGGAATAATGCAGTACAATTAGCACGCGTTACGACACTTAAATATACATGAGGTCGTAAACTCGTAGGTTTTTGAAAACCTACAAGTTACCATAAACGTTGTGTATGGCCACTCCTCGGATTTTCCATGCCAACTGCGTAAGTGTACATAAGTGAATAATAACCCAGGCGCTCCAAATAAGCTGGCCGAGCAAACATAGGCACCAGGGACATGTCAAAACAACCGCCGTCGGATCAATCACGAGGGTGAATTTAAGCAAAGGATCTGACTTCCATTATATAACCAAAACTCAAACAAAGTTGAAATGAAGGCACAGGCCATTATTCACTAACCGGTGCTGCAACTTGAGTGACCCAGGTCGCGCAGGCTATACAATTTGATGGCGGTGGATGTCAAGCAAACCGCTGTGATGTTCGAACGATCTGTTTCACAACGATGACTGAGAGTTTCCAGTTCTCTGCTCCAACAGGTCGATTGACATCCTGAAGCCGGCCTATGGTCGGTGGAATCAGCATTGGCAGCTGATAAGTTCTGACGACGCCGAACAACGGGTGGAGGTGGAGTGATAGGTACAGGGCATCAGCGGTATCCGAATGGCATTTGCAAAGCCAAATGCCACATAACTGTGCTCCGACATTTGAACCGTCCTGCGCAACAACACTGACCGACGTCCCCGGATATGAGAGTAATATGGCGTCTGACACGAAGAATGGAAGCATTAATCGCACTGAGATCTCGACACATAGATGCTTTGTAGGGTGATCCTTTAGACCAGGCGCTCTTGCGGTTGGGCTCTTGTACGGCTGCTTGGACTTGCGGGCCTAAAAATGCAAACGCGCTCAAGTAAGTTAAACTCGGTCTGTCATGCCAGCCTTTGCATAAGATTATGTACGTACTGAGACGGTACCGCATACTATTAGCAAGAGGACGGACATCGGTAAAAAATACCCTTTCAGGATATGCTGTATTGCCGTCGCTGTTCAATGAGCAGGCCGACGTCCATCACACCAGCTTTGCCGCTGTAAACGGTCGCCACGCAGTACGAAACTGCCTGGTTGATCTATCATTGTCCTACGTACGCCAAGCTACAAGCGGTTAGTAGTTTGATATAAAGATGGTTACTAACAAGCGTGGTCCCTGTGATGCGGTTCCAGGCGGATGCGCCGAGCATGACTGTGAATGCGATGGAGGCAGACAAGCGGAAAGACTTGATGACATGCGGTTACATGCCCGAGAAACTGCGCTGGATGATGTACCCTGGTTCATTCGCACTTGGTAGCCAGTGAACAATGTATTGAATACACACACGCGATCCCGCCCTTGAATAACAGTTGCTAGACTCCGCTATCCGTTCGCAACTGAATACAAATAGGTCTGGTGAGTATTGTATACAGTAGCATCCGAAGACACGTAAATTTGCGTTGTTAGTCATGCATTGGACACCACACAGCCCGAAGGCACGAACAGCGGGACCGCTCCATACAGTGAGAATTTAACAAAGCATTGCGACAGAGAATGGTAGTATGAAGATGCGTTGTAGCTGCTGCGCGTCCTGGGGGCCACAGTCTAGTGGCATAGACGCCCGCCAGGATGTAGAGGCACCGGGCGAGAGCTGACATTGTCGATCTAAATCAGCTGGCAGGGATGGCGGTGACAGATCGTTTATCGTGGTATCGTCAGAGGTCCTCGATCAGAAGCGATCCCCCAAGCTTCTGGACGCGCACGAGGCAGATCCGATCACACCAGCGTCACAAAGTGGCTGCCGCAGAAGAAGCACCGTCGCGTTCCCTCCAACATTTCCGCCGCAAGCCAGCTCGCCCGTACCGCACCGGGAAGCCATGCCTGCGCGGAAGACGCAGGAAGTAGCGCTTTGCGCCGACAGCCAACACATGTTCGCACTGCAGGCGTGGCCAGGATAATGAACGTAATACTGCATCGGGCTAAATACAACTCAGCTAAAGTCATGACCACTAAAAATGCTGTACTGACACCAAACATGGCCATTCAGGCAGATTGCTGTAGAGACGTCCTCGAACGGGATTTGCGTATCACATGCAGGACATGGCTCACTTAGACCGATCACTCCCGGTGGCGGTTGGTCATTTCGAAGAACCGCATCTTTCAACTTCATCAGTAGCTCATCCGCCTCCCTCGTTAGGTCTACCGCAGACCCGGGAAGCGAGGCTTGTACGGCCACGCGTAGCACAAAGGGCATGTCGGCGGCTGATCATGCTTATGATCATCGATAGCTAAAGGGAGTGGAGAATGCTCACGAGATAGCAGGTTCATGACTGCGGCGATGTGTCGTATTATTGTCCGCAGCGTGTGATGCATGATAGCAACGAATATCGATGTTGAAATCACATCAAATGCCTGCCGAATTCCAGGATCATCCGTAGTATTCTATGAGGGGTCAGAAGAGTGCTGACGGATTGATCGTATGCGCAGACCTTGCAGTATTCCGCCACTACATACCGCATGCGGAGGGACAGTAAGACATCCCAACCGAAGAAATGCATGGAAAGACTTCTCCTGAAATCACGTCGAGTATCTGACGTCAAATCACCGACAGCGGCAGGAATTATCACTTGCGGGATATTGTCCCATACGAGAGGATTCTGTAGGATATTCAAAACACCTTTGTATACGCGTGAAAACACCGCTGGTTCTCGCAGCTGAGACAGGATAGGGCGTAGCAAAGAATCGGGGCATTCAGCCGCGCCTGGATATGACCTCAGTTAGTGGAATTGGAACGGAAGCACTGGCATACCAGCACAAGCACCGTTCACGCGGTCGTGAAGTTCGAGTAACACATCCTCGTCCGTATAGTAGCCATCTGACAATCGAGCTACAACAAGCATGCTGACGTGTCTGGCCTCGTGTTTGTAGTTAAATTCCGTAGGACGGGATTTCCTATACATCTCGTGAACAAATAGCGGACGCAGTTGATGTCTAGTAGTACTCATGTAACCACACAAATGTGGCATAGCCATCATAAGAGGTCGTCCCGTAGATCCGTTGGATATCCTTTGTGGAACTTGGTTCAGGCTCAGCCTTGACAAAGACCGCACGGATCGCACGGGATATAGTCTCGGAGGTGAGATGGTGACCAGAGTGTAGAGGCTCCGTGGAGGGTTCCGTCGACACTGCATGAATAACATGGAAAGACCCATCTGCCAGCGAAAGCACCAGCGTGTCTGTTCTCGAGATGTAGGCGGTTCCAGACACTGAACATAACGCGGAGGCGCCAACCGATACTTTTTGTGTGTGAAGCGGGATCTTTCGGGTATCCGACCAGCTTCCACTGCCTAATGGATGACGTCGCAGATAGACGCAGCCAGGCTTGGTATATGACAGAATGCACTGTGAAGGCGGCAATTAAGTCCACAAGGCTCAAATGAATGGCTTGAGCGTTCCGCTTACACAATCTATCACGTTGATCCATTGCAAGCTCGTAATGCTTCGACCGTCGCTCTCGCAGGCTTTGTCATCTTGGACGCTGAAGTTGCATTCAATCTCGTAATGAGGTATGAGACCAGATGCGGACGGTCTAGACTGAAGAGCCTGAGCAACGCGGATAACAGCAATAGACCCATCAGTCACTCCACATGCTAAATGTGCCTCACCTGCGATATCACAGACATTGGTGTTAGAGTGACCATATGGTAAAAGAACAGAAGTCGTACATTCTCCACGCTCCGACGACACCCAATTGGACCATGCAATGTAATTGACCCATTTGTCGCTGAGAGAAATGGTGGCTACTGTACAGGTGTCCCATGACCCATCGAGATTCCGAACAAGCCTGTTCATCATGATCTCGCGTTTGTATAACGGATAAGTCTAATGTCAGTGAACAGCACACCTGAGAAATCTCACAGAACCGGCTCGATTTGCAATGGCCAAAAGAGAGCCGTCAAGTAGCGGCACCGGCGACATATTGAAATTAGCTTGCGACGACCACGCAATGCCTGTAATATACCGCAGCTCAGCACCCCCAGATTAAAATAGATAAAGTGATGCGATTGCAGCTGACGCACAAGTGGTCTGAGCCCGCAGCGTTTTGACAACCTGGGATTCGTCTGTTGACATGGCCTCCGCGCGTAACAACGCAGTGACGTCCAAAAGCTGGGCGGCATATTGGAGGCCGGAAAGCGCTGCAAAAAAGAAATACGTGCCTTGATCCATTCTCCTCTGAGATGATTTTTCACAGGTCCCCATATGGTTAGCTCCAGATTAGAATTAAGCACTGCAAGCAGGCACCTGAGATGATTGTTATTAATATGTTAAAAACAGGTAAAGCGAGTGGCTTTCTACCCAGCATCGGCTGTTAAATTACTAGGTGAGGGCGTCACCGCGCGCAGAACAAGATCTAGAGAACCCAAGGAAACTGCATCCCAGTCTACGAAGGTTTCGGCATCACCGCTGAGCAGCTGATGTAAAGAAGAGGTGGGGGCACATTACCTTGGCAATCAGTGTGCCATTTGTGTACGGTCTTATCAAGACCTATCATAGTCTTCAGCCAGCCATCCCTTGTCTCCTGTTTTGTGCCAGTTCCTGACGGTGAGTCTACACGTTTGCCGACGTCCGGGGTCTGAAGCAAGGGAGTCAGTTTGTGAGGCGTCTTTGTGGAATGGAGAAAATTTTACAGTACCAAGATATGAACGGAGGACTTGGTCAGGAGGAGAAGCTGCCCGTCATTGGTCCATTGCAGACAGTTTGCCGAGGGCAAAGCGGACACAGCAGTCATACTAAGCGCGGCGAGAATCATATCCGCCATATCATGAGGTGATACTTAGCGCAGCAGGACACCAATCAGTCGGTGTATGTAAGGAAAAAGGATATGACGGGGCAAGCGCCAGCCGTCAAGTTCTGCCAGGATAGCAAACACAACTCAAATATGGGTGATGTGCGCCCACCTATCGTTTGAGTATCGCTGCGGAATATCGTCTTGGCCGACGTGTGGAACTATATCGGAATCGTTTCGGACACTGACAAGACTGTGTCGGTCAGAATTGAGGAGACGCGAACGGCCAGTGGGCGGCGCTCAAGCGCGCACTAGGCATCAACTTAGAACACCCACGCCACAGACGCGTCTCTCCTCCACCCACCTGGGTAGGCCCGTCCGGGACAAGACAAGACAAGACAAGACAAGAATCATAAATCATCCAGAGAACATCGAACATCGAACATGACTGTCGGATAGGTTGATTATACCTTAAGCAATCTTTAGAACTGACGGGTTCATCGGTCAGGACCTCACATACTGCTATCTGCATATGACCCGACACGACCTCGAGGTCCTAGACACTATCGGCACGCCAGACTATCTCAAAGGCGAGCTGTCAGACAACGGTAGAATGAATCGCTCTATGATTCCATCTCCGCCCTTATGTTTACTCACAGACGTCGATGTTCCATCCCATATGGTCCCACCCAACCCTGAGGACTCGGATGGTCGGTGTTTACACCACAGGATTATCAGAAGGCTTACTTATCATATGGACAGTGCTACCTTCTCAAGTTCATCCATCATATCCTTACGGAAATCCGCTGAACATAAAACACCCCGCTGCCCGGCCACGGCGCCCATATGATCCATCATCCCGAGCATTGTTTGAAGATATGGGTTATTCTGGGGGCGGCGTCAATGGCTCATTACGGTGGAAAGATCTTGCTTTGGATACATTGTTCCCTGTTGATGAGGAGCAAGAAGCAGCCGAAAAAGCAGCACAAGCACGCAAAATGGCGAGTGGAGCTAGTGCTAGTCATCCGCCACCGCCACCGTCGGCCCCGGCTCCCGTAGAAGGCGGAGACGGAGATGAAGAGCACGATGAGAACGAAGACGGTGGGGATGAAGACGAAGATAATGACGAGAACTTAGATGGCTTGAGCGTCGGTGATGACGAAGCCTGAGCGAGTCCGGGTCCAGTGGTTGACTCCGATACCCATGATCTAGTGAAGAGCTGTGTAAATCACATTTAACTGCGCGCTATGACAGTAGCTACGAGGGCCTCCCCTGCATCTTCCTGCAACGAGTCTCGGATATCATACTCCTGCTCAACCGCCCATTCATATGCTTCAAGTAGTGAAGTGTCTGTCAACGGAATAAAGTGGGCGCCGAAAACTCGGATGATATTGCTGACGCGGGAGATAGCTATCCGCGTTGCGTCATCGATGTCCTTCAGACAAGCGTTCCTTCGTGAGACTATGCAATAGTCGAATAGCTGTACTTACATCATTTCGGTTGGAGTACACGGCTTCGGCATCGAATGCTTCTTCACCTTCTTGTTGACTCTGCTTAATATGCTTGCTAACCCATACGTATCCGTTGAGTCCAAGTATGAGATCCACTCCACAAGGCAGTGATATGAAATGTGACTTCAGCCGCCGTATAAGGACAGGAGGAATTGCTATCAATTGGCCGTTCCGCAGCTGGATAGTGACATGTGTTATTGCTGGAGATTATGCGCGACAGGAGTACGCACCTTGCCATATCTCAGTGAACGAGTGTGCAAAGACATTGCACCATCTGCAAAAAATGCCTGGACTTCGGCTACTAACAGATCGCCTTCTTCAAAGAAGGTTCGCATTTGGAGTTCATCACTCTCTAATTTTCGGCGCTTGAGAATTCTGAGTATGGATGTCACATAACTAGCAAGTACACCAAAGCTGCTGACCTGTACACCTCCGGGGAGATTTACCGAAGACAGCATCAATACAGCATCTTGTCTCGAGTTAGCATCAACTTTCCATCGGCGAGGCTGCACCTAAATTACATTGACTACCGATAAAGGTCAAATGCTTTCTTATGGAAGATGACAGCTACCTCGGTAATTCGACCCACAACAAGGTCGCCTACTTCGGGATTATATCTTCATGTGCATGTCAGTCGCATGTAAGGAAGACTGAGGTCGGAATATCTCTGACCTCGTCCGCACGGCACGTACTGAAATTAATTTGTTCACGCGCTCGACTGTACCCGCGACGGAAGCAATAACCTCTTCATTGTCGACATACGTGCCATGTCCGCTGTGAGCATAAGGTCGAAACTGTGGTTTTGACTCTCACGCGAGTGCCAGCATCACTCACCGCATAAAGGCTTGCGAGGAGGTCAGTGGCTCTCCTGGACATGTAAGTTTGTGAATGGTGTCCGCTTCATACCCTTCCTCGGCAAGGTCCAGATCCATGTCGTCTTCATATTCAACACGCCGTTCAACGGCATAAGTTGTGTTATTCTGGGAGAAAACCGGGAAGGATGTGAACGTTATCATATCCTCAGTCCTGTTGGAACTGAACGACACCGGCAGAATCACAAGTTCTTTACCGAATTTGGCTTTGCATTTAGGTCTGGCAGAGGCGACTCGACGCGGAGTTCGAAATTCCTCGGGGATTTGCAGCCCTAGGATTCTGCACAAGGCTCTGTAATTATGCTACCATATAGCTACTATAACTTATGGGCTGCACTAGCACTCTCGTCGTAATTTACAACCTCCCTATCAAATACCCACGCAGGGCCGCATCGTCCTCTTCGCCGGTCAATACTTGGCAGGTATGCCAGATTTCACTGGAAGAGATACAGCCTCACTTCCATGACAGGCTATTCCGATTCGTTACGAAACACGGATACATGACCCACCGTGAGTTTACGCTTCTCTGAGTCTCGACTTAATCATCACTATGGCTTAAATGACAGATACGGTCTTTGACATCCGATGCGTAGAAGGGACCATATGCTCACTCCAATACAGCTTGTTCTACTGCCTCCTCATAGAGGAGGCAGTAGAACAAGCTTTGATCGGCCGTTGGAGAATTGAACGACATCTATAAGCCAAGCCCTTATACTATCTTCCCTGAACTAGGCCGATCATTGTCAGTATATGGTCCTTCTGTGGCCTGCGAGACAGGTAGGCGTCTCCCTGGCAGGGGTAGTAGCTGCGGCGTGACCCTTGGACTTGAAGCTTGAAGCTTCGTGCGGAACGGAGTTGCTCTTTGCTGGCATTCATGATCCGGGAATTATTTGCATTTGAGCTTGTACACAGACGATACATTGGTAAATCGATGTAACGTTGGCCGGGCTGTATACGTGAGAAGAGTGACTAGAGCCTATGGAGTAAGCAAGTACGCGGGTACGACATAAGTCTTCTTCCAGGCTCCGGTCGTGCGGAATCAAGCGCCGACCCGGGCATTTTGGTTTCACGCATGGTAATAGGTAAGTTGCAATCGAAATCCGAATGATACACGTCATATTGACCATACTACAGTAAATACAAATGCAAAGGAGAGCTAAATAATGTGAGATCATCATTGAGGAAGAGCTATCGAGACATAACTGGGTAGTGTCTAGAATTGGAGGTGCAGTCCACAGAAGAATGAGCGAAAGCTATAAATCCAATCATCCCGCGATGCTACAGACAAAATCCTTTGCGATCCGGGATCGGGCAAATGCGGCTCTTGAGCGGCGACTGTGCGTAACAGTTCAATCGGCAAGGTCTATCTGGGATCGTACTAATGATTAAGAATTCGGATACTGCATTGTTAAGGTCGTGAGTCCTCACCGATATTACTTGTAAGCCAAGAAATAAGCGGAAAGTGCAGGCAAGTCATTCACTCCGGCATCGGTATAACCCTGCCGCCGAGTGCCATTAAATTTGAGTACAATCACCATTCCGCACCACGGCTTCGGTGCGGCACCAGATGTGATGCGATAAATCGCGCGATTTACCGGCGAATTCTTCAGGAGCGATTTGGGGCAGTACCAGATGTGCAACGGAAACCGCAACGGCTCTCCGTTCAGACCTTGGGTGAGTATGATAGTACTCGGCCCAAGACTCTCGGTGAAGTAGTCCTGCACAAGGGGCAAAGGACACAGACCCTGCGCTGGAGTTCCCTGAGGGCGGCATTGAACAGAGATGAGCCTGGACCGCTCTGTGAACAGGATGGAATTAGTTTTAGGGTAAGCATAACGCTTAACATAACGAACCTTCTTCGGGTGCGAACAAGATAGCTGTGTGGGTGAGGACTTGTTCTTGTACCGGCGGCGGAGTGGCGATCATGTTCGTTTGTGCAGAGTTGACCTGTACACACTCTCTGCGGTGTCGAGCCCAGTCCTGTCAAGAAGCATAATGACGATCAACGACACGTCATAGCATGGGCTCAGCGGATACGCACGCCTTGCAAGTGTTCTGGAGTACAGTACCAAGCATTTTGGCATCGACTACACCACATCGTGGTTTCACGACGGCAAACAGTGCATGGGTGGCGGATAAGCTGCTCTGCACTCATAGCGACTAAACCAACTGCAGCTAGACCGTGGTGAGATGTACGACAGTGAAGGATCGAGGCTCATTTTATAGCGAGGGCCCTGTATATGACCTTTCTTCAGTAAATGAGAACGGGAATTTCCGAATGTCTCGGGCATTGTCGAAAAATCATCACGCCAATTTGCAGCGCGAGCGACGGCTGTGCGCGAACGCGGAAGTAAACGTGGTGAGTCACAAACGAGCGGATCGGGGATGCACAATGGAAACAATCGTACGTAAGGTCAGGCACAGCTTGTTGCCCAAAAACGAGCTGTTGGAAAAATCGAGTTGAGTAGATACGGACAGTACATATGACATCTTTCCATCAAACCGGTAACGAAGAGAGTCAAGTTGTTCCACAGGAGTCTAATGCCAGATACCATTTATGCGCCCTTGGATGCGACAATTGATGGATGTACATTCTGGGACCAGGAACCATGCGCTCGCATGCGAGATATGTGTCAACTTGGCAATACGCCCCAGCCGAGTGGACATAGCACGAATAGATCAGACGGACAGAATTTCCCGCGGAGGACATGTATTGGACGCGGCAAGACAGATAACCTCGGACACAGCTCGGAGTCCTGGAAATGTCGGTCAAGCCCACGCACCGCCTACGGATATAGGAGGAGACACAATATTAATCGGGTGTGCAACCAGGGGAACGCTGACTGGGAGCATCTGCTCGCCGTGGCATGTCACAGCATTCCCCGGAGTCACAGCATGTCACGACCGGCCGATACCGCCCGGTAGCGCTGGTGTCCAAATGTGAGTGTTGCATCACAGTCGTTCATAGTAACTTACGACGCGCAAGGTCGGTCATCGCAAGCCATTCCGCTTCACGTACACATCTACAATGTCTGACGATGAGATGAACATTGATGAGAGTAAGACTCGCATCTTAATGATCATATCTTCTCCATTGACCGACGGTATGAAGGCGGTAATGGTGGCGTCGTGAGGCGTAAGGGTCGAGGTTTCCAGAGCGCTGCCGGTGAGACCCATCTATTTCGCCTGCCACCATTCAATACCATTTTCTCACTTGTGTGACCCATTTTTCGTCGCTTGCAGGGGGAAATGAAAGCGCAGTGACCTCAGAGCAGACTTTTGACAGGGTTGAGTCGTCCCAGACCTTGGAGACGCGAGCCGCGCGTTGTAAGCAACTCATTCTTACGAGAGAGCAGGGGTTTGTGCTAAAGTCATACTTCATTCTCAGCTGTCGAAGGTTGGATTGTCATGGTTACAAATGTACACGAAGAAGCGACTGAAGAGGATGTGACCGATAAATTCGCTGAATACGGAGAGATCAAAAACCTTCATCTAAACCTAGACAGAAGGACAGGATACGTGAAGGTGAGTAGTCCAGCATGTGGGCATTTGGTCTGCAACACTATATGGGATTTTGTTTGTAGGGCTATGCGTTGGTGGAGTACGAAACCATGTCGGAAGCCCAAGCTGCGATCGACAGCGCGTCTGGTACGACCCTGCTGGAGCAGACGTTGCAGTGTGACTATGCCTTCGTGAGACCCCCGCCATCTGGCCCGAGGGGAGGCAGGGGTAGAGGTGGCAGAGGGCGCAGCGCGAGTCCATCTCGCCGGCGAGAAAGGGATTGAATTAAAGAACGTGTATTGCATTGTTACATATCTCCTTTATACTGTAGCCTTGCGATATTCGCAGAATGTGCTGTATCTCGGCTTTCCAACCCATTCTTGCTATTGGCTCTTAAGTACATCCTTGCTGGTGGATGTGTTGATATAGAGGGTTGCTTTGTTTTATGAGTGTGCCACACTTTTCGAACAAAAGTGCCACAGGTCGCGCGTCCATTTTGAGGTCAGACCCTCAACGCGTCCGCGCGCGGCCTTCGCACGCTGCCTCTTCTTCAACCACCACCTTCCTCGCGCTAGTCGTTGCTCAAAACACGTCCAGATGCCCAGGATCGTGAATTCTGACAACGAAAGTGATACAGAGACGCGACCGGCGAGGAATGCCAGCGCATCTAAGTCTTTCTCTAAGGACACTGAACCTGAGGATGATGTTTCCGAGGCAGCCTCAGAGGAGTACGAGATTGAGAAAATCTTAGAAGCAAAGCTTGGTACTTTTCCTGACGTACGTGATGCTATTCCTGTCTATCTTACCTGTCTATTTTGTTCTCAAAGCGTTGACGCCGCATGTCCACCATAGGGCAGGATGGGTTACCTTGTGAAGTGGAAGGGTTACGGTGAGGAACATAACAGTTGGGTTGATGAACAGGATGCCGGGTAAGAACATTTTGGCTTCCACTTGTGTCTTGATCTTATGATTTGTTAGGAATGCGCAGAATTTAATTGAGGATTACTGGGCAAGACACAAAAACATGAAAAAGGGGGCTCGTAAGTCCACGGGTCCAGGACCGAGGCCATCAGCTCCCAAAGCTCGCAAGTCGCCGAGCGTGAGGGACGAAAGCCCTGAGATCGAGGAACCTCGACAGAAGAAGCGCGGACGGCCTCCCAAAGTTGCGAAGTCCAATCATGTGCCTTCAGATGAGGAAGGCGAGGACGAAACCGAGAGGATGGCACGAGAGAAGAAGAAACCGAGAAAGAGTACTGCATCTGCCAAGTCTACGAAGGCTGTATCTGAGCCAATGGACGAAGACGAGGGACCTGAAGGGTTCCGAAGCATGAGGCCTTGGATGTCTTCAGCGACATGGGAGCATGTTGTGGACAGAATCGACACTGTGGAACGTACACCTGATAACCGTCTCCTTGTTTATTTCACACTGTATGTTTGCTATCCGTCGGCATAACTCATTCTAATGATGGTCTGCCTTCAGGAAGAATGACCGAGGCCGTGGCAGAGAAGAGTCCGCTATCTGTAAGGACAAGATGCCTAGAAAGGTCCGTGGTCTGCTTTTGTCGGTACTAATTAATTTATCCGTTCTTGCATAGATGCTCGATTTCTACGAACAGCATCTGCGCTGGAGGACCACTGATGAGGCGGATGAATGATAGAGGCGAACCATTATTTTCCTGCAGGCTTTCCTGTACCAATTACTATCTACTCGAGTCTCGGCGACATTGTCCCCCGTATGTAATATACATTCCTTTCCCTACCGGCGGTACGGCCTCTTCGGAGCCGGTGACGGTGTGACAGAATTGTAACGGCTTGAACAAGGCCGCAAGTTTCAGCCAGCTCAGATCAGAATATTCTGTGACGTTCTGCTGCACATCCTAGATCCGCGAATGTGAGCAATCTCGACTCGCAATGCAAATTCCATCCTCCTTTCAGACAATCGTTCAGAATACTACCGGAAGAACACTTTGTGCGATCACAATGCGCAAGTGGACTAAGACTCCTTCGCTCACACGGCAATTCAGAAGGCAATGCTAGTTGCTTGTTGCTCTGTCCGACATGAGAATCGTACGTACTGGAATAGTCTGGAGCAGCATGCTTGCAAGTGGGACGCCCGGGTGACGTATATCATGATAGCTGTCCGCTAACCGCAAGGATGCAAAGCTTCTGACATTCACTTACTGAATGCCAGTGGGTATGCAGGGTACTGAGGACTTTTACTACGCATGTACCCAGTTACGTTACTTACACTCTAGTGTCTGACATGGCCACTTCGACATCCGCCAAAAACATCAATTACAGGGGAAACTGACATGTTGATGCGGACCCGGGCGATTGAGGTAAGCTGATGCATGTCAGTAATTGCTAGTTTCAGTAATGTAGTTTAACGTGGAGTACGTGGATGTTTGGGATAACCTAAGGCGTTACATGAAGATGATAGACAAGCATAAGTATACGAACGAACTAGGTGCCAATGGAACCCGAATGTTTCCAGAAAATCCACGCATTCACATCGCGAAGCAGCAAAAAAAGGTTCTTTATGCGCATGCGCCAAAACGGAGATATCGATAAGTCGATTAATTTGAAAGAAAAACGACCGGACATCAAGGAACAAAACTCTTACAGCTCTTGATGGTGTTGGAACCTAGATGGATGGGTTTCGCCTGTGACCTGCTCGGCAATGCCACTAATAGCTGCGTTTACGTCCCGTAAGCTAGCGTCTTGCGGGGATGTCGCTTGGCCTGCTTGTTCAGCAGCACGATCGAATGCACCCAAAATCTCTTCCTTGCTTCTGCCAATAACTACCGGAGGTATGTTGACGTCTGTGGGAGCTTGTGTCTTCTCCGCATCCTCGATCGGTAAGATTGAAGCAGATTCGTTCTCAGGTTCGGCGGTCACCTCAGGTCCACTACCGCTCAGTGTACGTTCGCCGTTACGTTTGATGCGGCGGAGACGAGTTTCAAACCCTACAACGACGTCTTGAACTTCAGCTTGCAGGTCTTCTATCTCCGTGACAACTGGATTGAGTACTGGAGAGGAATCAGTGCCATTCTGGATCGCGTGTGCGAGGTCCGCAAAATCGCCACTCTCTGTTAGTATAACGCGATCAGCAACCCATTCATATATGCCAATTAAGCAGAAGCTAGGAAACTCAACACGATGCTGAAGTCACAGTTGTCAAAGTAATCTCATAAGCTGTACTCACTTTTCAGTAGGTCGTGATATCTCTCCCAATCTTGATATGTGACGTCGTCCAGATATGCATAATCCATTCCGATATCAGTTTGACCTCTATCAGCGATATCCTTGACCGCAGCAGCGACCTTGCGCACCTGTCACATACAGTGAGTTGAACATGTAGCTCAGAGAGGAAATGAACTAACTTCGGCCAGTTCTTTGTCTACTACTGTCATAAACCAGCCATTCACAACTGCCTCTGTTTGGCCCAATCTTTCTGCGAACTTCTCGTCGACTTTGTCAGTGACGCGCTCCCACACATTGTGCTTCTCCTCGTCAGTCCTCGACTCATATCTTAGTGTTTGCAGATATTTTTCCGCTCCTCGTAGGTACTTCTCCGCCTCCTCCACTAGGTTCTCAACTTCCGCACGAATCTCATATGAATCCTTTAACTCCAGGGCTGCATCCTTTCTGAGAGCCAATAGTGCCTGCCGCAAGGAATCCGTACTCGCCTGTATCTGGGCGGCCAGTTCCCCTTCCCATTTCTGGTGACGAGCCATTATATCTGCCCGCTTGTCGGCCATCTTTTTTGCGCGTATCCGCAGTCGTTCCGCTTTCTCCCCATCTGATTCTGCTTTGACCGAGGGCCGAGGTGGGGCTTCGGCATCGGAGCGCGTCGCGTCTGCAATGACATCCTGAAGTCCTAGTTCTGCGTAGAATGCGTCTAGGTCGACGTCTGTATCGTCATCTGATACAGCAGAGCCCAGGGGAGTTGCAACCAAGGTTACCGATGCTGCGGGTTGACCAGCAACAGTGCTCACACTGGATGACAGAGAGGGTGCTGCGCCTCCTAGGCTGATCGCTATCGAGGATTGCTCCGTGATCGGTGAAGCTAAAAATGAAGCGGACGAGGACATATCGGCTGCGGAAGGAGATGCTGACCAGATGCCAGTCTCCCGAAGGAAAGAACTGCCGGAAAATGATGATGTGGGTGAAACTGAAGTCGTGGTGTCCGTGAGAAGTGAGGAGGCGGTGTCACGAGCGGGATACAACAACTCCGACACCACAGATGTCGCGACTTCCTCGACCTCAGAGGGAGAAAAAGTGGGAAACGCGGACTCGATGTATGACGGAAGCGATTTTGACACTGGTACCACATTCAGGAACTCTGTGTTGTCAAACACACTGGAAGCTGGCGGGGAAGCCGAACCCAAAGACACAGACACGGAGGTAGACCGTACAGATGTTGCTTCTGATTCGGCATTGGAACCCCGTATAGTGATATAGTCTCGAGGGCCTGCGACGGAGGATATTCTCGACTTGCCACTGCTCAGCTCCTTGACGCGCTCCCAAATCTTCTGCACATGTGGATCAACAAATTGTTGTCGCTGCCTAGTCAGCCCAGCAATAAGCTGTTTTACGAGTGACTTGAATTGATCCCACACAGGTTTGGCGTACGGCGAGACGCGCTGATACCCGTCGTATGTCTTGTGCACTGTAAGTACGATATACGGACGTGCCCCATGTTGCCATCGGCGCAGCGTATGGACCGTTCGTGTGACATAGGGGCTCACCTGTTGTATACAAGGTTCAACCCGGCGCTGGTATTGATCGACCACACGTGCACGATACGGGGCGACGTGCATATCCAGGCGCTCGACCTGCGGAAGCGCATACGTCCTCCAGAGGGGTACAACGCGCTTGTTCCATTGGGGAACTACGCGGGCATTCCATTCGCGCGATGTTCGCCGCGCGATCGGTTTCGCCATGGCAATTGCGCGGTTCGTATAAGGTCTAGCCCTTTCCACATATGGTGCCACGGAAGGATGGGCTAGGACTAGTTGTAATGGAGGAAAAACGTAGGAATCAAGGACAAGTCGCCGGTACTCTGCAATACCTCGGCAGAGCAATGATTTGTGTTGTGCATCCGGGCACACAACAAGCGCGTAGACGAACAGCCAAAGAAGAAGTACTTTAGACAGAAGGTCAAGAAACCCGGCCGTATGAGCCGGTTTCTGACGGGTATGAGAAGACATAATGCATGGAACAGATTCAATACTAACCTTTTTGGCTTTCTTTGATTTTAGCTGCGCCTTTGATTTAGATTCCTTTACTGCTGAATCCGACTGGGCGTATAGTGTGTCGAGAATTAAGAATAGCGTCATGATATCGATGTGTCACTTACCCCAAGCTGTCCTGTCTCGTCTGAGCGTTCATGTTGTTCATCAGAATCCTCGGGGTTCTTTCCATTCACTAGGGGACTGGATGCATCAGGCACTATAGGCAGTGCCTTGCCTTTGATTCGAGGGACGTGTTGAGCTGATTGTGCACGCGAGGCAGGTAGAGGAGGTGCAGGTGCCCGTCGTGTGACGACCATAGCAGTTGTATATGGACAGCCAACTTTCTGGCCACGAGATACGCGAAGTTATTGCAGAATGCGCCGTGAAGAAGATGAGAGCATCGGTGTCGTTAGCCTGGTTTGGCCTGGTTGTCCCAGTCGCGCCACTGACGTGGGCCCTCACGTGAGAGACGCGACGCGTGTCAGTCAGTATCACCAAGTCACACGCCAACGATGAAGCCCTCTTCTGGAGACTGCAACTGCAAAGTTTGGGACTTCAGCGAGAAGTAGCCGAAGAGTAACCTAGAAGACGACCTTGTAAGTGTTTTCCTTAAAATTCTCGCCCATAAGTATAAGCACTGCTATGCGCATGGCGGCATTACCATTCCGCCTCAGTCGCACATCTCCAGATCTCCTACAGATCGCAGTTATCGCCCCTCGTATGCTTATGCGGGCTTCTACTGTTTTTATGACGGTCTCAACGTATTCTCTTTCCACTTAGCTCGATGCTATGATGCACGACTCTCATAAACCGCTCACCACTTACTCCCGTCGGAACCGGAACCGAGCTAAAATGGTTACTGATCTTGCGACTGGTTTTCAACGATCATCTCCAGTAAAGGTCTTACCGCAGCACAAGGAGGATGTAACTATAAATGAGATTACTCATCGAATAGCAAAACGATCCCACCAGCCTGTCGGCAGTTCTGGTCTGGAGCCTCATGAATGGCGCCAACCGAAAAGAGCGAAGCAGTCTCCAGGGCTTGATGCCCCAAGAACTCTGCCTTCTATCTCTTCTACATGCTCTTCTGATGATGTCTATTCTAGTGCTTTCACTGAGGATTGTCTGGTTCTAGCAGAGATGCTATATAAAACACCTCGGCCTGTATCGCCATCTGATACTTCAGTGCAATCCCAGCTGTCTGAACCACAAGATTTTTCGCCAGTTCCCATTGCCAAACGAATGCTCTCTAGAACCAGCTCTCGGAATCTCAAAGAAAATCAGGTTTGCCATCTTGCTTCTCCATTCAGCAGTCGGCCCGGTTCTCGCCATGCTTCCCCTATGTATGCACCAGTCAGGAAGAGAGGAGGACTGCAGCACTCCCGGTCCCATGTCAAGTCGCGTACCCTATCTACTGGCCTAAATGCCGCTCAACTCATCTCGAAAGAAAAGTCATACTCTGGAGCTGATACCAGGGCTCGCGTACCCTCGTCGCCTCATAGCCGAAGCCAAGGAAACAATATTAATCCCTTGAGTATAGTCAAAACGTCTGGGACTGTGCACACTCGTACCAGCTCCATCCCTACGAAGTTCTCTGTTCATGGCTATGAGTCTGATCCTTGGCTGGTCCATCCAAAACAACTCACCCAGTCGGCATGGCTAGATACGGAACATTCATCTTTCTACCTGGATACTCCGAACGGTATCTCAACCCCTCTACGAAGGTGCCGTGCGACTACTGGCGATCTGTGGATGCAAACGAATAATTCTGAGGACGAGTCTCCCGGCGCAGGAATCACAGAAGGAGATGCAGAGAGATTGGACCTATCTCTTCTGAACCCTCCGGCAGTGAATGCTTTTGTTGGTCACTCACCACCACGTCGAAGACGACGCACTATGAATTATAATGCCGATGACGGGCTGTTGTTCTCTTCAATACTTGACTTTTCTTCCATTTCCAAGGGCAAAGCTTCTTCATTGCCATGTGGTATCTCAGGCGTCGCCTCAACTAACGCAATGAATGGACCAGCCCATCCGGATAACGTACCTGGTTTGTCTGATTCCTTTGCTGAACTCAATTTGAGTCTTGCGTCGGCATTCTCTCCTACGGCTTCTTCCTATGGTCATGACAATTATTCGAATCGTCCAACACCAGCTCTTGCTACCACAAAAGCGTCCGGCCATCCCGTTGGGTACGCGGAAGAGACGTCATTACCTAAACACGTTAGCCCATCTACACGACAGAAAACTACGGATTCTAATGGAGATAAGTTGGGGAACCTATTTTCTATCCTTGGAATCGCTGGTATGTGCTTTGTCGTGGTCGGATCCTTTTATTTGTGCTCTATGCTTGGCCATACACTGACTACATGCGCTCTCACTATGCAGCCTGCCGGAACGGAACATCACCTGCCTCAAATTCTACGCCTTCTTCAGGTCTTGCAAACCTTGCGTATACGGCATTTCAGCCTAGGGAGCCGATGCATAGACGCAAGCGTGGGGATACAATCCGCGCGTCCGACTATGCTCGTCCGACACCTCCCATCGACGCGACAGTGGAGTCTGCTTATGTGCTAAACGATGCAGCAGAATCAGCCCAATCTAATACGAGTGGAAACATAATCAAGGCAATCCGACCAGGAAGAGTCCGATCCGGAACTATCACTCTCGCTAGTTTTGCTGCGTCCTCGCGGCGTGGGGAACATGACCAGACACACACAGAGAAATCACCTAGGCGGACGCACAGGCGCAGTCATGCCGTCTGGCCGGCGGCGAAGATGAGATCTGACATCAAGCCGCTCTGCGTTCCCTCTGATGACGAGGACGACGAGTTATTGCTGAAAGCAGGTGATACATATGACTCTTGATACCATGTATGTGTATATATTCAATCAGTAGTGCATCTCGCCAGTTAACTCTACACGCGTTAGACATCAAATTCCTCATGTTTCCAATGCAATGGTTTATTCCACAATACATTCAGCTTGACCGCATGGTGTTTTCTCGAAGCAACGCCACCATACTTCCAATCAGATTTGAAATGAATTCTGTTCATAGTATGATCAGTGGTAAATAATTCGTTCGGTCAGAGTCTCTCTGTACATCACCGTACATGTATCAGAATCGTCAGAAAAGTCCAAGTGTTTTCAGCTTACTTAACGTTACACACATTCAAGACAATCTACTGCTGCTATCGGAACTTTTTAGAACATACATAGTTGCCATCTTCAGCGAGCAGTGCTTGATTGGACACTGTCCCGTGACTGTAACTACGCCACTTTGGCCGCCATTGACTACAAACCACGATCATCGTCGCATGGACCCTCCACCGCGTACCAGGGACGTTGTCCATGAGCAAGCAGACGGAGCAGCCGAAATCTATAGTGGCCAAAAACGACGTAGTCGCAATAGTATATATGCACTTCAGGTGCAAGCATTCGTCGATGCCGCAGAGGTCGTTGACGCGGAGCCAGAGGTGATCGAAGACCTTCTGGCGGATTTCGTGGGTGACTCAACGCGTCCTGAGGGAAGCTATGACGAGGATGACGAAGTGGACGTGGGATCGGCTTACTATGGCGAAGACGCACAGAGTGCAGACGGCACAGATGAATGGGACACATTCCTGCATGAAGGTAAGCCCGCCTAAGAGCATCCTTTGGTCGCGCTGGGTCAGCCCTCCGCCTGCATATATTTGAGACTGCTTCCGCCCACTGATTTTTATGTGACTGCTAATGCATTCTGGTTTTGATAGCTCAGTCTGCGTGGTCGAAGGCACAAGTCAAGGAAATGATGATATGCTTAAAGGAATCAGGTGAGCTGGGGTCAGATGTGGTGTAAAATTGATCCAGACTGCTTTCCAGGAATCACATCCTTCATCAATGAGTATATCGTCTCCCGTGCGATTCCGATTCCTACGCTGTTGTATGCATTTGGCGTTTGCTTGGTGAGACATATGCATCTACAAAATGTTTTCGCTGAGGTTATTGAGCTGTAATCAGTGCCCTGAACTCAGGGAAAAGAGCAGGAATACATTGCACTATTGTCTCAAGGTTGTGTTGTCTCGTGAGTGAGTAGGATCTCTTTAGGCATGTGTATGATATGTCAAGGATAGCTAATCGATCTACCCACGAAGGCTCCAGTCCCGCAATAAAATCTCAGAGCTGAATACTATAGACGATGCCGTAAATCTTATTCGGACGCGCAAACGCATCTTGGTACTCACAGGTGCTGGTATCAGTACGTCATCTTCATTATGTTGCATAATACCCGCTGATTTTATTCAGGTGTTTCGTGTGGAATACCTGATTTCCGCTCCCGTCACGGGTTGTATACCACATTGCAGGAGAGTGGAGAATATGAGTTGGACGATCCTCAACAAATGTATGATATGTTTTATCATTTCAACATTGCAAATGATCTGAGGCTGTTGCAGGTTTGATATAACTTATTTTCGTGAGAACCCCTCCGGTAGGTTTAGCCTGGATGTAGCAGGATCTTGATTAATTTGGCTTGCTTCTAGTATTCTAGTTCGTGCATTGTCGTACACTTTGTTGGCCCAACTGATCGCTGAGAGCTGTCTCCAGCTCGTTTGCTAGGTTTTTTTTTCACAAGGTTCCTACGATCACCATGTGCTTATTATTTTTTTTGCCTAGCAAAATATATCCCTCCAGATTCATACCCTCGCCTTGTCATCGGTTCATAAAAGCCATTGAAGACAGAGGCAAAGTAAGTCTGTTGAATTGGCATTCCTTAAGTACTGATCATTATACCAGCTTTTGCGAGTATGCACCACCCTAATGTACTGAACTACTGAATCTTAGAGTATCCTGGTTCCGAACTAGAACTATACTCAAAACATCGACACTCTAGAAACCCTAGCCGGTGTCAAACGCGTCTTACAGTGCCATGGAAGTTTCGCAACTGCTTCCTGTCTCAACTGCAGAGTGCGCATACCAGGAGTTAACATTGAGGATGACATCCTCAACCATCGGGTTCCGTTATGCAAAGTCTGCAGTGTGGCGGCAGTCTCGCAAGCGCAAAATAAGCTACAAAGCAAGGGCAAGGGCAAAAAACGATCTAGCTCAGGATGGAACAGCGATCAATCTGATGAGCCGGAAAAACCCCAGTACCCGCCCTGGGTAATGAAGGTAAGCTTGAACGATACCTGATGTGCGATTTTCTCATGCCTATTTCGTGCGTTGAAGCCCGATATCACTTTTTTCGGTGAGAAACTGAGTGATGAATTCGACCGCTCTTTGTTGGCGGATCGACAGGAAATAGATTTACTTGTAATTATTGGCACTTCTCTCAAGGTCTCGCCCGTGTCAGACATCATAGGTCGGTATTGTTGCGAGAATTCAACCACTCAGGTCCTGTTTTTGACCCAGTTTTGCACTAGCGCACCTCCCTCATTCGGTGCCTCAGGTGAGTAAGACTGTCTGCATTGATCGCTATATATTCATCGTCTTATAGATTCTAATCAACAAGACTCCTGTCAAGCATATCAACCCGGACGTGAATACACCTCCCGTTCGATCAATTGGCGTCCTGTTGACTGACCCTACAGATTGTCTTACTCGGTGATGCTGACGATATCGTGCAACACTTGTGCAAGAAAATAGGCTGGGACTTGCCCGAAGCCCCACCTAGAGGTTCGAGTCTCGCGGCGCCAGCGTTGGGAAATGCTAGATTGAAGAAAAGGCCATCAGGAGCGTTCGATGGCGCAGAGCCTGAGAGGGTAGGGAATAGGTAGGTCTGACTGCATGCCATCCCGACGCGTATGTTGATGAATATACAGTCATGTGTGGCTGTTCGAAGGTGCCGAAGGAGGCAAGTGGCTAGAAGAAATGGTCAAGCGTCTTGAGAAGTCCCCTGAAACCGTCTCCAGTCCCGATTCTGGTGAAGATATCCCGCCTACGGTGACCAGCATTGAGCGGAAACCAAAGAAAGTACGAACGCAGTGACGTTGTTTGTCAACGACGTAATCTCAGACGAAAGGCATTTTTAGAAGCGCGTGACTGCGAGTTCAGATAGTCCTCATAGAATCCTACGATAAATTCTTCTGCCTTGAACCCGAACCTATTGTATAGCAGCTGGAAAATGCGCTTTCAGTAGTGCATATCTAGTGACTAGGTCAGCCACTGACCATAGCTGGATTGTTGGTAGATACATGTAGTGTGATATCTCTGTTAGGATTTAGTGCAATGAGATGATAGAGCATCGATCTGTATATAAGTCTATTGTCATGTTTGCTCCTGTGATATTTTCCGTAACACGTACGTAGCGATATGAGCATTCTCCCAACCAGTTCGGACGGCCAGATATGTGATATAAAGTTGTTGCGGCGAACTGACGAACACAACGCCGACGACCAATCTCTTGTACATGGCGACAACGGTAGATCTCTCAGGAGAATAATCAAGCGCATCACTCACTGAACAAATTCATGAGAGTAATAAAGATCCGATCTCAAATCCAACATAAAAGAACAGACCGTCGATGCCATCCCAGAACGTTCGGGCGAGGAGGTCGTGTACTTGAGGAAGATGAGAGGGATGCAGGGCCACGTATTCAATCGGGGCCTCTATCTCAATTGGTTGCTCTCTCTCGGGACTATGAGAGAAATGAGGCGGGGAATAGATCCGTATGGTGTGTAACATACTGGAGTAGGAAGAAGTGTTCTCGAATATCAGACATCAGATCGATCCACGGGCTCCGTGTCTCCCAGTCCACAGCGATTGCAGCAAGAGTGTGGGAAGGCTGAAATCCTTGCAACCGAGAGAGAAATGAGCATTCGTATGGGGTAGTCCTAATAGCATATAGGGCGTCGATCACTTCCTTGTTCGCAGTGGACACGATATTCACCGCTGGTAAGGGAGTGACATATGCTCTGTCGGCGTTCGTAATATCTTTATCCAATAGAAGTCGACGAAGAAGTCCCTATAAAGGCATAAATAAGCAATAGTATGAAGGCTTGATAAGAAACTAACGGGTTGCATTTTTAACCTCCGAGTAACGAGGGAGGATGCAAACGAAACGGAAAGGCCGGTATTGTTCTGCGTAAGCCTATCAACTATATTGCGTGCATCCTTACGGGACAAGGGCTTGAGACTCTGGCCCTACATTATAAATACATGAAGAATCAATAAACGACGGATACAATTATAAAGCTCACATATTCATTTTGCTCGGTCAGTCTGACTTCTGCCGATGTTTTCGCCAATAACAGCTCCGGAAGTATGTCCTCTATAAACTGATCAAAGGTGTCGTGGGGGTCTTCAGAAGCTTCAAGTTTGTGAGGATTTGGGTCGATCGCATCTAGTAAAAGTGAGAGTCGTAGATTCGCCGGTTGCAAAATGTCTGCTTCTGATCCTTCCCGTTTAAACCTTCTGCGTTTGCGTTGATTCTAGACAGTTCAAGTCTGAGTCCATTGCTTGAAAGGTATGTGGGTGAACCTACTGCGGATGCTTCAAGATATTCGTCTTCAGATTCGCTCCCCATCATATTGTTTAAATGAATCTTTTATAATTATCCAAGCTTCTCTGACGAATGTGCCTTTAGCAGCTGCTACCGCTGCCAGGAGGGGATATCGTGCGTGTCCACAGTTCCGGGTGTACGAGGAACTCTCAGGCTAAGCTGACGCCGGGCCTGATGAAGGCGGTCTATATCTGGCGGCGGGCGTTCCAAGCTCGATCGTTCGACCTCCGCGATAAGAGTTATTTAACATTCCGAAGTCTCTTCACAGCTTCACCACTACATACACCAAAATCTGCGGATTCAAGTCGCGGTTGCATACCTGTTGGCGTTTCTTGATTTTTGATACACAGACATTGCGATGGGTCTACTGCCACAACCCGCGCTGTTTGACACCCTACAGGTGCGATTCCGCTTCCACGAGCATCGCAGACCGACCGACCGGCCCCCAGGCCGAATTCTCCCCCCCTTTGGATAGCTCTCTCATCGCAGCAATAGTCGCAGACTATGCTACTCAAGACGCATCGTTGTCCCCCTCAGATCAGCTTTTAGCATGTCGAGCGGTCCTCGCTCAACTGGCTACTCAAGCGGAGAAAGAATTACTCGACGAGGATTCCTTCTCAGGGCAGCTTTCCAACTTGCATATATCCCCATTCTCTACCACAGATGAGACGAGCAGCTCTGCAGACTATACTTCGACTGACACCAATACCGCCACATCCGAGGTATCCACCCAGTATTCCTTCAGCTCCCCTCTGGGGTTCCTGCAAGCGGCCTTTCCTCATGTCCATACGGCTAGGCTTCGAATGGCCTTAAGTGTTTCGGAGCAGGATGATGAGGGATCAGAGGTTGACATGGAGTCTGTCGTAGAGGGATTGCTAACTAGTGAGTACGTGCGAGAGCTCGAGGAACGTGGACTAGACGACACCGACTTTCCGGCGGACCATGGGGAAGAATGGTCGATAGCTGGGAAGAAGAAGAAATTTTCACAGCCCGCGAAGAAGAGCAAGAAGCGTGGTACCACCATCACACTGGTGGACATTCGCCAGAAGCAGCACGAGAAACCTTTATCGACGACGCCGCAGATTTCGTCACCAGATCCATGGACGCAGCTGTCTTCCACTGCGATATATATCTCAGATCTGCTTCCGAGTCAACCCGCGACATATTTCCAGTCATTTCTTCACTCTCCTGAATATCCCTCTCCGTCGAAAGCCCTCCGTGCGGCGCTCCGTTCGATTGTTTCCAAATCTAAATCATCGATTGCCGCGCAGGAATCTAACTTCGACGCAACTGACACCACGCATCTATTCAACGTGCTCGATGTCCTGCACGCCACGCCACGATTTGCTAGTGCGAATGCGGAGGAACGCGATCGATTATTGGACGATACACAGCTTGCCCTACATGCAACGTGTAATCAGCCGGACACTGCTCTTGATATTGTTCAGCTCTTGCACGAACTAGATTCTGACTCCTCCTCAGGTCAACTCGGATGGGGCGTTTACCACTCACCCGCTCCACCTCCATCGACCGCATCTGTCTCTAATAATGCAATCAAGACGCTGAAGGCTAGGTTACCCACTGGACCCCCTCCTGTGCAACCCCCCCGTTCGCGGCCCGTGTCAACACCGAAACGGTTGCAGACATTACCGCCGCCGACAAATGCATGGCAGACGGTGCCTCGGCGCGAGCCTGTGGGACCACATCCTCTCGCGGAGTCGATACCCGCATACAGGCGCAGGGTGCGCGGAGGCGGCAATGGTCTTGGAAAGGGAGGGAAGGGCGACGTTGGTGAGCTTTCGGGCAATCGGAGCGCGAACAAATACCCGAACCATGTGAGCGAACTACTGGCTCAAAGAAGGGACGCGCTACGCGAGGCAGGCAGGGCATGGCAGAGAGGAAGTGCGAAGACGCGGGGTGGTGAAGTTGCAATGTACTACGCCGAGCGGGTAAGTACAATAGAAAAGTTTTTGGATGCTTAGTTTTAACCCCCTTCAGGCTCGCGGGCTACAGCAACAGGCTCGCGACGAACAGCTTCATGCTGTACGTGAAATGATACAAGCGAAACGGTGCGTTGAGGCTATGCAACAAAGAGTTATGCACTCGTTTATGATCGGCCTAGTTTGGCCTCCAATACGGGAGATACGGTCGATCTGCATGGCACTACTGTGTCGGAGGCCACTCAAATTGTACGTGAAATCCTTCGCACCAGTGGTCCTTCTCCAGGTACGTGCCTTCCCAGTCTTATGAGCATTTGTATGACTTTTTGGTAATTCAGTGAAGCCACTTACGATCATTACTGGTCGCGGAATGCACTCCGCCAACGGTGTTGGCGTGCTTGGCCCAGCTGTGAAGGCTGCACTCATCGACGATGGATGGGCTGTCAGCACATTCGACGGCGGGCTAGTTGTTCGCGGCAGATTAGGCTCAGGAACATAACGACAAGTCGCTTTGTCTCCCCTGTGTTCTGATACCCCAGGTAAAATTTATACTTTGTACATTCTTGACTGAGACTTGTATCACCCTCGCTCAAGACCATCTTCGTCGTGTTTCCACTCGTACTGTACCGATCTCACAGTTCGTCTGTATCTACTAGCTCCCTGATGATAATGGTGATAACGCTTTGAATACTTCCCGAATGGACAGAAGACAAACAGCAGAAGGCGCAGTTTTTGACCCCATTTACTGCAGAGCTACGTTCGGTGTATTATTGAGAAAAACTGAGAAGTGTAACCTGATCAGACATCCGATATAACGCAAATAACATAAATGACACCGATTTGCTTACCGGAAAATCCTACATTGCTGAAATTGCCCAGGTAATAAGAAGATCATGCTGCTATCCCTTCCCTGACATAGTCGCGGCCGCTACTCGTCTCCGCTTATTACCTCGTCTAATCTCGATGAGATCCTGTTCGACTTCCTGGTCCTTGATGGTAGTAAGGAGCAGCAAGCTCTTCCCTAGGCCGCCCACTGTCTGTGCCTCTCTCCCGCCTCCCTTCGCCCGTCTCCGACTGTTCCCTGCGCCCGCACCACTTCCGCCGTAACCGTAGCTAGCGTTATGGTTAGCATGTGTGGAGGTCAACGGAAGTGGAAATGGTGAAGGGAGCTCGTCAACGTGCAGAGAGTGTGGATTGAGGAACGGGCCGGCTGTGATCGGGCCCGAGGCAATCGAGGAAATGACACCGTTCGTGAAGGCCCCCGGGGCGCTGCCTGAAAGTGGTGTTGGTGGTGGCGACGTGCCAGCAAGTTTGTTACGTAGTTTTCGCGTGTTGTGCGTGCGCGACTGGGAGTCTAGTCCTCCCGTCTCTGAATGTGGGCCAGGAGAACGTCAGCGACAGTCGCGTAAAAGTTATGGTAGGATGACCTACCTGTCACTGCCCCCTCTCCCTCTTTCTCTTCCCGCGCACGTCGTCTGCGCTCCTCAATCCCTTCCAGCAGCCGCTGCCGAATGTTATCCCGACCTTTCTTCCAGTCCTCTTCCACCTTCTCTCGCTCATCTTCGTATGCCGTCCGCACGATCTCCAGTGCATGCTTCTCCTGCCTCACTAATGACGCGAGCAGCGCAGAACGTTCTAACGAAACCGGATACAGTCGTAGATTGTACGCTGGGGATGTCTCCGGTCGCGTAGAAAGCTGTATAGACGTGCTGTGTAGGTCTGATATCGTCTCGGCATAGTGCCTTCCGGCGCTGTGAGCACAATAAACGGAATCGCCGTGCTGCACTGTTAGTCGCTGCTGTAGCTTCTATGTGACGAGGAGAGCATACTTACTCATCGCGGCGGTCGCCCATCTCCTTCGTAAGCCTGCCCACCATCTCTCTCCTTCTTTTCTCTCTCTTGGGATCCTCAGCCTGAGAACCTGAATGCACAGCATTAGATCCAGATTATAGATACTATCCACCAGAAACCGATTGCGTACCGTGGTTCCTGCTTGGACCTGCTGTGGGCTGTGAATGATATGCAGCCGCCATGTCTACAACATCTGCATTGGCTGATGCGCGGGTCTTATGGACTGCAGTTGGATAGGGAAGGGAGAAAACACCCGGCTGAGGGGGCATGTGCAGACGACCGAAGCAGATTGTGAGTCGAAGAAAATGAAATGTCGTAGTGGGTGTGTCGGTGATCGCTCTCGCAGCTTCAGCTCAAGGAGAGCGCCATTACCCTGACGCCACCCATACGAGCGCGTGACGTGAAATGAACGCCTTCGCCCGGGTTAGCGGCGAGCGCGTGCATCTCCAGACTCCCATTGTAATTCAGTGACTATTATTTATCGCCACGTTCAGGCTGTCCACATACATATATGCATGTTATGTGAGGAATAATAGTGAACACAACAGTTCAAAACAGAAATTGATATTCTGTGATCAACCATGAGTACCTCCAGAACCAATGAAAAAATGCAGCTAAAATACAACAGTATGAGATGAGGAAGAGGCTCGCGCTTGTCTTCAAAACGAGCAGTTTTGAGTACTAAATCATACCATGCTCGAGTGCGCATGAAGAAACAAGACATCCTGAACATATGAGCAACATGAGGCTTAATGCACTCGACGAGTGAATAATCAGTCTCCACCAACACTGCCCGCGCTGGATGCTACCGCAAATTCGTGGCGTGCTAGATCGTAGCCTTGCGCCCAGTCGGGTCTGAAAGGCCGGTAACCCCCTCCGCCATGCGAGCTTGCAGCACGATGTAAATCCCCCCGAATTGCATGCGGGCTGGTGAATCTTGGCGGCGGCGGCGCCCACATGCTATGCGCACGATGAGAACGCATACTAGATACGACAACAGTCAACATCTTATGAGCGCACTCAAGATAGTGAAAATGAGTTCGAGACTCGGGACTCACTTGTTGCGCAGAGTGGGCTCCATGGACAAGTGGGCAAAGCTACTGGGAAAGAGCGGATGTCCAGGGCCACGCTCTTGCAAAGCATCGTATGGTATATCCTTATCATGAAGAATGGCAGACCGAGGAATGGGAAGAGGGCCTATGGCGGGACTTCCCAAGGGCAGTGGTGAGGGTGAGCCGCCGGGGCTGATCGCGTAGTTTGATGCCCTGGGTGACATAGGGCTGGTGGTAATCCTCAGACCATGCACCTCAGGACCTTCAGCATTGAGGTCTAGACTCTCGTCACCATCATCCTCATTCTCATCTTCTTCCCGCACCTCGGACAGCTCATGCGCCGTGGACGGATCAAGCGAGGATGACGCTGGTGGCGGGGCCGCATTCATCGCCAGAACAGGCTCAATGGAATATCCATCTGAGTGCCTAAGCTCAGGACTGCAAAGTTTGACTTCGAGCGCCGGGTTGGGAGAATCAAAGACTGGAGGATACCGTTCGCTCTCGTTATCCGAGATACCGACAGTGGACTCGGGCACAGCTTCATGTTCGGATTCGAATGCAATTTGTAGCTCCTCTTCGTCGATGTCTAGTTCAGGAGGGACGCCGAGTGCGCCCTTGATGCGTTCCCAAATGAGCTCGCTCTTATACATGACGCAAGCCCGAGACTTCAAGACCCACAGCACGTCGTTGACAACATCACGGTCGACAGTCTTCATCCAGAAATCCAAATCAGCGTAGGACCACTGCTTCGGGTCTCGGCCGAGAAGAGTCTCCACTAACTCGGAACCAGATGGCGCCCTGGCATCAGCAGGGAACATTTGGGCGAGGAGAGCGAAGAGCTTGGCAGTTGGAGGGGCTGTCATTAACTGAGAGACCTCAGTGGGACGATCGATGAATGGTAAGAGGATGGTGTCTGGGAGCAGTGTGAACGAAGCTGGAGCGAGTGCTGCGGGAGATACCGGGGTAGAAGCGTTGCTCAGAGACGGACGCGGGTTGCAAGACTGGCGCGCAACGTCGAGGAGCTGTTCAGGCGAGAGCCTGTTCGCGTTGACGATGGAGCCGGAGTAGCGACGTGTAAGACTGGGAGAGTGGGGACGCATCCGAGGGGACGAAGTGGGACTGCTCCCACCGTGAGGTGGAGCACCCGGAGATGGCTGAGACTGGGAGAAGGAAGTAAAGGCGAAACTCATCCTGGACCCCTCTTTCCCACTCGACGAAGTGGAACTTATAGACGCATTGCTACCGTGGCGTCTGTGTCTTCTGGGGTGGCCATCTTCATCGCCCTGAGTAGGCACGCGGACGATTGTCAGTCTGCTAGAGGTTTCTCGTGAAGGATGATTGTTAATATCGGAATGGGTCCCCCATGGGTCTGCAGCGGTCACGGAGCCCCTTCGTGCAGAGACTCTGCGCGAGCGGGTTGGGCTGAGTGATGGGCTGCTGGAGGGAGATGCAAGAGGGTCTGCCAAACTCATTGCAAGTTGCGGTGAGCTTCAGACTACGAGTGAGGTTTACGAGGCTCTAATAGGTTCAGTATCATATCAGCAATACGCCTGTCGAGGATGAGTGGTGCGACATACTTTGAGAATGGGGGTTGAACAAGATGGTTGGGATGAAGGAAGGAGGGCCGGGTGAATGCGGAAGAATATAGGGAAAGATATAGCGGGGCCATTGGGTAGAGGATATGGAAGGACATAGATCGATAGCCAACTCCAAGTACGTCAAGAACTTGCAATGCTCGCCAGATCTAGCCGCCGACGGCCCAGACCGTGACCCAGGTGTCGCTGCCCCGGTCACATCACCTTCTTGTCGTCTCATTTGTACGTATTCTCTTTTCGTTGGTCTGTCTCGTGAGTGGCACAGAACGCATATAAATCAAGAATCAACGATGGCTGCAAATAAGCGGCGTCCAAATATACGTAGCAGCACACGGCCGCATTGACAGCGTGAACACTTGGTGAATATGGCCTCGAGACTCGTACCCAGACGTGTCGAGGGCACGAGACCAGGTGAACACCAATCGGATTCGGGACGCCAAGCCCAGGATACACGTGCCTCATGGCAAATGGAGACAAATAGCCGTGCCACCGAGAACCTTGAGCTCGTTACGACCAGTGCAGGATCACCGGAAGGCTGCTCCACTCCAGTTCGGCTCGTCTTTTCGCAACTACATCTGCCGTCTGGATGCCCTCCTCTTAGAACAGGCCTGCTTCAGGATAACCGGTTTGTCTCTCTTGTGGCCTCACCTTTCTCCTCGATAATCCCTATAGATCCAATCATGCTCACGGGTAGTCACTCCTGGGTCCCTACCCAGCAGCGTCCTCCCTCCACCGCTGGCTGGAAAACATTCGATGCGCGCGACAAGCCCTCTCTCACGAGCAGCAAAAGCTGGCTGGCCAGCTTTTCTGGCGCGGACAATGCCCACCCCTATAACACCAGCGAGAAACACCCCTGGGAGAGCGCAGACTCCTTGCATGACCCCGCCATGCGCCTTCGGAACATGAAACGCTCTCTCTTGCGCAGAATGTCGTCCATATCCAATGGTGGAGTATCTACACCCAGTGCTTTCATCAGGCAGACAGCGCCCATCGCGCCATCATCGTCTGCATCTACGCTCCGTTTCGCCCTTCTCTGTGCTCTTTGGTATACCACGTCAGCCCTCTCCTCCAATACCGGCAAAACCATCATGATGCAATTCCGCTACCCAATCACCCTCACATTTGTGCAGTTTGCTTTTGTGGCCGGATATTGCTTGTTCTTCATGAGTCCTATCATCCGCTTTTCGAAGTTCAAGTCCCCAACGAAGGCAATCTTTCAGAGTACGCTTCCTATGGGGCTATTTCAAGTCGGAGGGCATATCTTTTCGAGCATGGCCATCTCGCGGATACCTGTCAGCACCGTTCACACCATTAAGGTGAGCGTTTACTCTTGCACTCCTATCTGACTCGGTGTTTGTGGTTGTGGAAGTAGAGTGCCGCTAGTTGTGCGTGGTTTGTCGGAACTATTAGGTCTGCAGGAGGCTTCGCAACTTTGAGTACTTGCGGTTCCTCCGGGAATAACTCACGAGCTCGAGCCGCATGGTGTTCATTTCGGGAATTGTCGATCATCGCTTCTCTGGTACACTGTGCCGTTATCATGTCCGAGTTGTGCTTCTATTGGGGTCGTCAATTTAGTACAAATCTCCGTATATTGCGATCAACATGCTACTCATCGACCGATTATTGATAACGATGCTGATTCGCACATTTTCAGGCGCTTTCTCCGTTGTTCACAGTTGCCGCCTACGCATTGTTGTTTCACGTGCGATATTCGGTCAAGACGTATCTCTCGCTCTTTCCTCTCACCCTAGGGGTGATTTTGGCGTGCAGCTCCGATATGTCTGTCTCCAACGCGATCGGTCTCCTATGCGCATTCGGATCTGCTCTTGTCTTCGTGAGTTCGAACATATTCTTCAAGAAGATCATGCCATCTGGTTCCACCACATCGTCTTCCTCACACAAGCTGGACAAGTTGAACCTCCTATTTTACTCCTCGAGCATGGCGTTTGTTTTGATGATTCCTATATGGGCGTATTATGACCTTCCTGTACTCTTGGCAGCGGTCAACGACCCCGAGCATGTTGCGCACCCCTCTCATGGCCACTCGCATCACTCGGTTGTCTACGACTTTTTTGCCAACGGGACAGTTCATTTCGCACAGAACATTATTGCATTCATCCTCCTTGCTCAGACGTCCCCCGTCACGTATAGCATCGCATCCCTTATCAAACGTGTTGCCGTCATTTGCATTGCCATTGCGTGGTTCGCACAGCCTGTTAAGCTTATCCAGGCATTTGGCATCGCACTCACGTTCGCAGGACTGTACATGTACAACCAGGCCAAGGGCGACGTCGAGCAGGGAGAGCGGAGTATGCGTCGTGTCGAAGCTGCGCGTGCGTTCGAGCTACCTAGCATTAGAGCTGACGTTACGCCTCTCTCGAGCCCTCCACCTGCTGTGACCGTCGAATTCAATGTGGCGGACGCCACAGCATCCGGATACGGTCGACCCCGAGCGCGGCCCGCTGCGGTATCCCAATCGTCGTCACCCTATGCTAATCGCGCATCGCTTCCCAAAGCGCCATCGCTTCCACCACGTTCGAATCAGACGCATCGCCCGCACCCGCTCTCCTACTCGCAGACACACAATGCCCCCAACCTCCGTATACAGATTACGCCAGTTGTCCCTGCTCATGCGAATGCAAATGTGAACACAAAAACCGATCCGGCAGCATCCCCCATTGATCTGTACCCATCACCCCCGCCCTCGCTTGACTCACCACCCACGGAAGAACCTACTCATTCAGGAGTGAGTGAGTGGATTGCGCATCGCCAGGGCCCAATGGCCACTGGACATCAGCCGCCCCGACAATATGAAACGGCCGCGCCGCAAGCCGCAATGGTGCTCTGAGCTGAGCCTCCGCCGACCATCCATACGGACTGAACGTATACGGATTTTCAAGGACAATAGGACCTAGGTAGATATCTACGTTACATGATGGTACAACGGCAAATACACAGACATCCTAATGCCCCTGAACGCGCCCTTCCCTGTATGCGTCCACCGCCCCCTCTGCGAGATCAGTTTTTACAGATTCTGCTGCTGCTGCTATGCACGTCGTTATGTGGGAGCTGCGCAGACTATTTATGATATACTTACGTTACCTCATTCTTTTGAACTACTTGAGGCGTAGTGCACTTTCTCCAGTAGTACAGCTTGTTACTCGTAGTGATATTCCCGCAACGAAGCACTGTAGACTTTCGCTGCTCGGCGTGCAGCAGATCATCCGAAGGCAGCCAGACATGAATATTAAACGGCAGACATCTGTTATTTGTTATTTGAAGAATACCAATAAGATACGAGTAGTGTAGTGCTACCGCTACATGACGTCTTACAGGTGCAGCATCTGGGACAGACCGGTGCTGGCTGCAAGCATTTCTCGTTATGACAGAGGGGTACGATCTGTATTTGGCGGCACACGGAAACTGGATTTGTCCTGCATCGAGTCTGCAAACAATGAAATTAGATCGAAATCTGCTGCAACAAAATTGACAGGGCGAACCGTTATTGGACTTGTATTCCATGACAGTTGCAGCAGGAAGGTTTAACACCCTCCGGATGGTCTCTCTGTGGTATGATTTAGTCAGACGAAAGGTATTGAAGAAGATGACGCACTTGACTCTCTCTTTCACTAGAACGTCTGAGTCACGCCGGTTCCAGATAGAGATAATGTCTTCGTTCTGCCGCACGCTGATCGTGCATCCGCAGATTTCGGGCCACTCGTCACCATCTCCATTGGCGCTACTGTTATCTTCCTTTCCCCTCGCGCCGGTGGGACTGTCGGATGCCTCGTCATCAGGCGACGTGCAGTGCGCGAACTGGTCTCCGACAATGGCGAGGACGAGGTCCTCCCAGAGGCGGTCCGCGATGCCCTTACGCAAACGAATGATCCACTTCCCGCCAGGAAGGTTTAATGGGTCCTCCCACACGGGCCGACGGATGCCCGAGTGGAAGAGCAGGTAGTCTGTAGTGGGGAGCAAGCTGGATGGTGGGTTAAGGTGTGTCCAGAGGGACCAAAAGGACTCGATCTGTGATGTAGCGCGTCAAATGAGGAGCCGAAGCGCAAGAGTAGGGAAACGCGTACAGAGCTGAATGCGGAGACTTTCTTGATACCTTCTTCATAATTTGTGATCTTCGTCCCGGGACCCCGCTGTTGACGGAACCAAAAGATCCAGCTGGCGGGACGCGCCGACCATGAAAGTCAGTGGTTAGGACTGAAACAATGGAGGAAAGGCACGAACATACGTATGTCGGAGGGGATGTACGAGAGGGCTGCCGTTAGGGCTACCGTTCGCGGACGGTTTATCTTTGTTCTGAATCTTTTCGTCTCCGGAAAGAGTCGTGGAGAAATGCTTGGATGAGGGTGCGCGCGGACGCGTCGCCGATGGGGGGTTCGCAGTCGTCTGTGTCTGGGTTGTGCTCGTGTTCGGAGTAGAGTTGGCGAGAAAGCGCGATTGAGAGTGGTTAGAGAAGTAACCAGCCATGGGCGAGATGGGACAAGCGGGAGGAAAGAAAAGCACGCAGAAATTACGAGTTATGTCAAGATTGGTTGTGAACAAAATATCAGTGTGGGCGACGAGGAGAATGTCCAAGACGGCGACGAAGGGGCGGGACGGTGAAGGGAAACAGGCAAGGATATGTGAGAGAAATTGAGCGCGCAGTCTGCCAGGTCTCACTCAGGCTCTTCCGCCTGTTCCGAACCGTCTTCAGTCAACCAGTCCGCTCTTTCGCTTTGCGCTCTCCTCTTCAGCCTCTGTAGACCCACTTTATGACCACTGGCGCACCTCGCCAGTAATCCTATACGCCCATGAAACTCACACTCCGTCCAGAATGGCGCCCCCGCCCGCTGTCCTCCGCTTTCGGCTTTCTAGACCTCAAAATTGCTGTCACTGTTGTACTCTTGTTTGCGGTATGCCATGATACGTTCTCGAAGTCTCCACCGGCTGATGCATTTGGATGAATACGACAGGTCCTCAACAAGGTTGCAGGCGTATACGGTCTCGTCGCGGTTCTCACTGGGGCAGGAGGCTCCGCAGCGCAGCTCAGTCTCTACATCTACTCTGTTCTTGGTCTTGTTGCATTAGGATGGGGAATCAAAGCAGTCTCTCAGGTTTGCATTTATGTTGCCACATGCTCCATTTGTTCTGACGCCCGCTCAGGAGAACCCAAAGCATTCGCTGTATTTTGCACATATATTCTTCGCTGATCATATCATATCATCGGCGTGGCTGGTCTTTTTCGCTGTCGTTTGGTGGGTATATACACCCCATGACGGTCGTCGCCAGGCCAATTCAGCTGCTCAGGAGGAGATGATGAACTCGACGAATGGCGCGCATCGCAACATGACTGAGGAAGAGCGCGAGGCCGCTGCAATGATTATCTGGAGTGAGGAGAAGGGACTTGCTACTGCTGTTATCGTGTTGGGCTGGGTAGCTAAGGTATGCCTATTCATATTTCAATACTTGATTAGAATGAAGGAATAATTTGAGCTTCTTAAAGTTCTACTTTGCCATGCTGTTATACTCTTACGCCATCCACTTGCGCAAAGGCTCATATCGCTCCCTGCCTTGCTCCCGCCCGTCTCCCACCCTTGCTGCTACATCTTTCTCCGGTCTTCCTGATGATGACGACGACGTAGAGGACTTCTATCGTCTCCCCATCCGGGCTCCTCCTCAACCGCAGTCACATAGTCGACAATCTAGCCTAACTCATGCATCGTCTCCATCCCAGACTAGCTTCGCCGACTTCGTCAGTGCGCCTCCTTCCGGCCGCCCACGGCGCGGTAAGCCAGGCAAGTCCAATCTGAGCATCAGCCTCAGCGCATCCAACGGAAGCATGAAAGGATCAGATACGAACGAAGTGGACGAAGTACTCTTCGACGATGACGAGCGCCTCCGCGCGGGAACGAGCGCAGAGGATAGCATAAGCGTAGATTCACTAGACGATAACCAGGGCCGAAGTACTCCTCACAACAGGCGATTTAGCCGGAATTCTAGCCGGGCGTAGAGTGATATTTTCTCTCATATATTCTTCTCGTGTTGTGGCACTTGCAGTCCAAGCGGTTGTTCAAAGGTATATTTATGCAGCATGGCTCTGCCAGGACATTTGGCGGATTTCGCTGGTTCATACGGTACTCTATGTCAATGACATCAATAATTGCATGCTGTAGTAGCTCTGCAGGTCGCGCGATGATGATAGATTTGAGTACCATTCTGTCGGTTTGGATAGTTTTCGGCATGCTGAAGTCGCTAAACTTGGTCTATGGGACTCACACTTGACCTCTTTTTATTGCGGTGGTCAGGGCTACCTGCGCGAGCAAGCGGCAGCTTAGCTTGACATTGCATCACGTATCGCATTACGATTCACCAGAACTTGAGATACATATATCCTATTGATATGATCACTTGAATTCATGGATCTTAAGCCTGGGCTCCGGGTTTACTCACCAGATGTCGAGCGGCTTAGAATAACCAGTCAATCGTCAATTCTTTGCTTGAGAGTGGGGCGCAAGTCTACGTATACGCCGCAAGTGATATCTAAGAATCCCAACAGTCATGCACGGGAACTATTATCGGGGGACATGATCATTTGTCAAGGCATGAGATGGTGCATGGATAGCTTTCCGCCCTCTCATTGAGCGTGATCTCCTCTACATGGTTTGTTTGATGTGTTGGCAAGCCTTCAGCTGGTGAAATTCCATCTTTCTCGCACCGTGACGCCAACGGAGCTGACGACGGTTCGGCAGGAGGGTCACTAGCCACAAGCTCGACGTCGGCAGGTTCGCTGTACTCGTCAGGTACATCCACAGTGGTTAGCGCCGCTCGTTTGCGACGCCGGCGGGCGATGGGATTTAATATTAGTGCAAGAACTAACACTGCACCGTCCATGACCTTTACCGAGATGTCAGACGACGTGATGGACGTGGATAATATACATACCACGACGACAGAATAAGTCACGGCCGCAATCACGTCAAATTGCGATTTAAAGGCGAGCGATAGATCACTGAAAATTCCACCAAGCATGTCGATCGCCATGAAGAGGATTGAGATTCCAATTACTTCGCGATGTCGGAAAATTTCATAATATTGTGGGCTGATGATGGTCATTGAATGTCGAGGGCGCCACATTCATAAGAGTGAAATTCGATTCCATCGTCAACTTGAAATCTTAATCGGTGCATCTGGGATTAGGGACGTACAGCAGACCGAAGGCAATTATGACCGATGCACAGATGCCGAAGAAATCAACGCCACGGACGTTCCCTTTCTGGTAGGAAGGCTGGGACATGTATTCGTGAGCAAATATCTTGCAGTGTAATGATGTCGAAGTTACGGACTCTGACAGCATAAACCATGCCCGCCTGAAATCCTCCAAGCAGAGCTAAACAGCCGATATACAACGCGACGCACGCGGTCCGCGATCGGTTATTGCCATAGTATTGACACTAAAGATGCACATAAATTCTGGGAAGATTCTGGATGGTAAATTACGATAGAGAATCTCTAACGTGATCCAGCATGGGCGGCCGCTGGGAATTTGGGTAGAAGTCCCCGAAACCAATTCTCCGTTGTGGCTCATGAACGATGTAGAAAATCTCGCGTACCTGTGCCCATGAGGCAAAAGAGAGCATACCAAACAATTGCGGTTGAAGTATCAGTGGTACGTTAAGGTTTTGAACTATGGCATATACACCCAGAAAGGCCGCTGACAGCCCCCAAAAGAATCTAAATAACAGGTGGAATGAACACAAAAGGCTCACGAATGGAGCCGTGAGGTGTCCCAAAGACCGACAGAAGCTTACACGAGATGCTGCGAAAGGCCTTCTGTTGACTTGTCGCGCCAACTCTTCCAGATTTGTGGAACAAGTTGGATTGTCCAGCAGACGGCACCTGCGGGAACACATACGCAGTTCAATCATTATGCATATTAGAGGGCATTATGCAAATTAGAGGACAAATGGTTATAAGGTTGATCGAAAATCAGAGGAATGAAGTCAGGCTACAACAGCTCGCTATTGTTCACTCGCAAGTTGGAGGGACGACCGAGCGTATGTTGGCGACTCACCCATGGTTCCAAGAGCATTTTCTGCGGCGGGATTCATTGGCATTTCAGTTCAGCAATCCTCCTTGAGTCTCCGTGCTCCTGGAGAACGCTATGCTCGAGGTCGTCAGAGAAACACAGAGCAGGATGGGCGATCACCGGGTAGTCATTCACCCGTGGTCTTATGTACTTGGATAGATGTGAAGTCCAATCTCAGTTCTGGAGTCATTAAGCGGGGCGGAATTACCCGCAAGATTAGGTGACCCAGCTTGCAAGCCCGAGTCATTTGTGCGAGAGGCCACGAGAGAAGCGACTTCCGGAAGCCGACCAGCCTTGGCCCCTGTTAAAATTGAAAGCTGAGGAATCCTGACTCCTTCCTTAAGTAATACTTAATATCATCCTTGCAGGCCCGAGTTGGAAAGGCTCTGGAATTTGAAAGGCCTGCTACAACGCCTTCATGTGACTACAGACAGCTAGAACCCGGGTGCTTCATTCGTTATGCGCTGTATGATTCACATCTTCTTAAAGCTCAAAGTCACCCTTTGAGAAGTCATAAGCCCTGACCTCATCAGCTCTAGATTGACGACCTTTTAGGCGTAATGCGCACGGTCATTCTATAGAATCCGGTGCGAATCATGGTTAATTTCCAGAGTCAGGCTGTGGTCGGGAATACATGGTGGGGGAAGAGGATGTAGGCAACAACAATAGGTCGCTAATTTACATATTACAACAATGGCGGGACCATAGCCCAAGCAAAGACTACCAAGCGCCATTAGTCTATCGAGTCAAATTCTAGCGAGCGAATGTAACAGGACTCACCTAACAGTCATTTCCCCCATCCTCGGGCTCTGTATTCAGCTGGGCGGCAACAGTCATAAATCTGCAATCTCGACTCAGTGCTATGCCACAAGGATGATCTACTGGGACTAACTGGGCAGCATGAGATGCAGCAAGGGTTTGCATGGCATCTAGGTTGAGCTGGAGGAGCTCGCATAAATCCGCTGTATGGCTCACGGCATGCGAAAGCCTGGCTAGACTGTGTGATAGTTGCATGTAATGCTTATCCTTTGCCTGGGTAGCAGAAGTCGGCTGAAACTGAGACTGCATGGTCAAATTTTACGAAGCCAAAGTCTGATAATATGGTAGAGGGCGGCCTGGAATAAGTAGTGTTGCCAACTTGTTGGCAATTGTCGCGGTAGATCGCGGGAGCTTTAGGCCGCCCTGCGTGAGTGTGAGCTTGCGATATGTTATGAACTGCTATGAATCATCAATTTCGATCAAGCCAGACTCGAAGAGGAGAACATTGACTTGGTGGGAGGACGCTGTACTCATGCGAAAAGTCGAAAAAAATCGAGCGGGGTTGTCTCCGTGCACAATGCACAATGCACATGGCGCATAGTAAGGGCGATGTTAAGCTTCGTATCGGACAGTCAGATGCTGCAGAATGGGATGCAGGTTTTCTACTAGTAGCTCAAAATATTCGTTAGACAATTAACATAGGTAGCTGGTCCTAGTAGAGTCAAGAAGACTCGAAGTATTAGACATGAGGATAGTATTTCCGCCGAATTCTGCCACAGCTGGCGATTGCTGGTTTGCCGGCAGTTGGCTGACGGCTTGAATTAATTCTTAATTCTGCCCACAGGACTAGTCCGGGGCCACCGACCACGAGAACTTAGAAGACCCCACAGGCCGGGACAGCTGTGAAGAGAAATCATTTTGGGAGTGTAATTCCGACAGCTGAAACCTGAGGCCTGAATAATGAATATCCCGGTGAAAAGTGACATGAATAAAATCAGAAACTGTGTCATTCAATGAGAGAGAGAAAAGAGATAGATTCAATTAGCATGAATTACATAATTCGGCTTTCTTCGCAATTCATCGAGTGACTCAATTTCTGGATTTAATTAATGTCATTTTCCACTGGGCCTGAATGTCGAATAGCCAAACATCTAAACGAGGCAGTGGAGAGCGGGCCCGGGGGGCTAGCCGCGAGACTGCTCTGTGCTCAGGTTCAAGTTTTCAACTTAACTTTATATCACGTGACATATACGGGCTGTGTTTTAGATCATAACTCAGTTAGTATACTTAATAACTCTTCCGCGCTGCGCTAAAGCTTCCCGCCGCCTCTGCGCTGTCCCATCTTGTCAAGTTGCGAGGATGTATGCCAATACGACCGTCTCAAGCTATCTTTTCACGCTCGGTCCCACCCAACAACATTACCTCTCGACAGCACAGCCCTTCTACTACAGCCCTAAGGCGCATCTACTCTCACCGCTTCCTGATAATTATCTTGCCCTCGCTGCACCTGTCTTTACCTACTGGGCATCGTCTCTCTTCTTCCATGTCCTGGACATCTCAAATTGGCATTGGCTGGAGAAGCACCGAATTCATGAATCTGCTGAAGTCAAATCGCGGAATCTTGCCACACGTTGGCAGGTAATTCGTGCGGTGCTCCTGCAGCAACTTGTCCAAACTGTCCTTGGCTATCTCTGGATGGGTGAACAAGTTTCGGGCGCTGGGGTCGATCATATTGGAAATATGATGCGCTTGGGCCTCATGCTGATGCGAGTGCTATCCTTGACGGTGGGGGAGAATGCCGGTGGTCGGATTCTCGAGTCGTACGGCGCTCAGTTGCTATATGCGATCTACTGGTGGGCAATCCCAATTGCCAAGTTCTTCTTTGGCATGTGTGTCAATTTTCCGAGTGCTATACTCCACTTTCTAATACTATTCCAGGTTCATCATCGACACCTGGCAATACTTCCTACATCGTGGGATGCACATGAACATTTGGTTGTATAAACAGTTCCACTCCGTACACCATCGCTTGTACGTGCCATATGCGTTCGGGGCACTCTACAACCATCCACTCGAAGGGTTACTTCTCGACACATTGAGCGCTGGTCTTGCGGAGCTGTTCTCCGGTATGACCATGCGAGAGGCGACCATGTTATTCTGCATCTCGACTCTTAAGACGGTAGACGACCATTGTGGTTATAGACTGCCCTTCGACCCACTCCAGCTCGTGTCTGGTAACAACGCCGATTATCATGACATCCATCATCAGGTATGCCTTCGCTGTTTCGTTAGTTTGTACGTGCACAACGAACTGATTGCCCTAGATCGTCGGTATCAAATCCAACTTCTCGCAACCGTTCTTCATTCACTGGGATGTCTTTTTGGGTACGCGAATGACGCGTCAAGACATTGAACAGCGCCGCCAAAAGCAGAAGAAAACCCTGTGATCACGATATCTTTTTCTCATGTTGATTTACTACCTGGCTCTTAGGTTGGATACTATGATAGTGTTGATTTACTGCCTGGCTCCTAGGTTGGATGCTATGATAATGTAATGTGTATCAAATTGTTTTGTGGCACTATACTTCTCCCGTTGTGTCGTTCAAAGTAATATTGGTTTAATGGATTGAATATTTGGGCGGGCGAATACATGATAGAGCACGTCAGGACAGTGCAAGCACATGGGACGTAGATACGTGCAATACGAGTATCAGGGGAAGGGTAGTTACCAACTTGCTACTGCCTCCTTCGTAAGAGGCACAGTTTCCATCTCGTGCTCATACTCAACCTCGACTCTCGGTCCGCCTATAAATCTCATCTCAATCAATTTCGTCGAGTCACAGATTGCATCGCAAAACTTACGTCGAGCTTTCTTTTCGGGTGCTGTTCGTGGGGGCTTCCGCGCTTTGCTCGATGCTGCTCTCCTCTTGCCCAAGATCGATTTTCGTGTTCCCTCGTCATGTTCATCTGTGTCTCCATCATCCTCATCACTGTCATCCCCTTCTTCATCCGACTAGGAATATGGACATGATTCATCAGCTTGCAAGGCCCAAATGAGAATATGTGAACACGTACCTCTACATCCTCGAAATCACTGAGCTCATCCTCCCCCCCACTCAAGTCACTGACAAACTCTCTCTCTCCCCACTCATCATTCTCCCCTAACTCTTCTTCGTCCTCATCCGTTTCGTCATCCACCAGTTCCACTTCGTCGTCCTCCACTCCCTCCGCTCTTTCTTTGCCCTTCCCTTTTTCGCGATCAAGCACTGCCTGCCATACTTCTTCATTAACGTTCAAGGGTGCGTCGCCATAGGCTTTGCTCTTAAGTCGTTCTAAAAGCTCTGCCTCTATTGCGCGTTCCAATCGGGCTGCAGAGAGAGCTTTGCGTTCTCGCACAGCGTCACGCCGATCGAGTTTCTTCTTGACGCCGACGAGTTTCGGTCTATACATGGTACATGTACAGTGGTAAGCACCTTGAAAGCTTGTCAACGAACAGTACACACTGTTGCCGCAGGCGCATACGCCGCATCTTGATCAGGTATTGAGTTATTTTCGTGACACGCTGCTTGCATTTATGTATCGTAAAATTTGGCCAGTGTATGAGTTCAGAGTCAATCTGATTACATGTCGGGAACAATGAACACAATAAAACTCTTCTTGCAATGGAACGAATCAGTACATACCTGCTCGAGAGCTTTTGTGTAGTTGTTCGAAAGCTTGATGCGCTCCCACATATGTGCCGGAGAATGGGCACGCTCTATGGTTTTCATGTACAGATACAAAATCCCTGTATAAAGTTTGTGCATCGTAGGATTATACCTGTGAAGCTCCGCCCCAGGCCATCGCAGCTTATGAACGCACCCTCTTTTTCGCGCACTGTGGCATACCGCGAATTTGCGAGTGGACAACTCTGTCTGTTGCAAAATCCGGTAACATTATACTCGTTTCGACAGAAGTTCTGGGTCGCGGTTCTAAGGGCAAGCACGGTCAAGTGAATCGATAGTAGGGCCGCATTGAACATACGAACTTGACTTTATATGAGCAAAATTGCTGATTGATAACGGACCATATCACGTCGTCACTCTGCATGGTAAGTAGATGGAGAGGAGGAGGTCAGTCTCAATGAGACTTCGAGTGCCAGTCCAAGTCGAAAATCTGGACAGAGTGTGTTCATTGGTTCGTCCATGAGACGGTTGACGCCCATGATGTCTAAACCACGTGATAACACACACTCGGCCCGAGCGCAACTTTAAGTCGTCCTATTCAACGTTACATAACGCATGCGCTTAGCTCTTTTTTAATATCCCATGAACTCGATAATGTCCCACTCACCTATTAAGCACTTCACAATCTCTTCATTGCAACGCACACACGCGCTCATGTGGCGTAGAACGCCCCATATCCCCCCTTCATCGCTCCCTTTTCCAAGTACTCGACGTTCTCGTGCTTTCCGAGTTACGCCATATCGATCCGACTTTCATTTTGATACCCACCATTTTGTGCAACGACTTGAGCGTGAAGGTCTTAATCGAGCACAGGCTGAGGGTATCATGTCCGCTATGGCTGAAGTTATTGACGAAAGTATACGGAACATGACGAGTAATATGGTGACTAAGGCCGATCAAGACAAGGTACGCACTTCTCGCTGTAATGCGCTCATATTTATCTGATGTTCCTTTAAATTAGCATCAGTACACGCAGCAAGTCGATTTTGCTCAGCTCAAGTCCGAGTTGCAGCTCATGGAGAAGAATGAGCTCGCGATGATTAAGGCAGAGAATGATCGACTTGTCACGGATATTGAGAAGTTGAAGCAGCGTCTGCGAGAGGAAATTACGCGCACGCATGCGGGTGTGCGCCTCGACCTTAACCTCGAGAAGGGACGGCTGCGAGAGGAGAGCAGTAAGCAGGAGCTCAAGATCAAGGAGATAGACACTCGGATCGAGCAGGAGATCGCTGCTCTTCGAACATCTATACAAGCATCGAAGGTAAGTTGGTTGGCCTTAGTCTGTCTTTGTTTGACTAACTGAGGGGAGTGTGTAGGCCACTACGCTGCAATATCTAGTTGGATTCGGTGCGTATTTTTGTGCATCAGTCAGGATCGTCTGTATAGCACGCTGATATGACCATTTTAGTTACCGGATGTTCCGCACTTTTGATGGCATATTTGCGATTTCGTGTCTAGCTGCATTTCAGTCAGATCTCCACGCTATGCTATTTCATGTCACGAATCAGCACGATTCATCGCAAGTCGGCATGGGTTAGATAGTGAGTTCAAGCTTATTGTCGTTTGTTTATAATATGACGATTTCGCATTCATGCAGTCTACCCTTGTCATTTTAGTATCAGTCATCTAATGCCCTCCTGTTTGTAAATTATAGACAATCCTTCGAACTAGTCGTTCAATGGAGGTAGCGAATCACTCGAGATGTCCTCCCCCAAGGCCACGCGCTTCAACAACTCGTACGCCCTGTCCAGATCATCATTCACTATAACATAGTCGTGAGGACCCTCCTTCGCATACTCGATTTCTTTCAGCGCTGTTGCAAGGCGTTTTGCGACAGATGTCTCCGACTCGGTTCCGCGGGAGCGCAGTCGGGTCCGCAGCGTGTTTATAGACGGAGGGGATATGAACATGTAAACTGGATTCAAATTTGTCTTCTTAACCTGGCGGACACCCTGAGATATGGTAGACGATGTTTCGGGACGTCCGGTCATAGAAGGCAAGAGGGCGGCAGGCTGAACACACCTGCGCCTCAATATCAAGAATACATCGCCGCCCCATCTGCGATATCTCGCGCACAGTCATGAAGCTGGTTCCATACAAATTGTTGGAGAATTCGGCGTGTTCAATGAATGCGCCCTCCCCGAGCAATTGCTTAAATGTGTCGCGGGTGATGAAGTAATACTGCTTGCCATCCGTTTCACCAGGACGCGGTGCTCGAGTCGTGTCTGTCAATGAGACTGCGTGAACATACTGCTGTTCTGACATGGAGACTGCTCTCACGGGAGACGCTGAAGCCAAATTTATCTGGGTACTCGGTAAAGAGACGTTGTAGAAGCGTGCTTTTACCAACGCCAGAGGGACCAGATATAACCAGAGGACGAATTATTTCAGCTACAGGCGACATTTTGCGTACTCAGAGAGAGGCAAGGATATGAAACGACGAAACAGGAGGCAGCGGTAAGTGGCCCGGTTCAGAAGATTGACAGATAAACGCCGACATTAGTAAGTAAGTCAATCGAGGATGGCTGAATGGGGCACTTGGAGATATCTCCGTAATTATTAATATATTCCTTTGTATTCCATATTTGGGTTAAATGGCACTATCGGAAGGTTTACTTTCGGTTCGCTAGCTTGATCGGCTCGCTGAGCGTCCCACACAAGTCCCACATCCCGTCCTTTACCCCTGGCTCCTCCAGTCCTGGCTGTTCTCCCTTTCTCCCCTTTACTCCTCTAATATTCCTCCCTTTCTCATTGCTCTCCTCCCCATCTTGCTCTGACGAGGCTTTACGACGATCATGGGTGCTCTCTGCTGTCGACCTCAGGTCCGTGATTTCTCCGGCTTTTTGCTTGGCCTGGATGCTGAATGGTCCCCCAGCCCATAGATTTTGATGGGGAGGTCAACCTCTTTCATTTCATTCTTCTACGCTGCGTTGGGAAAGGTGCATTTGGCAAGGTTCGGCATATAGATTGCCTGGGAGTGCCTTCTTGAACATTCATTATGGGTCGTAGGTCCGTGTCGTACAGCACAAGCAGACGCGGGACCTCTATGCGCTCAAGTATATCAATAAGGCGAAATGTGTCAAGATGAAAGCTGTTGCAAACATTATCCAGGAAAGGCGATTATTAGAGGAGGTACGGATCATTACTCTCCACTTGGCTGCCCTTATTTTTAACTTCCAACATAGATTGATCACCCCTTTGTCGTGAACCTACGCTACGCCTTTCAAGATGACGAGAATTGTTTTTTCGTGTTAGATCTCATGCTTGGCGGAGATTTGAGGTGTACGTCTGTAGCTTTTGTCTACCTTCCCCCCGCTAAGGATCAGTTCTCAGTCCATCTAGACCGATCGGGCTCGCTTTCTGAGGATACAGTGCGATTTTATGTTGCCGAACTGTCCTCTGCTTTGGCATATCTTCATGACCATCGTATAATCCACAGGTTGATGTCGTTCGCGCTATCACGTTCTGTTGACTAACCGCTTTGTCTAGGGATCTCAAGCCAGATAATATTTTACTGGATGAACAGGGGCACGCTCATCTCACAGATTTCAATATTGCCGTGCATTATCAAGAGCGAAGGCTGCTCACGGGAGTGGCAGGTTCCATGGCATATATGGCACCCGAAATCCTTGCGAAGCGCGGGTATACCTACACGATTGATTGGTGGTCTCTAGGCGTGTGTGCATACGAGCTCATTTTTGGTCGACGACCGTTCAGAGGCAAGACGAATGGCGACCTCACCCATAGCATTGCAAAGGACCAGTTACGGTTTCCGGAAGATGCAGAAAGCAAATGCAGTAAGGCGGGCATGCAGGCCCTGAAGATGGTGCGTTCTAATTCGTTGCTATCATTGGAAAACACTATCAACACTGTCTGATGATGGATGTGGATTTGTTTTTGGACACAACGCGTGATACACCGCCTCTGTGGCTACACGTGTGCCTGATCTGATTGGCAACGTCAGTTCCTCGAACGAGATCCAGCAAAACGGATGGGCTGGAAGACAAATGAGGGCATGGAGGCTCTTCGCAGGCATCCTTGGTTCCAGTCCATTGATTGGGAGACGTTAGAGGAGAAGACACAAATTTCGCCGTTTATACCAGATGTGCGTGCAATTGTCTTAAGCCCATTGATTATGTGATTCTGATGTTCCTGATGTCATTTCGTTACAACAGTCTAAGAAGGCCAACTTTGATGCCTCCCATGAGTTGGAAGAGCTGCTCCTCGAAGATAACCCACTCAAAGCGAGGCAACGAAAGGTGCAAGATATCAATAACTTGAGTGCCGAAATGCGGCAGATGGAAGAGCAGTATGTTCTCATTGTCTGCAGCTAGTAAATGGACATTTACTCCCTCATCTGTAGGTTCACCTCCTACGACTTCAAAAAGATGCAACGTCGGTCCTATTACCCTCAAAACCAGCAGATCATTTCCACTGTCACTGCGTCTTCTTCCGGACCCGCATACTCTCGACCTGTCACCCCTATGACCATTGGCCCCGATGGTTTACACGAGGAATATGCTTTGAAGCAAAACGTGCTTCGATCGTCTGACGAGGACTTCCCAGACATTCCTCTTACGCCTGTCTCGCCCTCGCAGATGAGTCAACACATGAACCATCTTGCTTCTGAGAAGGATCTATGATGTGGTTCTGCTTTACATATGCCGCAGTGATTAGTATCCTGCAACGGTTCACTGTTCTGCCTTACTCGCGGGCGCCAAACATTGTCGAGTCTCACTGGGGCCTTGAATTTCTTAATTGATCTGCACAAGTATATATCCCCTACCTTGGTCAACAGCCTGCTGTCTTGCCTGGACAAGCAGCTCACGAATCCTACTATGCCCATCACGCCATTTCGATGTCAACATCCGCTCCCTTTGTGTAACCCCCGCGCTCCCTCAGTCAGCGTTCGTTCGTACCCAGTAACAACATTATCGGTTTACATCTTTCGCACCTCGGTGGCGACAAGGACGCCCAAGTTACCCTTTTTCTCTTTTTACGGTGGTTTTCTCTCAATTATTAATCGATGTTGATGCCCCAGGCCGCTTTGAAAAGTTGCATATTCATCGTCGCTCTGGTCTACCCTTATTACCCTCGACCTGACATGTCCCATCATACTTTACATACAGTATAGCATGCACTTGTAGTAATCAAATGACGACTTTGTGGATATAAAGGAAGCCATTCTATTTCAATGTAAATGTGCATTCGCAAGTCGTGTAGTGAGACTAGAGACCCTGCAGTCAGACATGTATACTTGTAGGTATAGCCGTGGAAGGTTCTACGAGCTCTATTCGATCTTCTTTCTTGTCTTCTGAGGTATACCACCTGATGGTGACTCAGTGCTGGAGTGAGATTTGGAGCCTGAGTTGACCAACGTGTACAAAAGGGAACCCGCAAACACCATCCCTGCACCTAAGCCGAGCTGGGCGTTCCAGCCGTTACCAAACCACCAGACGCTGAAGCAAAGGCTTATTGCTTTGCGCGTAGTCAGCACGAGGTTCGTGGAGACGGATGAGACGCGCTGAGAAATTCGATTAACTTTCAGTAGCCGATCCTGAGATAATCCGAGATACTCACAGAAGTTAATTGGTTCACGGCAGAGACACACATCAGTTGCGTGATAAGATTAGCCGCCAGCACGAAATACGGGGCATATGTTGTGAGGAGGGAGGTAACGGAGATCGGAGTTGGCACGACAGGCGCAGTATGGGACGATAGGCTCTGAAAGCCGTGCCTGATGTCGGGTATCAGGAACACGAAGATGGGGAGTGAGAGAAGGTGCTGCGAGTATTGTCAAAAGGACAATTCAAACCAGACAACTGCATCAGGACCTACAGTGTAGAACACACCCTCTTTCCAGTAGGGACCATATGTGCTGTATGTACGCTCCTGAAGCATGCCGAGGATGCCCGTAAGAAACAGAGAGACAGTCATCATTACGATACCCAGCGTGTACTTGCTAAAGTCCGGCGGACTATCGGAGGATCCGGGACTCGGGGATGAAGGACGCGATAGCGTTGCGAGGACCACCCCGGCAGACACGAAGACGACAGCAGTCTGGCCCGGAGATGTCATGAGTGAGCCATTCTTTCTGATCGGTAGCATGACGCACACACAATTTGGGGTAGAGTATATCGTCGTTTCCAAAAGAGATATCCGAACAGCATTGATACAGCCAGACCTACAAATTGTGTCAGGCGAGGTTAGATTGATTGTAATGCTTAATTGATGAGCCATATATAAACTCCTAAATGCGCAGCGCGCGATCCGTGGCTCGGTTCCGTGCACGGCGAAAGGGTTGTTACAGTCGGATCGTGAACTCAGCTAGGACACACCTGCGGATCGAAATACAATTTGCACCGTAAGAGGGACTTGGTAAGCATATGCCCAATTGTTCAGCAAAGAACTGGAGGTGAGGACAAGGACCTGGGCAATCCACTGACGTAGCGGAATGTGTCTCCGTTGTAATCGTGGTGTGTATGTTTGCTGATCCCAGCGAAGGAATGACGGCAAGGAATGCAGAGTGATGAAACACATTTGCGAGAAGGTAAGTGTCGTTCCTATGTCCTATTAATATTTGATGCAGGCTTCAACGTGCGCACTATGGGCATACCTAGATGCGAATCCAATTTGAGAAGGTGTTCATAAGACCACACGTTGCTGGATTGATTTGACCGTCAACATCTCTGCATCTACATTTGCAAAACAAGGTACACACGAGCAGCATCCACCGAGGACTAAGCTCAAAATGAGAGCGAAGTCAAACAGAGACCCTGCGACGGCCTTAGAGACGTGGACATCTGTGGACCTTCCGCCGGCTTTTGGTGTATCTTGGGACAGTGCGCCCGATTTCGAGATCTGAATGCTTTGGGCCCGTCTATGCTGCTCGGTGCTCGACATGAGGAGGGAGGCAAGTAGACGTCAGCGCATGAGTATGACGATTATATGTAGGCCGACAACGCTGCTGCGGCAGTACGGGTGCTGATTCACTGCTGAATTTGGCGATGTAGTAGGCGCGAGGAGTGCGTTAAACTACGCGTTTATTACGGGCATCACGTGTGCCGCGGCCAAGGCTCGTCGCCGACCAATCGGCGACGAGGGTCGGGACCGCAACTCCAGCGAACCTGAGCCCCAAGTTGCACAGGATGGCTGCTGTATTTATCAGATACGTCGCATTGGTCGTCACCGTCATTAGATTTGAACATGTTGTCCGTACAAGTAAAACACCTCAAGCGAGTCGAACTGAAAAGTTAATAGGCCCGCCAGACTGGATGTGATGCATCGAGAGGTCCAGCACGATGAGGCCCATAGCATCGTCAAGAGCTTACTGTCCATTGCATAAATTTCTATATCAAGGAATTTAACATACGTATGAAGCTACCTCCTCCACCCCGGGCTCATTATGCTTCGTGATTGTATCGCTGCCCACAGAATCGACGCCTAAGAAAACGCCCTTCGATTGCTCTAAGTCAGCTTTACACAATAGAGCTGAACATTGATATGTTGAACACCGGGTATCCTCGACGGGTGGCAGTTCGATCACATACACCCAGGGGTACGTACGCTCAGTAATCACGTCGTAGAGGCGAAAATGATCTGGTGTTTTTGCATGCTTAGGAGGTATGGGCACGTACGGATCATTCCTTCAAGTTCTTGCTACCTGTTAGGCTCTAATTTCTAAAGCGGTCGGCCAATCACGTGCCCTTATGAAGGAGCGATCTAGATTCCGATTCGATCCTCATCGTTCCTTGCAACTCGACCATGTTGCCTGAGCAGGCCAGAGGGCCTTGTACGTCCAGAACACAACAAGAGCCAATTCTTCGCATCCAAAACCATCCATACGCAGGACGATCGTACCACGCCACCCGTGACCTTCCGGCACAGGGCATCGTGATCGAGGCATCCACCCCGTATACATACACGATCTGGAAGCAGTTCAGAAACGAAGTCTGCTCGGAATGTTGGAGGTACGAGGGCGGGAGAAGAGGTTTCCTAACGAGGAAGGATGACGAAGACTATCCGGAAAGTAGAGAGGCCAGCCGGGAGGGAACGCTAAGACTACAAGAAAAGGCGAGTGTAGGAGCTGGACTCTGGTTCTGTGACGGTCTTTGCCAAAAACAATGGTTGGAGAGAGAAGGCTTATTTATGGTTCAATTGCTGAAGACCTTGGAGGATGCGCGCCAAAAGAAGGACAAGGGTGTACGGGACGTCGAAATTCAACCAAAGGACATCGAGATTACTACAGAAACGATAGAGCGCATGTGGGGTGCGATCCGCCAGAAGGAGGCTTCACCAAAGGAGGTCAGGAAATGGAGAGACATCCAACTAGACAACTTCGAGACAGATATAGCCAGATACGTATTACTTGCTCTCGTCCATATGCACCGCGAACGACATCAATCGTCACAGACGTATGCGCAGGTGCAGAAAGCCACCAAGGTTGGCACAGATAGCGTGGATGAAGCGCCAAAAGACAGGAAAGACATGAGAGAGTTCGGTGAGGCGACATGGGACGATTTTGCGTCTCTACAGCCGAATGAGCTTCAGCATTTGGGAGCATACCCCGAGCTATTGGATAACCAGACCAGGGTGTATCAGGTCCTCAAGGGGAGATTTGGTGACGAACGGGCGACAAATCAAAGTTCGACTGTGCCGACGATAAGGAACGGCGGAGAAGAAATGGCGCGAGATGGGAATGCGAGGATAATAGAGCACAAGAGCGGAGGATTGCGCATTCGGCAGGAGAACATTGCCCAGCTTCCGGACTTGGGAAGAGTCATCACTATAGAAAACGTCCGTACAGCACTGAGCGTCGACCCAGGGAACTCTTTCGGGATATGGGAGGTGCCATTGACCGACGAGAGCGAATGTCTTGGTTTCGCGGTGTATCCCAAGCTCTCGTTCTTCAACCATCGTGAGTTCCAGAAGCTTGTCAAGTGTGGTCGGGCGCCGCGACGGGGTTTCGAGACTGCACTAATGTGGGAGCAGAACAGGGACACTGACCACACCTTCTATTTGCAGATTGTTTGCCCAACGTTAGCAAGGTGCGTGACGGACGCGCATTGCGATTTGTGACAACAGATGCTGTAACGGCTGGCGGAGAATTGTGTATTAGTTATGGGCATGTTGAGACAATGGGATGGAAAGAACGGCAGGATGAATTGCGGGAAGGGTGGTTCTTTGATTGTCAGTGTAGTCGGTGCATAGCGGAGATGGGGAGCGAATGAGTGGGGATGATAAACGTGTCATGCACCCTGCAAAGATCGCACATGAGTGGCTTATCTGCGAGGTTCCGAGAGAATTGCGTGTGGCGACGTGTAACACGCTATTGTATGCGGTGTACAGTCTCGATACTGGTTGCAATGTGATGGAGAAGATCAACACACTGAAGCAAAAAAGGACCCGGTAGCATACCTGTTAGCTAGCTTCGGACGATCAAAGAGAGGTCGAGGATAGTTACAACAACACTCGCCTCCAGCGTCGAGGATGCGGTGCAACCGTGTACGTACTCGAGCCGCCAATATCACGAGTGAAACCACTTGGCAGACTTAGGTAGCTACAGCTCATCGTAGCTCTGAGCACGACGATCGTCGTTTACATGAGCAGACGAAACACAATTCGAGAATGGCGGGTTGGGTGTGAGGTCGACCGAGGAGTGTCGCCAGAAATCCAACTGCAGCCTGAGGTTGTGGCTTACGGTCGAGGCTAAACGAGTATAGCACCGAGTTTGACGCCAGCGCTGTTTAGCGGGCGGGGGACAGAACCTGGCGACCGTCGGGCTTGCAGGTGTTTGGGCCTTGCTTCGAATCTCTCTGATCCTGCGTTTTGACTCTCCCTCGCTCTCGACTCGACCTCCACTCGGGCTGACCTCGATCTCAAGAGTTGCCCTCCACACCACTTTCGGGCCATACATTGTGACTTACCTTGCCGGCGGCGCCCAGGATCCCGTGTCGCCCGATCTGGAGGAGATCAGACGACCGTTGAACATTTCCTGTTCAACTGTCCTTACTTTTCCACAACCGTGCTCCTTCCATGGCGATGCCGAACGCCTCGACAGGGACATCAGCTCCTGCGGTCATTCGTTCGTCCTCTCGTGAACGTCACCAGAGCAATCGTTCAGACCATTCTTCATCACCGGCGACCATTCGCACTGTGGCTTCCTTCTCTGTCGCCAATCAAGCCTCTTCAAGCTCTCAATCCGCCACGGTCGAAGGGTTCCTCGCAGCCCACGCTCATGTCTCGGATTCTACTCTCGCCGCACTTGAAGCTGCGGTTGCTGAACGAAATAATCTGTCGACGCAGAATGCTCAGCTGTGGAAGCTCATCGAGAAGCAGCGGTCTGGTTACGGCCAACTTATGAAAGAGCTGGAGCGTGTACGTGGTGAGCGCGACGCGTATCGAAGTAGGCTGCAGGAGGTGGGCGAGAACACAGACACACTTTTGCGTGCATATCGAGAAAAAGACAAGCGGGACGGTAAGGGCGGTCTCCGGTCAACAGCATCACATACGCACTTGAGGAGCAGCGAGAGCAGTACGTCCAACGCGCCTGAGCCAAGGACTCACATGGTGCGCACGAACTCAGATGATTCAGGTTTGTCTATCTGCTGGCCGTCTACCTGGTACTGATTTGCCGTTGACAGCTGCTCGTGGCCAGCACTTGCACCACTCTCACTCGCAAGACCATGTATCACGCTCGCAGCCTACATTACGTGAACAATATAGCTCGCAAACGACCTTGAATATACCCGCGTCCAACTCCCGTTCTTCCTCACTTGCACCATCACCTCTTTCAGCTCAACCATTGTCATCTTCTGATTCCGTAACCTCATCCCCTCAAGACGGGATTGCCGAGGGTCACTCCGCTAGCACCATAACAACTAGCCCCACACGAGAGACCTTCTCTGTTTCCGTCCGCCCGTCTCTTGATTTACCACCTCCGTCTTCTGCAACTACTCAGCGTACCGTTCCACTCAACGCTGAGCCCGGTGATCCTGTATTAGGTCACTGGCAACCGGGACCTCGTCCATCTCTTGAAGCTATTCGACCTATTATACAGACAACAATGGCACCTCACACCCCTTCGCAAAATGTCCTACCGCGGGACGAATCTCCCGCGCGTACCCCGCGTCTACAACCACAGATACCATTATCATTGCAACCTCGCCAGCCGTCGCCGGAGAAACCATCATCGTCCTCCAATTCCCTCAGTCCACTCGTAAACGGCGACTCTGCGCGAGGACCCTTTGCGCTATCTCGTGAGTCGCGTATATCTCTGCCTGAAGAGGCGAAGCGATACTACGCGAACCTGGGCGATTCACCCATTTCCAGTCCGAGTATTAGCGCAAATGGGTTTCCTTACGTTTCAGGCCAAAATTCACCAGTCAAGAATCAGATGTCCCAAATTATTGAAGCTACAGAGTCTATGCGAAGCCAATCGGGTACACCTTCGGCCGCAAGCACCAACGATGGGCGGTCTGGAGGCAAGTCGACAGGCGATGAGGGTGCCCCGTTTTTAGACATGGAAGATGGGGACAGTGTGTACTCTAGCCGTGATGGCAGGCGCAAGTCGGGTGTTGACGATACCGATGATGGCATGGACAACGGCGTGGACGACATAGAGATGCGGAGAAGTCACGATGGGAGCAAGGGTGCTGCTGTCGAAGATTTTCCACTACCACCTTCGACCATTGGGTATGCGACCGCTCCTGGCCAATCGCAATTGTCTGCGCTGCCTCCACAGCCTAGCACACCGGTCTCCCCGTTCCCACTCGTATCTGGAGAACCGCACATGACGTTCCGCGCACTCCCCTTGCTCGCATCCGACTTGCCTTCGACGGACATCCATGTGGTCAACTCGACGATTCGACCAAATGACCGGGGTAAAGAGGTACTATCTTTCGTCATATCTGTCAGTCCAGGTAGAGGTAAGGACCCATGGAAAGTGGAGAAGATGTATAGTGATGTATTGGGTCTTGACGCACGGGTACGCGCGCGAGTGGGGAAGAGCGTCATCAAGAAGATGGTAACACTGCCCGAGGGAAGGATGTGGCGGGACCACGCTCCAGCGAAGGTGGACCAGCGGAAGGTGCGTCTGGATTTGTCAGGGTCTAAATTTTCCGTTGTCACTGCTGCATTTCTCGCTTAACTGTTCTTCTCACTTGTCACTCGACGATTCTTGTCCTTCACAACTGTGCTGATCCATCTGCAACTCCTTCACGTGTGTTTGTATTGGCTGTCCAATGTGGTTTGATTCATTTCACACACCAGAGGTCTGCCATCTTCTTAGGCATCTTCCATTAGCGCAAACCTTCTTTCCTTATCGTCATGATGAAAAATCTGTTGCAATTTATGTTGCGAATCCTCTTCGGCGCTGCTCCGTAACTTCATTGTCACTTGTGATATCTGACGGGTTGGTTGTGTTTCAGAATGCCCTCGAGCAATACTTACGGTCTTTGATCGCCCTGCCTGTCAAGAACAAAGACGAAATCATTGCGTTTTTCACATCTGATATCGTCCGCGAGACCCAAAAACCCGTGTCGCAGGCAGGCTACAAGGAAGGTTATCTGACAAAGAGAGGCAAGAACTTTGGTGGTTGGAAGTCGAGGTACTTTGTACTGCAGGGACCTTCCTTGGAATACTACGAAAGTGTAAGCAGAACGTTCCTCTGCCTCTCTATGTCCTCGCCTGTGCACGTGTGCCTGGCTAATGTGTTGCGCTATCGTGTCTATGCTAATGTGCTGCTTCTTTGATGACGTAGCGTGGGGGCGCGCACTTAGGTTCCATCACGATCACCGGTGCCCAAATCGGCCGCCAGCAGCGGGCACCCGATAGGCGGGAATCGGACGAAGACAATGAGTATCGCCATGCCTTTCTCATCATCGAAGCTAAGCGGGGGCCAGGGGGCTCTAGTTCCCGACACGTTCTCTGCGCTGACAGCGACCAAGAGCGCGATAACTGGGTTGAGGAGCTCGTGCGTTATGTGACTGGCACTTACAGCGAAGACCAAGTCGCCGTTATCCAGCAGAACGGGATGCATACTGTCGTTTCGAGCAGTAACACATCCCAGAGTTCTGCTGCTCAACCGCGTTCGAGCTCGAGTTCCAGCTCGAACCAGCCTGTCGATGTTCTCAGCACGCCTGTTCGCCGTACACGTGATACCGTAAAGCCTGCTACAACACCCGCAAAGATCACTACCGACGTGAGCAATGGGAAGCTGTACCCCGTCACTTCGCAAGATGATGTAGTCGGTCCAGGATCGGTCGCCCCATCGCCCATTGATTATATATCTCTAGAAGGGCCAATATCCAACTCATTACCGACGGCATCGCCGCTGGGAGCCGAAGACGTGGATGTCTTGAATTCTGTATCTCAGCGAGCCAACTCTGAGCTTGGACACTATCCTGACTTGGTAGATCCAAGGGCGGCGTTTGGTAAGGCGGTGGTTCATTCCCCTGATCAACCCCGAAAGAAGGTTCGACGTATGTCCGTCAACCCTCTGAAGGCGACGATTCCAGAGCGGACACCGTCTCCTGAAAAGGACGCTGCGGCTAGTACGCCTCGTGTGGATGCCCATGGGAAGGTCAAAATCTCAGCCCCAATGAACGGTACGCCAATACCCGCTGGCTACAAATTCGGCGGCAAGGATGCGCCTTCAGAAGCGTCCACTGCGAGCAGTGACAGGAGGGAAAAGGCCAAGTCACGCACGTTCTGGGGCTTTGGACGGCATGGTGAGTTTGCAACGTCTTCGTTTACGTGAGGCGTTGAGTTTATGTGATGTTGCAGACAAACCCAACACGCCCGCGATGATTCCGCGAGCGGTGTTCGGTGTCAGTTTGGACGAGTCGCTCGATGTCGCGCAGATTGCGAGTCTGCCTGCTATTGTTTTCCGGTGTATACAGTATCTGGAGATCAAGAAGGCGGAGCAGGAAGAAGGCATCTACCGGCTGAGCGGTAGCTCTGCGGTCATCAAGAGTCTCAAGGACCGGTTCAATACAGGTTAGTCAGAGTTATGTTATCAGATACCCCATTGCTGACGATGTCGCAGAGGGCGACGTTGATCTACTAAGTTCTGACGAATACTGGGATCCGCACGCTATAGCTGGTCTGCTGAAAACGTTCCTGCGGGAGCTACCAGCGAGTATATTGACCCGTGACCTGCACCTCCGTTTCCTCTCTGTGATTGGTACGTCACGAACATATGAATGTATGTCATCTGCGGCCGCTCATGTTCTGCACAGACTTCGTCGATCCGCAGGAGCGGATAAGGGAACTCTCCCATCTCATCGCGTCATTGCCCATCGCCAACTATAGCCTGCTTCGCGCGCTCACTGCGCACCTCATACTGATCGTCCAGAACGCGAACGTGAACAAGATGACGATGAGGAACGTTGGTATTGTGTTCAGCCCGACGCTGGGGATCCCCGCGGGGGTTTTCAGTCTGATGCTGGGGGAGTTCAAACGTGTGTTCAACGTCGATGGCACGTTGGAGGAAGGCGAGACGAGCGCCGCGGACGACGAGGAGGAGCAGGAGGGGGGCGCGAGCATTGATCGTCGGAACAGCAGGCGGTACACAGATGCCGCCGCGGACCAGCTCTTGGGGCTGTCGGGTAGAACCTTACCAGGTGCGCCTTCTTTTGTCGTCGTCTGCGCCTGGTCGCGTCTGGCCGCTGACCTGACCGCACCCTTTTGCGCCCCCAGCCGCGGAAGATGGCCCCTCAGACGACGGGGAGGAAGCGTCCGTCATCGAAGGAAGCACGGAAGACGACGTGACTGAGAACGAGTCGGACGTCGTGGGATCCTCGGCGGCGTCGAGCTCTGCGCACCTCCTGCCGGGCGTGAGCCACGGGGAGGGATTGCAGTCGCCGGAAGCGGAGGGGGGGCTGTCGCCGACGGCGGCGACGTCACGCTCGCGCGCGGCACAACACGCGGCGACGCGGGGCCTGAGCGTCGCTGTGACGGACAAGGAGAGCCACAGACGGAGTGGGATCGTGGGCCTGCCGGTGTCGCCTAGGCCGAGTCCGCGGATGGGCGTGAACGGAGCTCCTTCGCCCGTCGTGTCTTCTCCGCTGGCGACGCCGAAGTAGGGCGCGCCCAAAATATGTACAGCGTGGACTCGCACGTCGGGGGCAGCATGCGGCTCGGATTCGGACAGAAGGGTCTGTGTTTCTCATCGCGTAGGTGCAGGTATTTATGGCAGTCGTGTTGTACATGTTGGGGCTGCGGGCATATGTGTATATCCATCGCATTTACGGCTAGCATAGTAGAGTAGCGAGTAGTAGATACCATATATGAATTTCTGGTGCCATTGTCTATACCCGTGCAGTAATGTATTCAATTTGCGGTGGGCTTTGCGAGCTCGTCAACGGGCGGGAGCGCGCGGGTTAGATTGGCGCGGAGGGACGTGACGCGGTCGCCGCTCAGCGCCCAGCGCTCAACGTTCTGCCGCACACCCACGACATCGTCCACGCAGACAGACAGAATATTCGATGGGGTACAGACAGGCTGCCGTCCTCGCCTCGGTCTCTTTCTTCCTCGGTGAGTCTGCGCCGCTCCCCCCTCGCCGTCGTCGCCGCCGCTGTGCTGACCGCGGCCAGGCGTGCTGTTCCTCTGCTTCTCCGTCGACTACAAAATCCTTTTCGCGCCGCTCACGGAGGACATCATCAACGATGGTCTCGCGTTCTACACGACGTTCTACCACTCGCCCGCCGCGATCAAGGCACGTCCTCGCAGCCCTCTTTCTCCCCTCTTCTCGTCTGACACCCCGTGCGAGCACTAACCCGGGCGACGACCCCCAGGCACTGATGCACGCCGTCATGGGCGTGGGCATCTTCGGGATCATCGGCAAGCTGCACAAGTGGGACGAAACCGCGATGTTCTTCGACGGCTCGTCGCTCGGTGCGTGCCCCGCCCCCCGCCGCCGCCGTCCCGCGCGCTGACCGCCCAACCCCCCC